AAAAATTAATCAAACAAATTAAAATAAATCGAAAAAAAATTGAACTCAATACTCCATATTATTTTCAATGTTTTATGTTTTTCAACAGTATTATAAATATACACAAGATATCAAATTTTAATCCATGACAAAATAAATTAATAATATGGACGTGCTGTTTTATAATATTATGTTTTTTTTTCATATATTTTTAGATCTTCAGATTACTGCTTATTTTTGTCGTCTTTCTACATTACGTATATATGTATTATACATAAGTATTTGATAAATGTGTAAATAAAATATAGTACAATTTTATAAGCTGAGTAAGCTGTAAGTAATAAAAGCAAACAGTTTTTTCTTACGATTATTGCTTAGGATTTTAATTAGATTTTTTATATACCAACATACGCCCGTCAATTAAAATTTAAAATAGAATAATAATATTAAATGGCTGTTAAAATTTGTGAATATCTAGGTTGCTAACTTGTAGTTAAACAATAATTTTAATATTAACTTCAAACAATTATTAATTTGATAGCCATCTTATAAAATAGATACTATAAACATTTATAAATTATACATGCTTATACGAATATTGCATACATTGTATTGTGATTTATTTCACTGTTTTAATGAAAGAATGAATTTATGAGCTACACATTTTACAAAACTATAAATGTATTCAGTAAAAATCGTTCAAATCTTATGTTAAAATAATATGTTATACATGCATCTATATACAAATAAATAGGCACATAAAATATGCGATTAATTTAATGTAAGTTACTAATTTTATATTATTTTGATTTCATTGTGTTTAACCGAAAATAATCACTGAGTATACCAGTTTTGTATAGTTTTATCTATTAAAAGATATAAATTGATTAAGTATGTAAATATATCTCTAAATTAACAATAAGTTCTTATTTATTAAATTAATTTTAAAATATCCTTTGACCGATTGTTGTTAGACAATTGAATGTTAAAATATTTTTAGGAATCACCGTACTAAAAATAAAAAAAAGCCAGACTGTAGACCGAGACCTAGCTGGTGAGCTCTGGCCACTCATCTCATCTCGGCGTAACAGAACTTTTCGTGGTATTAAATTTGAAAGTAACAATGTTATGCAATCGTCGCCGTATTTTAAAAACAATTCCTACTACTAAAACCATACTTGCTGACATTTTTGTTGAATTTATTTTTTGTACTAGAGATAAGAAAATATGTATAAATTGCTGATTTTAAAAACTTTAAGTACTTATTTAATTTAATTTGTTACTGATATAAATATAATATATATAATATATATAAAAACATAATTTAGCTAACTAGTTAAGCTTTTAGAACACGTCTTATTTTGATCTTGATAATAATTTACAAAATCTAAAAAAAATATTAGGATAAACTAGTATTTTATGCATAATTGCATAATTGATTACTCTAAAAATTAATTTTTAAATTTTTAAAACACAATTATAATATGATGATTTCTTTAAATATTTCAGGACTACGTTTTAATCAAATTCATATTTTAATTTGAGATTAATGTTCAAAGATCAGCACTTCATGTATTAATAGATGGGATTAATTTAAAAGTTCTATGTAGTTTACTGATTAATAATACTCTCTATTTTGAGAATTTTTATTTTTTAAGATACGGAGACAATTTTTGTTTAAAATTTGAATCCATGAAATATGTTCACATCATATATGTATTTATATAACTATATATAAATTATAGATAAGTAGTATTTTTAAATGCATTTCAATAAAATTTAAATTTTAGAATAAATGCTTTATTAATATTGATTTTTCAGAAATTTTTAAAATGTAGTTAATTTTTAACAATCAGTTAGGATAAAGAGGATTAATATAATAATACCTATTACATAAATAAATATAAAGTAAACCTATAAATCATTTTAATTGCTACTTAGAAATAGATGATAATAAAACATTTTTTTAGCTATAACGATGATAAAATATATCAACATATCTATTTGTAAAAATATATATAATTTAATTATTAATATTATATTAATATAAATAAATAAAATATCACACTATAACATAAACCCCTACCCATATGTAAATTGAAATATATATTTTTACGTTTAACATAATATTGTAATAATATTACAATATTTTACATAATATTGTATTAATATTTTTAATATTATATTTTAACACAATATTGTATATTGCATTTATGTAATGCAAATATAACTACATCTCACTAATATAACATTGAATTGTAGTGATACCTAGCACGATATCATATTTCTTGAAAATTTTACTTTAACACTTCATCTTTTATACGCCCACGCATGTCTTTATGTGTCATGTCAACACGTCTATTTGAATCAGTTATTAGTAGGATGACCGCTCTTTTATATAATATATTATTATGATTCAGATTTTAAGTTTGTACCTACTACCTACGCTTGTAAATATTTCTTTCAGAAAATATAAAAATAAGGACAATTTAAATTTAAGTCTAGTATTGAGAAAAACTTAAATATTAAATTGTAATTTTAATATTTTTCTGAATATTTTTTCAGTGTAACGTATATTTTACCACGGTATACAATATTTATAACTTTTTATCTTAGTTAATTTTATGAAGTACTTAATTGTATACATATTGTACTTATATTTAAAATTAAAATAATCAAATATCTTTGTTGTCTCAAATTAATATATGCGGTACGGAGTTTCTAATTACAAACTATAATGAATATATACATTGCTTCAGTAAATACTTAAAATTATAACCCATGAAATTTTAATTGCCAACTTTAAGGCTCACAGTTATATTTATAGTTGATTCTAGTATGAATACTACAAAGTTTTTTATTTTTTTTTTAAATGCCATTTTTATCGAATTTAAATAACTTACAATGTTAGTTTTTGATAAATATTATTACCATTTTTCTTTTCATACTTTATTTTTCTGATACAAATAAATGCATATAAATGCAATAGTAACATATATAGGTATAGGTATATAAATAATATGAAAATAATAAATGTATTTTAGTTATTATTTTTACGTATTAGCTTTGTATCTTTAATATACGCATATAAACACACTGGCACGTATAGGTAATTAACTATACTGTTTATAATACAAACCGAGGAAATAATTGATCTTCTTTTACATAGGTACATATTTATCTGCCTCATTATTTTTTCTCATTTAAATTACGATTAAATTAATTTATGAAATTCACTAGTTAACAAAATATATAGGTATTTTGTATAATAAACAAGTTTATAATGGCTTATTTCTTACTTTTAAATAGTTATAATATTCATTTAAAATTTGGAATTAATTGTAATATTATTTTTAGCTAAGATTTACTAAGTGGATAATTTACTGATTTCTTGAAATAGAGTCTTAAAGACTTGAATTGTTTTGCTATACCTTGAAGTAAGCCATTTTAGCCATTAGTGTGTTATTTTTTTAAGCTTTAAATAATAATACCATTGCATTAAAAAAAAAGGTTTTTTTAGAGAAGCTAGATACCAAAAAGTTAGAAAATTCGTTGAATTCATTTTTTTTTCGTTCATAGTTTTTACAATTTTTTCAAATTTGCATTGATAATTGTTTTTCTTTGAATCGATTAGAAATTAATAAATATATTTAGTAACTACTTTCAAAATACCTAGATGTATATATATATATATATATATATATATATATTTAAAAGCCAAATCGTGGTAAATAATTTATTGACAAGTACCACAGTATAAATATACTCTATAGGTACTGTATATTAAAAATTCTAATAAAAGTTCGATTACTAATATTCCAAAATAAAAACAATTATTTTGAAATAATAGAATATTTTAAATACCATAACATGTTTCAGAAATATGTACAATAACTTTTAAAATTTTTGGAATATAGCTATTAAAAAAGAAATAATCCTCCTATTTACAATACCTATTTCAATTTTAAGTGAGTTGTGAGAATGTTTAAACTTAAACATTTTACATACCTATTCAACATAACTCAAAACTCGTATAATAATTTAAATATTGTAAAAAAACCTACGTAAGAACAAAAGGTTGATTCTGATGAACGTAATTTTTGATGTTGCGCGTAGGTCAGATAGAGAAAACAAATAGTGCACTGATATCTTCTTAAGTTTTTTACTAGAACTATACATATTATATATTATAAATCTCCACAAATTAAATTAAAATTATTTAAAGAAAATTTTTTGTTTATGAATTAAGTTTTTAATGATGATAAATTTATAAATTCTTTAAAAAATCATTACTTTGAACATTTAATTGTTTATTTTTATAATTTTAATTATAATACTAAGATATAAATAAATATTACAGTTATACGTTTAATTAATAGTACTATTTGTCATGTCATTGTACTGCAATACTAACGAACAGGTCGAAAAAATCGTTCATTGTATTGAAAGTATGTTATTATTAGTTGAATAGGTAATTTGTTATAATTGTGTCTGGAATTCTGGATGCAACATGTTTGCTATTAAGAGGTCTTGTTATTGTATTTCACGTTTGTTAGATAAGAAAAATGAAAGTTATATAAAAGATAGTCAATTTACCTGTTTGATTAATATTATGTTTTTGGCTCGACGTTATCATTCATTGATGGAAAATTGCCGATTAATTATTTCTTGTTCTCAATCCAAAAGCTGTCTATCAAATTCTATTGTTTACGTTAGTTGGTCATTGCGCCTATGTAAATTTGGCTCATCTGATTTATACATAATTTTAAATATACTTATATTTATATGTATATAGAAGCCAATCAACATATGATTGAAAAAATACAATTATTGTGTACGAGTTGTCAAATTCAAAATGCTGTCGTCTTAACTATTTAGTTAATACTTCTGACGTCAGAAATATGTGTTCTATTCTTTTTTTTCTTTTAATATTTGTGGCCGCATCACGTTTCTCTCGATAGATTCACATGCTAAAAATATCCCTCGAGGAAGAACTAAGGAATGAACGTTGTTAGTGCTCGCTGAGTTGTGGTCATGTGCTGTGTTAAGTGATTTTTTTTTTACAATGGAGCAACTTATTCGAAGGTGGGTCTATACTTTTTGATATTTATTTAAGTATTTATTAAAATATTATTGTTTTATTATTTTATTTAAAACGCTGATTATTTTATGATTTATTAAAATATAATAACTTATGTAATATTAAATTTGAAAATAAATTAAATTTTATCAATGAGAAGACTCGTGGTCTATACTATATTTTTTTATACTAGATACAAAATAAAATTGTATTTTTTCATTATTATTTTATAGATTTAATTTTTGTGTTCAAGCATACAGTTTAAAGACTTAAAATAAATTATTAATTTTACACTTATATTTAATTTTATGTTTATTATTCTGATTATTTTTTCTGCTGGTAAAAATACAAGAATATAAAACAAAATATCATAAATGTAATAGTATTTGAAATACTTTAAGTATATCTAATTTTATTTTAATTGAATCTTAGATATGCGAAATTGTTCATTAAATAATTTAGCCAATGTAATTTCTAAGTGTTTGCCTACTATAACATTCGATATATTTTTTTAATAAAAATAATGTTAAATAAAAACAATATTAAATTACTATGATAAAGCTTGAATATAGGCAAGCAAGTATTTTTTAATATTAAGTAGTACAACATGTCTACATGATTTATAAGTTATAACCATAATATTAAAATATGTTATTAAATTTTATTATACATATACTTAAATTAATACTCAAGTCAGATTTTTTTCTTGAGGCAAACATTTTTTTTTGTTTTTGAACATTTTTGAAATTTATATGGGTAATAGACTTAACGTCAAGTCTAATACTAAATAGTTTTTTTTTTATGTTAAAATGATCTTTAACAAATATTTAGCTTATCAGTGATGAAATCTTATCGAATTGTGAAATATGTTCGGGAGGTTAATGGTGATATGATCAATTTTAATTAATAGTGTAATCACATATTGAGTGTACGATTGCATAAAATAAGATATTTTGGACAGTGTCCACGCCCTAAATTAGTGTAAATATTATTAGTCATCTTTATTTTTATGTCCACTCGCGCCATATTGGTTTTGGTCCAATTCCCACAAGTAGACGTTCTATTTTAAATAAATTTAGTGACACTCAACAAATTCAAATATTTTATTTCAAAAATCCATATCAGTCCTTAAATATGTATTAAATAGTTTGATTACCATCTCGATTATTCAAGGACTTTATTAACTAGGTAAAATCCATTACTAAAACCAATGTTATATTTATTTTTCTAATGTTAAATGATTATTTTTGTGTATTTCAAGTATTTTCATTAGACTTGATTTGCATTTGAAATGCATAAAATAAATATATTCTGATAAGATAATTGTATTTAATTGTTATACAATAGACATTAATAAGATGCACATAAGATATACAACACACATTGTAAAATATAAAGCTTATGCGTAAGTATAACGTATGATGCATATTACATAACACATAAGCACCTATATAACTAGTTATCAATATAAATAAGTTTTTATGAAAACTTAAAAAAAAACATTAAATAATTATATTTGTTACAATTTACTTAAGATTATAATTTTTCTTTTGCAATTATTAGCTTTCTCACTAATGTATATAAATTAATTATTATTATGTTATCCAATTATGCTATTTTAGATAATAGTAATTTATAATATTTGATATCAATTTGAATTTATGGCATAGTTATATAGATTTAAAAATTAAATTAATTCACATATAGGTAATAACATGGATCATAAAAAATAAAATATAAATTTAATAATTTATTTGACTTAAAACATATAAATACAAATATAATTGTAAGTCTTTTCATTTGATAAAGATTTAGGTAAAATATTATGTAATTAGTCAGTATAATAAAATTGAATTTATTATGGTAAATTCGATGAATGTTTCGATAATATTTTTTTTATTGCATTTGTTTGTCATAAATAAATAGAGTACCGTAGTTTATAAAAAAATTGAAGTTATCTCTTTAAAAAAAAGTATATCCTTATATTTACAACTTTTTTTTAAAATTAATCAAATCAATTCTTTATTAATTTTTAAAATTATTTTTTACTTCGTATACAATTTACTTATGCAAATTTAAAATTATATCTTTAGTCTGAGTATTTATTCATAACTATGATATTTTTAAAAATTTTATTTTGTTTTAGATTGTTTAAACAAATATTATATTTTATTTATTTTTAAAGGATTTGAAAAATTAAATTTAAATTATATTGCAGTATACTTAACATATTTTTCACATGCAATGATATTCGTGTATAAACATTTTTATATAATATGCATCTAACTAGTAATAAATATTATTTTAGTTTTTATTTATGTAATTTTTAATTATTGTGTATAATAAAAAAAACTATGGAACAAAATAATTTATGCATTTTATGCTTTAAGTAATTATTTAATTCGTAAATTTATCTTATTTTCCATATAATAATTACAGTTAAAATTAAAAATTTTGTAATTTTTATTTATGAAATCGAAAACAAATATTTTTATAAGTTAATTTAATGCGTTTACTTTTTCTATAGACAGTAATTTTAATTTTATACAAAAAAAATTATACAAAACTGTTTTTTAAAAAATATAACATATAAAAATATTATATTTTTAAATTTAGTAAAGATAAGATTGTAATCATAAAGTTCTCATTTCATTTTAAAATAGCTTTTGGTTATAATAATATTTTGAAAAGCTGTGGGTATTTGCTAATTTACAATGCTGAAAATATCTTATTATTTATTTTTATTTTTTTAAATTGATGTATATCCATGAGTATATTAGAGCTTATACGTATTTGTAATTCATAATCATCAGCTAATTATGTTGTTAAAATATTTTTAAGTAATTGCACAAAGATATTGGTTTAGTTACTTGAAAGTTTTAAACTAGTACGTGGAATTTTATTGATGCAATATACTCAATATGTCAAATTAATTAGTCTCACTTTTTCATAATGATTTACACTAATAAACAAAAATAATTGCATATTTTTTTTCTTCTAAAAATATATTTTGAATTGACTCAATACGTATTTTAAATTAAAAACTTTGTACAAACATCATTCAAAATAAATTATACTACAAATATTTATTGACATTTGTTATACTGTTTAGTATATTGTATATTGTAGTATTGTACAGCTTGTCTGAAATGCTAATTATAGTGAACATATTTTCTAATATTAACCTTTACTCTGAGCCAGTTTAAATGAATGCTATAGAGGTTTGAAGTTTCTCTATATTGTTCTACAAATTCAAGTATCAACCAATAAAACAAAATAAATTTTGACAATCACTGAATATTTTAATACATGTTTAATTTAAGCTTGAACCATAATATTATGTAGATACAATTACCAACATATAAATTCTAACAATGCATTTCTAATAAAGTTATTTTTTGTTTTAATTATCATTAAATACGATTTTATTTTGAAAACATTTTGAAAGTTTTGTTTTTTAAATAAATATAGGTCCTAAATCAATATAAGTTATATAGTTTAAAAAAAAGTTAAAAAAATCATAAGATACAAATTTTGTTATAAAAATAAAATTAACATATTGTGAAATATTTACGATTACATATATTATTTTTTAATCGCCTTTTGTAGTAATTTAATAGTGGATATTTGATAACACTATGAATATGAGAAATATGTATGAATAAAGTTTAATAAGATAAAAAACCATTATTAATTGTGTTTTATATTACCTATGATACACAAATTTTGTGTATTTATCAACATAATAAATAAAAATAATTATGATCTACGAATAATGAGCCAGATAATTTCTGGAATGAAATCGAAATAGGTATTTACATATTTTAATAACTATAAATTTCACCTATTTGTTAAAATTAAATTTTTATAAGTTTATTTATTAAATAGGTTAGTATAGTTATACTTGGATAGTGTTCTATTTAATATACTGGTACACCTATCTAAAATTCATGTTTTTAATGTGTTACATTTACACATTTATATTAATTTTTTTTAAACATACAAACGAGTTATTTATCTTTTCCATTGGCCATTTTCCCACTTTATTTACTAGTTTTTGCTAATTATTATCGTTAGATGTTTTATCTAAATAAAACATATTTTCTACAAGACATGTAATTATGTCATACAGACAAAAATCGGATAAGTATTATTTCAAATCAAAAATTTATTTTAATTTATAATTATGATTAGCATAAATGTATATTTAGTTCTAGAACAAAAGCATTCTTATTTATTTTGCAAACAATAGTTTCGCATTCAAAAATATTAAGTTCGGTAGTAATCAAAGATAAAAAGTTGTTATGTATATTATTTAGATATAAAAACAATTTTTTTAAATACTAGAAACAAATATTCTAGGATTTTAATTAAACAATAACAATTTTATTTAAAAAAATTAAAATGCCTTAGTTTTTTTTTTTTGGTTCATCAGATTACTTACTCGTCTTTTTTAATCAGATTTTGATAGTTGTACTGTATAGTTCAAGTATAATCTATTCTAGATCATTATATTAGAGAAAAATATATATTTCCCATTACGTGAATTTCTCTAACAGACAATTTTGTAAAAATAGGTTATTAGCCATACTTATTTTATGTTTATAAAGAGAAGTACACACATTGAGAAAAACAAAAATTTGTATACGTTAATAGATTGTATATAGTTTAGTATCAAACGTCATAGCACCATGTTGTTTTACACTGTATAATTAACAACTTGTTAACTTTATACTTCTTGTGAAGTACCTATATAGTTATATAAAGATGCATGTATATAATTATTACGCAATACTATATATGATTATTTATTTATATATAATATACAAGTATGCGTGTATACAATTATTTAATATAACGTTGTGTAATTATCAACGGTTGTGTATTTATAATAAAAATATGTGAATGAATCAAATATATGTTTTTGATTTCATAGATAAATTAATTTTAGATTTGAATCGAAAATTAAATTTCTTGATCCTTACATATCATATCTATATACTTTATTTTCTGGCACAAAATTTAATAATTCAACTTTTTCTCATTAAATTATACATAAAATGTAATGTAACATATTTTTAAATTCGCAGTGTTAATTTTTCATATAACTAAATACTTCAAAATTATAAAATTATGGTACGTGGCTTATTTTATAGTACCAAAATAACGTAGAATTTTATAGATTTATATAAATAATATGCCTATAAATAAATTCCAATAAATAAATTAAGAATTATATTATTATTAAATTTTTTATTTTTTAGTTATTTAACTATGTGGTTTATTTTATTTTAAATAGTTATGAAAACTATAATTCTATCAATTAATTGAATAGTTTTTGAAATATATATTTAAAATACTTGATATTATCTGTATAAATATAAAATACATACTTAATAGTTAATTATACGTTAGCCATTCCATCTGTGTTTAGTATAATAATGGATTGATACAATATAATAAAATACTTTTTAATTTGAAGTTAAAATTTATTTTAATAATGAATTATAGTTTAATTAAGTGAATATAATGTATATTAAATGTCATAATCTAATATACAATTTAAAAATTCACTTCTAATTATAATAACAGTACTAATTATTTGATTCATAATAATTAACAACACTATTTAATAAAAAGTTAATTTAAATTTTGAATAAATTACTAAATACCATTTACGAAATATTTCACCGGTTTATAATTATATATCTAGTTACTGAGATTTTAATTTAAAAATAATTTTCTTACAAAATATATAAGTATTAATTATTGATTTATCTATATTCTTCATGAGTTTATTGTAACGAGATACTTACACATAACATTGTATTAAATATCAATTTTTATGTTATTATTTTTTTTTCAGAATGTTATTATGTAGAATTCCTTACAAAGGACGAAGGATGTTATTGAATTGTTGAATTAATAATAGAAGTCCTTCCACACTAGAGTACACAGGACGAAAATATTTTTTTTTTGCTATTGAGCACCAACCGGTTTGCACATTATAACGATGGGCGTAGCCGAAGATTTTGCTCCTAGCTTCACGCAGAAGCCACAACTGCGACAAGAAGACGAAGGAAACAGATTGATATTTGAATGTCGACTGTTGGGATGTCCCAAGCCAGAAATTACATGGTTCCGGGGTGAGACTCAGCTGGCCGAAGACCACCGGACTGTAATGAAAATCCAGGCAGTAGCTACCAACACGTATGTAGTAATTCTTGAGCTGGATGATGTAATCGAAATGGACGCTGGCCTTTATAAGGTCAAAGCAAAAAATAAAATGGGTGAAGTGGCAGCATCGATCAATTTGAATTTCAGCCGTGAGTATCGCAACAGTATTATTTTTATTTGTTTGTTTCTATTTTTTTAATATTGATGAAAAATTTACCTCTTTAATATTTATTTGTAAAAACATACAATTTCAATTATAACATAATTGGGAGTTTGAATTTTCCCTCGTAAAAGTGATAAGTTCATAATGATTAAAACAGTACCTACAATAAAATTTTGGCATGAGCCCATTTTTTATTCTAAATGTGTGAAATATTCACACGGGTCTTTAAATATTTTAAATAAAATTATTTTTAATTTGATGAAGAAAACTAAAACTAGAAATAAAATTATTGTGTTTGAAAAATAATCATAAAAATTTTATATTTTACAATTTAGTTTTTATTTGTTCATAGTTTTCATTTATATTCAAGCTTATAACAAAATAATTATACTATAATAAAATACTGAATGTTTTATATACCTTAAAATTGTATAATATACACAATAATAAATATTTAAATATTTAATAATAATATATTAATATGTATAATATACTAATATGCGACCATATATATATGTAATAGTATGTACTATTCAACTATTGGTTAAATTATTCTCAAAATTTGGTAAAATATACGTAGGTACCTATTATAATAATCAATATTATGATACTGTTATCACACTTAAGCTAAAAAAAAAATAATTCATTATAATTAATGGATATGTGGTATCTTACATGGATTGCAAATAATTACTTCAGAAATGTAGATATTACAAGTTTCTATTTTTATTGATTTTTTTAATTTTGATTTAGTTAAAAAAAAGTGGTGGATATAATATGAATACGTTTCAAAATATTTTTCAGTTTTTTTTTATATACCTACTATAATAAAGGTATAATTATGAGTATTATTTAATAACACTATTTGTTGACAACAAGAATTTTTTTATTAAAACATTTTTTTATCACTTTATTATTTATTGGGCATATTTTTTTTTTTTAACTATTGAAGTACTTAGATTTTTTAATATTTTTATCATGTTTTTTCTCGATTTTTTATGGAACATTTTATTTAAAAGTTAAATTTTTATATTAATTTTATGAAATAAAGTCATAATTTTTAGTTGTAAACTTAAGCGGGTCAAATTTCTACAGATACTTTATAAATTAACAGTTAAACAAAAATAATATTCTGAAATTATACAATTAAATGAGCTACTTATGACGTATAATTTATAAATAATATTATATATTTCAATGCCCGATTTACGGCATTAATTGGTACGTGAACATAACAATTGATTATATTTTATAAAAAAAAATAGCCCTTCTATCTTCTCAAGTTCGTTAACATTTATGATGTTGGCACTATGTCTATGTAAAAATACACAGTGATCCAGTGAGAACAGTTGAGTGGGTTAATTTTGGCAATAAACTCACATTCCCCTAAATATAGATAAAGAGTTCTGTCACCAAACGTTTCTACTAATGAGACTTGCATTTAAAATTACTTTGCTAAAAAATATGTTTAAGAACACCTAACAATAAGAATTTTTTTATTTAAATGTTTTATGAACAGGCAGGTTAATAATTTATTATACATTTATTATACCTATCTCTATTTTAAAATATCAAATTAAATTATTTATTGATTATACCATAGTTATTTATTCTTTCATATGAAAAACATCATAATTTAACAATAGCTATTAGAAATAAATAATTTTAAGGTATTTTTAATTCATTTGTAAACAGTAAAAATAATTGTTAAAAGTTGTTTTCATTGAAACATTTAATTGAATATGATAATATATATGCATATAAAATTGTATTTATGAAATGCTTTGAAAAATTCAAGATGAAGTTTAAAACCGTAACGCTGTTATTTAAATTATTATAATTTAAGGTTAAATATTTCCAAAATATTTATGCTATAGTATTATATTTAATGACTAACCTGTAAGTACGTACATCTAATGCATATTTATGTCAAAAAAATCATGTTTTTAATTTTTTAACCAGTACTTACTTAAAGTATAATTCTATACTAATATGCCAGTTTACTTTAAAAATTATATTAATTGTAAATATAATATGCTATATATTATTAGCATCACACAATATATTTAAAGTTATCAATAAAATAATATTATTAAAATAAAATAAAATAATATGATATACGATATAGGATAATTAAAAAGATTTAATAACTTTGGAGATTGAAGAATACATTTTAAAGCTTTTTTTAGTATTCGTCAAACTTAAAATTATTATTTTTTGAAAAATATCTGGCTTGATAAAATACTTTATGTTAAAATAATAAAAATAAAAAAAAGCCATTAAACTATACATAATGATCATTGCTCCCATTTTTGATATTTTTTAAGTAATATTAAGAAATACATAAAAATTATTTTAAATTAATAAGTTTCTATGTAAATCTATAGTATTTGGTTTGGGTTTAAAAGTACTTAAAAGTATAAAAAATATAGGTATCTAAGTATGTATGCAGTAATTAATTATTTATTCGAACATTAAAATAATAAATTAAACATTTGATGAAATATAAATTTTGGTTTGGCTTATATTCCAATCAACATAATATGTCAATTTGATAGTTAATTATTAGTTAATTGTTTTTTGTTTTTGTTTTAGCGGTTGACGAACCTCATGAAAAGTAAGTTATATTTATTCTTAACTTTAACCATTAAATTGTTTACTAAATTTATTAATATTTTTTGTAGACAAATAGATGGACTGGCCCCAACATTTTCAAAAAAGCCATCGATTAAACAAGAAGACGATGGTAAGAGACTTTTATTCGAGTGTATTATTCAAGCTGATCCAAAACCATCAATTACATGGATTCACGGTGGAAAACCAGTGATCGATTCTCCTAGACATAAAGTATGAATAAATATTATTTTTGAAAAATAAATTTTTATTTAAACACACGTATTGGAAATAAAACTAACCGTTTTTTGAAATACAATTTTTTATTTATAATCTTTTATCTTTTATGAATTTATGACTATAATTTTAAGTATTTATGGAAAAATTATTTATAAAAAACGGAAGTATCATTTTTGGAAATTGTTTACTGATATATAGGCAATAACAGAAATACAAGTTAACTTCCAATAATTTAGTTTTTATAAGGATTAAAAAGCTATCACTAGTAAAATAATAAATTATTATTAAATTTCTATTGTTTATAAAATAAGAAAAATTTTTATTCTTTTCAATTGTAAAAAAATAAAAATCTCTTTTAACTAATAAGAAAAATAAATAAATAGATACCTAAATCATAGTTTTTTATTTAAAAATAAATCTAAACTTTTCAGAGCCATTTTTAATTTTTAATTATTTATTTTTTCAGCAATATGTAGATAAAGATGGACATTCCTATTTAGCAACTCTAGAAATAAGAAACGTCACTGTTGAAGATGCTGGAAAATATAAAGTTACAGCGAAGAATGAGTTGGGTGAAAGTAATGCGACAATTAGTCTTAATTTTGACAGTAAGTATTAATAAGGTTTAATAATGCATTACTCGTATTAAACATATATTTAAACTTATACCTACAAATTAGGTATTTTGATTGTATAATTATATTTTAAAGAATTTGGCTTTCTTGCTTGTTTATTGTAGAGCTAATAATATTTATGAAAATTAAATTCAAAAAATAAATTAAATTAACTTAACCTTACATATAGACTTCAATTTGTAGTAATAAAAATATTTTGTATGGGCGATGCAGTATAAAATTAAATTATTTAAATGCAATTGGGCTTAGTTACAGTCTATTCTAAAATTGTGTAGTATAAATGAACTCTTCAATGAGTTTAATTTAATCTTGTAAATATATTGTATTATATAACTATTGCAATTGATTTTTGTGCGTCTGTTTGTGTGATATATTGCTATGTGAAAGGAAATATTCTTTAAAACAAAAATGAAATCATATATGATATTTACAAATATGATAAATTTTCATTTTGATAAGTTCATTTCAAAACCTAAATTCATACAAAGTATTTTCGGTTTAATTTCTTTAAAACACTTAGAATAAGCATTATTATTTAGGTATGTACTATACTGTATAATTTTTATTTAATTAAAAAAATTATATTTTTCAATATTAATAGGTTATTATTAGTAACCTAGACCTTAGAAGATGATTTTACTATAATTTTTAGATTTAATGATAACTGTTAAACGTATTGAATACATACAAATATATCATTGTAAATAAATATTTAGCCCATTAAGTTAAAGTTTAAAACATTCCAAGAATTAAAGTTCATACTGAACTTCAGATAAATAGGTAACTGAGAAGTTACTAAATTTAAATGCTTATTAAATTGGGGAAATATTGTATTGTCTTCTCGGGTATATTTATAATTACTTCCAAATATTGTTTTGAATTTATTTCTCATATTCTAAATTATTAAAATTGTTGTTATGATGTTGAGTTTCAGTCTTGTTAAGTATTTGAATACTTTTAAAATACGTTTTGATAAATGCATTTTCAATCATTTTTCTTTGTTTTTTTTCCAAAATATTAAATACTTTTATTCATATTATTTTATTTTAAAATAATATTTTTTTTTAATGGTTCTAAGTATTTATAAAATTGTATTAAATAAGCAAATAATCAAGTAAATAAATTATTCATCTACCCAACTGAAGTTTAACTTATCACAAATAACTTATAATCATGTAATAATATTATGTGTTATCTAAAATTCTCGAACCTATAAAAATATGATCATATTAATAAAGTATCTATATGTGAATATATTTTAGTATTAAATTTATTGAACTTAAAAAAATCTAAGCAGAATATTTGAATAATTTTAAAAATCATTTGAGGTTATTCAAAAAAGTATTTGAATACCCATTGTAAATACAAATGATACCAAATATTTAAATGAATCTTCTTAATTCATTTGAAAAGTATTCTTAACAAGTCTGTTGAACCTTAAGTTATCAAGAAATCCTGTTTGATAGTGCAATGGCATTTAATATAATAATTTTAAAATAATTTATTAAATCCAAAAATAAATTATACGTTTAATTTGAAAAATACGGTATGTAAAATTTTAAAATACTTAGTAACAATTTAAATTTAAATTTGAAAAATAAATACATTCAAATAAATAACTTACAGTAGGCACGTAATGAAAATTACTTCTTAGTGTTTTTTTGAAGGGTTTTGAATTGAACGCTTATCAAAACCAGATCTGTAATTAAAACATATTACCATTCTAATACATTAGCTTTGTAATATACGCAGTAGTATGTAATAAATAACGTGTGAGTTCACTATTTTCAACAATCTAAAACATATAATAAAAATTACTTAAATGTATACGTATATATACAGAAGTATTAAATATATATTTATTGGTAAATAGTTATTTAAAAAAAAAAAATGCGCGGTTTATGATCCCAAATATCACCCACATAAAATTATATTATTATATATAAACTAAATAGATAATTAATTTTAAGTTGGTTTAATATAGTGTAAGTGAAATTTATATATATATATATATATATTATAAAACTCTTTTGTATAAATGTATGACATAGATAATGTGTGTACATGGCATAAGGTTATTATTATTACGTGTACACTGTGGTGGGCAGTGATGAACTGTAGGTTTTCAGTAAGTTTTAACTTTAGGTGACGAAGCACCTGTACCTGAAGATGGGATAAAGCCCACATTTACTGAAAGACCTATAATTACACAGACTGAAGATAGTAGAAACGTTATTATAGAATGTCGTCTTGTGGGAGATCCAAAACCAACGGTTCAGTGGTGAGAACAAATATATTTTTGTTTTTATTAATTTTCACATTAATGATCATTATATTATTTAATTGGTTCTTTTTATACTATAGGTACCACGGTAAAAATATTGTGAAGGGTAGTAAGTATTCCTCGTCATTAAATGTAGATCAAAAGCTATATTACTTGGCAAAATTAGAAATAAATAATACAGAAGAAACAGATAGTGGGGAATACAGAGCCGAGGCAATCAATGTGCATGGAAAATGTGTCGCTAATGTAAATCTGAATTTAAATGATGATAATAAAGGTCATCTTAAGTAAGTAAAATATCTTAGTAAATATAATTATTTAATATAAATAATGGTTAGGCATAAAAAAATTGAAATAAAAATTATTGAAAAAATTATATTTACAATATTATGTCTTAGTTGTTTTGTGTGACATGTATTTTTATAAAGTGTTTACAATCCCTTAAAAGATACCCACTATAAATTATAAATTAAAAACTATACCTACAATTATACATATATATATATATATATATATATAATTATATATTCACTATTTTTATTTGTATAAAACATTAAATATTCATTATGGCTAAATGATTGTTTAATATTTTTATTTTTTATTTTATGATCATTTTGACAATATCCATATTATATACAATAAAGTTACATGATAAAATATTTTTATTTTATATGAAACATGCAATATTTAACCTACGTAAAGGGCCAACTTTCTTTATATATATATATAATTCTTCTGTGCACGTGTAAGTCACTAAACTCCTCTTAAACGACTGTACTAATTTTGATAAAATTTTTTGTATGTATTTGAGCCAGTCCCTGGATGGTTTAAATTCAAAATTGGGCCCAGTAGGCTGCGCTGATATCAGGTTTTAAGAAATTTCGAAATGAATAATGTCTTAAATAACAAACGTATGATTATTTGAAATCAATGATATCAGAAACCATTCATTCGATCGTCTTTCAGCTTTATTTTTAATTAAAAAGCTCACCTCGGGACATGGTTTAAATATAGTTTTATGGACCTTACTCTCATCCACGGAATATTAAAAGATGAAATATGAATATATTACTGACACCATTAATCTAGGAAAATTAAATTTAAAATTAATACTGGTATAATTTTTTTTTTGATAAAGCTAAGCTTAATACAACTAGAAGATTATCAATATTGTATTAACTTATTATTTTTAAGTTAATTTTAAAATAATAATTATAAAAATCTAATAAAAAAATGAACAAATTGCCAGTAATCAGATAAAAAACCGAGATATAGAGATACAACACTGTGCATTCGTTTGGGCGCGGAAGATTTTAAGTCCATTTTCGATTTTACAAGTTATTAATTTTTAAAATAATCGAAAAATATGAACATAAAAATATCAAAAGAACGCCGTGTCATCTATGGACAACAATTATAAATAATGGGATAAAAAAATAAGAAAAAGAAATTTGAACCACAAAAAAAGCGTAATTTTAATGGGTAACAAAGGGCTTGGTGATAACTGCTATGTTGCTTGCTCTCCCGTGTAAGCTCTTAAAACAATTTATATGTCTATAACCCTGATCATAAAAACTAATTACATAGTTTACAAAAAAAATATTTGAAAATAGATAGAAACTTTGAACAATACTTTAAAATTGTAAAAATTATAAAATTAATAGTTTTTATAGTAATACATTAACTACTCATAATTTATGAATTCAACTGAATTACTGAATTATAATAATTAATGTTGGGGATTTATAACAAATAAAAATATCAATCAAATAGTTTTTAATATTAAAAAATATTATTGATTAAATATAATAATAACAACATAATATTATTTGAAGTTTGAAAACAAAATTTTACTTTAGAACTGTATGATATCTACTTATTTTTAGTATGTACTTATCAAATGCTTGATCAGAAATTGATCATAGTCAGTATGATTGGTGCATATATTTGTCTTTAGTCCGTATTAGAATCTTATGTCGGTTTTAAAAATATTCACTTGCTGTGAGGAGTATAGTCTTTGGGCTATGTCAATTAGAGATTTAACACAGATTGCTTTTCGAATTTTTTAAAAATTAAAAGCTTGTAAGGAACATCCAACATGTAAGCATCTATATTGAGAACATATATTTTTAATAGCCTTGGCCATTTTTATATAATAATCATATAGCTCGATTAATTTTTTTTTTTTTTAACATTTATTTTTGGTCACAAGTTTAAAATAATAATAATTTAACACATACACTGTTATACTATGACAGGATAAATGCTTATACTCAATTTCTGATCTGATTCTTGTCCATACTTACTTATTTTCGTTTCATATTTAAATATAGCAAAACATTTTTATGTTATATAGTTAAATATTTTAAATTTAATAAATCAATATATTATATAACAAACAAAACAAATATTAGTTTTAATTTTAATACTACAGTTCTATTTTAAATTCTAATTGGATTGCTTTGATAATTTAACTTAACTAAGTATCTCTTTTTTTTTTTATTGCTTTTTTGAGCTAAATATTTACCTATTTTACATATAGTTTAAAATCAAGCTGTTTAAAAGAAAACACTAAATATGAACAAGAACATTTTTTAATAAGCTTTGGTTGTTTATCATACAAAAATTAAATTGATATAAAATAGATAATGATACCTATATTTATTTCAAACAAATACTTTGAAAATGTGAACATATTATAAGTAATAAGGATTTATTAATAAGTTTCAGTATTATTAAATAGGTAGGTATTTAAATATAAAATACCTATCTACTTTCAAATAAGCAAATAACAGTTCTTTAAAATTGTAATTTAATATTATAATTTGTGTACAGTAACCAAATTTGGTTATATAATATAAATAAATATAAAATAAATTTAATTAAAAATAAGTAACTTAGATTTAGTATACTGTATAATATGTACTACATAGTTTTGATACATAGTAAAATCCAAAAACACTTACAGTGATTGAACTTGATGTTCGTAATTTAGTATAAGTAGTTATAACTAAATGTCTTTACAATCTTTAGTATCTGATATTGGTTTTCTTAATTCAAGCTCTCAACGACCTCTATAATATTTTTTCTTAATAATGAATTCGATTTAGATACCCCAAAGTAAAAGTGAAATATCGAAACATTTCAAAGTTGATGTAATAAAAGTAAAATAGTATTGACCAATTTAATTGATTATGAAAATAATAACCTATGATAATGAAAACACAACACTATGAATTTGAAAACCTTTAAAATACGTATAAATATTTTATATTAACAACATATTAAAACCAGGGTAATACTAATAAAAATTAAATATAAGTAGTTAATTTTTATTTTTTAACTTGGATTACCTATAGAAATAAAGAATAAAATATTCAAGTTACGTATTTAAAAAATATTACTCTACTATAACTTTTAAACATAAATTTATGCTTAGCAAGTTATAATAATAGATTCAAAGCTAAAAAAGGGGTTGATACTATAGTTATTATAGAACTAGCAAAATGTATGTGAATAAATAATATATCATGTATAATAATTAATAAACTTTGGCATATGTGTAAAATATTACTGATTCGATGATATCTTATTTTTATAAAATTTTCCGTTTTTAATTAAATAAGTAAGAAGCTATTTTTACCGTTATATTTATATTTATTATTTTACTTTATGGTATATTCAATTACAATGCTTAATAAATATTTATTTCATTTTTTTTTTTTTATATTTTTAGAATTCCAGAAGGAAAACAACCAAGGTTTCCTAAGAAGCCAGTGATACATCAAGAGGGGGATGTTTTAGTAATGGAGTGTGAGCTGGAAGCTAATCCCATCCCAGAAATAAACTGGTATCAAGCATCTAAATTAATATTAGATACAGGACGGATTAGAATGTCAAAAAAGACAATTGGCAAAGACATGTATTTACTTAGATTAGAAATCACAAATCCCACCAAAGAAGATGGTGGAAATTATCGTTGTAATGCTTGTAATATATTTGGTGAAAGCAATGCAAATATATCATTGAATTTCCAAGGTATACCCAAAAAAAAAATATATATATATATATAATACAACCTTATGCACAATTATTGTACCCTATATTCCATTACAACCGCGCATGTTAAATACCAGTAATAAATTAATGTGAATAATAATAATATTGTAACATAAAAATTAACGTGTGGGTATTAATATTAATATACATATATATATAAATACATATATTTTATTTTATATACAAAAATACATAAATATTTTTAAATGTTTAAATAAAAAAATCCCATTTTGATTTCAGGTGGTGATAGTAGTTCTGGATTTGCGCCATCGTTTATCGAAAAACCTCGAATAATTCCAAATGAATCTGGAACACTAATTACACTCCGGTGCAATTGCACAGCTAATCCTAAGCCAGAAGTTGAGTGGTATAAAGGAACGAAGCTTGTCACGGAGACATCGAAAATTTCTATGAAAGTTACCGGGAAAGAAAACATATACGAAATACTTTTATTGATACAAGTAATTTTTATATTTTTCATTTGTAATAATAATGCTATCAAAGTTATGGTTTTACAGTAAGTAATTAAAAATATCGATATTTAATTATAGGATCCAATTGGTCCGGATAGTGGCACTTATAGATGTCACGTGAAAAATGAACATGGTGAGAGCAATGCAAACTTAAATCTTAACATTGAAACCGATCCTGAACCAGAAGGTGAACCTCCTACATTCTTAATTAAACCAAGAATACAGTCCAAAAACAACGGTAAACTAGTTGTTATGGATTGCACTGTAAAGGCAAGTCCCAAACCAGAAGTCGTCTGGTACCTTGATGGTAAGATATTGAACCAATCTTCGAAACTTTCTTGGAGAGTCGAAGAAAAAGGGGATTCTTACTACATATGCCTGGAATTAAAGGTATTTTATGATAAATTTTAAATCCCAAAATAATTGCAAATGCATTTCTGTATAAATTTATAACTATAATATAGTAAATAATATAATTAGTTACTAATTTATTTTTAACATAACACCATTAGAATCCAGGTAAAGAAGACACGGGGTTGTATAAATGCAGTATAAAAAACGGGAATGGTGAACTGAATGCAAATCTGACACTCAATATTGAAAGTAAATAAAAACATATCCCAATAGTACACGTATTAAATACAAATTTTAATCTTTATATTTAACCTTGATTACAGTAATACCGGTGATCAAAGAAGTCCCACGTGTTGTCACAATATCAAAAACTAAAAACGTTGTCATTGAGTGTCGCATCCAGTCCATTTTCGAACCCCAGTGCACATGGAAAAAAGACAACACTGTGATCAAAGACAACGTTACAAGACAAACGAAAATCGAACGCGTTAATGATGTAATGAAATTTAATTAATAACATAAATAACCTCAAACGTTTATTTATTAAATAAATTGCATTTTTCTTTTAGGGAGAGTATTTGGTAAAATTAGAAGTGAAAAATGCAACTTCCAGCGATAAGGGTATTTACAATTTGATCGCTAAAAACGAAAAAGGTGAAGTAGTATCTAGTCCTATTGAAGTAAAAGAAGTTGTAGAAGAAAAAGTAGAAAAACCATCTATTGATGAGAAACTTAAATCAATCGTGAGTACTAATGAAAAATGTAGTGTTCGTGTGATTTTTCTTTTCATTTTAAATACTAATTCAACTAACAAATGAAACTTTTAAAGAATAATTAAATATAGGTTCACATATTCCTAAAATAGTTTTTTTCTTTTTATAAAAACGATTTTATAAAGATGGAATTATATGAATATTTATTCAAAATTTTCAGGTAAATTTGTTATAAGTTAATTTTATAAAATATGCATGTATTATTATCATATATAATAATAATAATAATAATTTGTTTTCACTGTTAAATAGATAATAAATATAAGTTCAATCAAATATAGTTACATAAAATTGCATATCATATGCAAGTGTTTTATTATTATTAATCGATTATAATATATATATATATATTATGTTTTAATTTTTGCCAGTCATATTATCATTTGATGCATTTTTTTCCCTATTGTTAAAAATTATCGGTCCCAACCGAGGATACTGACCATCGTGCATTGACCAATCGTTAACTTCTAGGTTTTTATTTTCTTCCTTTTCTAGCTCATCTTTCCACATCATAATTTTAAATTCTTTATCTTTATTTGGAACTTGCCTGATATATTCTACATCATTGCGTACTTTTTCCTTAAATTCAGAAGGAGTAGAATATTTATAGCTATCAAAGTCATCTTTTTCCATACTTTACCAAGAATTATTTATTTGTAAATGCGTATCGTTAAATAAAATAGAACTTCAATTTGTTTATTCAGATCCATTTCAGTTATTTTTTAAATCAAAACAATATATTGTATCTAATTAATATATGTTTAATTGCAGCCAAAATATATGAAAATGGTTCGAGAATATTGTGCAAAAATTAAAATTCATTTTTACACAAATGTTAAGTTAATTTTAATAATATTTTGATGAATAAACTCAAATAGCTAATGTTAATATTTAATTTAGAACACATCATATGCATACACTGAGTTTTAAGAAAATATTGTAATTGCAATCCACATTGCAAAAAAGAAAACAAACATGTTTAAGCTTTTATAATGCATTTTAAAATAGTCAGATAAAATACTTAAATAATAATTCCTAAACACGCATTTCTATTAATTTTTAATACAAACATAAATTTCAATATGTTCATCAAACAAAAGTGTTTTAAATTATCGACCATTCGTGGTATACCTACATAGTATAATGCTACGGGGTTAATTACTATGGTCTAATACTATCAGCTAAGTAGGTATGTATAAATAAATTTAGAAATAAAATACTACATAACTAGTTATTACGAATGTTATAAGTTATTAGTTATGATCTTATAATTATTAAAATATATTTATTCTTATTTAACTCTATTATATAATTTATAATATATTTAATTAGAAATAATATAATTTTTCTTGTATAAAATAAAATTGTAATTTTAACAAAAATATGATTACAGTATTACGCCTAATGGATTTGATGTACAATGTACAATTGTATTGTATTATATTTTAATTGTTGTTAATAATTTGCTTTTTGCAAATAATGCGAGTAATTCTAATTTAATATGCTTTATTTTATTTTGCAATTTGAAAGTTTAAAAAAATGTTTTAATGCTTCATGTGCCAGTTTTAATTCTATAATCAAAAGCAATTCAAAATATACTCAAATTTATAATATAACACCATCCTCGAAAAGATGTTAAGAATTGGTGATTAATAAAACTTAGTGAGTATTTTTCATGTAACATTATAATTATTTTAGAGCTATAAATTTTAAGTAAAATAATAAACAAATGTATATTACCTTTATTGAGTAAGATAGACAAAATTTAAGTATAATATTTTTAAACCTTATTATAGCGTGCTAATGAAGGTGAACGAATAGAATTTGTTTCTAGTTTATCCAAAATTGATAAACAAGTCACAGTCATATGGTACAGGTAAGAAATTAAATATTAAATAAAAATGTTAAATTATGAATTATTTGTAAAATACATTATTTAGAAACTCAACAAAAATAACGGAGACATCAGAAACAATTATTAACTTTGATGGAAAACGCGCAAGTTTAATAATCACGAAAACCAAAATAGAACACTCTGGTACCTATAAAATTGTATTTAAAAATTCTGCTGGAAGTGATGAATCATCTGCAGAACTTAATATTTTTGGTGAGCGTAATTCTATTAATAATATATAAAAGTATTAAGAAAAATAATAATTTTGTTTGTTTTTTTAACAGAAAAAATGGAAGTTGATGAGAAACAAGAGGTAAGATGATAAGATAAGAAAAAAATATAATTTTTTTTTTTTTAAGTGTTTAAAGTCTTTTGAAAAACAATTTGTAAACAATGTACAACATATTTCAGGAGGAAGTTAAAGAAACAAAAGAAAAAACTGTAAAACGAAAATCTTCAATAACAACCAAGGTATAAATCAAATTTTAAACCGTAGTATTATGTATTATACAGTTTATGTTAAATCTGTAATTAAGTAAATTACGTTTAATTTTAATTAGAAAACGGAAGAAAGTGAAACTAAAGAGAGTGCTTCTCCAGAAGTAAAACGAAAATCTTCAATACTTAAAGTAAGAAATGAATCATATATTTAACTACAATTGTATAGTACCTATATATTATAATGTCATGCACTCACGATAGTGGTTTTTATGTATTTATATTTCAAGTTTTAATATTTTTAAATATTTTTGATAGTTTTTTTTTAGTATTCAGTTTTATTATATTTACTTACATTTTACACCTTTATTCAAGGACTTATAATTTTAAACTGTATTCATTATTGTTTTATTTTTCATTAAATTTTTAATGATCAAACTACATTTAATTTGATATGTCCAATTATCTTTTTACGTATTACACTTTAAACTATATAATGATCTTTCTAAGTATTTACAACGAGTTCGTTAAACTTTTCTATTGTATACATTTTTCTCGTAATTAATATTTGGTATTGTAAGACATAATTGATTGTAGATTTATATTGTGCATTATGTTTCAAATATTTTTGATTATTATGTTTATTTAATAAATTTACTTTGTATAGACTACTGATGAAACTGAGATAAAGGAAGATGGACAACAGGAAGTAAAGAGGCGATCTTCAATATTAAAAGTAATTTATTTAAAATTATACGATACAATTAATTGAATACAATTCTACTAAATGGTTAAATATTTTAGAAATCTACAGAAAAAACTACAACTACAGAAGAGGAGCAGAAAGATAAGGAAAAAAGAAGATCTTCAATATTAAAAGTAATTATTTTAAAACTGAGAATACTAATTTAGTCAATTAAGTCCATTTTAATATACAGAATTTAATTTTCATAAATTCAAAAAAATTAGTTTTTAATAAAATGGATGGCACAATATGTATTACATTTATTTATCACAGTAATATCATATATTATAATTATTTATAATTTAGTATTTAATCTGGGGAAGTGGTATAATTATTTTTATTTAAATAATAATTTGATATTTCATAATAAAGATTATTATTTTTTTATTCATTTTACTTAAAAAAATAAATATAGAAAATATTAGATATTTTTTTCGATTATTAATATATTTAATATTATATCATACAATATTATTCTTTCATTAATATGTAAGCATTTTCAAAAATAATTAAAGTTCCAGCAAAATTTTTTCTTTAACCTGTTAGTTTTTTGTGAAGATTTTAAGGTGAAGAATTATTAAAACGTATGAATAAAATCTTTTTTTTAAATTCTTCTAATAAAAACATTGAAGTTAAAGATGATGATATTAAGAAACCATTGATAGAAATAACTGTGCATAAATTATTAATTATTAATCCACGATAAATATTTAGTTATAAATACATTGAGTATAAACATGTTTAACAAATAGTAATGTCTCATATTAATGTAATTAGAACAAGATATGTGTCCACTACCCTAATTCTTTCATCTTCTTAATCTTTATATTTTCTTTATTGTTATGTTAAAAATTTTAGTATATTTAAAAACATTTCTAAACCTATTTTTAAATATATAGAAAACTTCTGACGAAAAAGATGAAGTTAAAGATGAAAAAATCAAGAAACCATCTGTAAAAGTATGTATAAATTATTTGAAAATAATGTAGGGTACTTAGTTGCTTGCGAAATAATAACATATTTTGTTCCATTTTTCAATTATACTCTATAATCAACAATGTTTAAAAAGAGTATTAATAATAATATGAACGGATGTCCACTAAATCTTAATTCATTATATCCATTGAGCTCATTTTTTTCTCTTTAAGTTAAACTTTTGAAAATATTATCAATATTGATAAATCTTATTTTTACCTGTACAGAAATTGTCCAATGAAAAAACTGAAGTTAAAAACGAAGAAACTAAGAAATCAGCGATAAAAGTAATTCACACATAATAAATAAATACATGTTGTATTTAATTACAATCGAATTTGCTTATAACGATGCCGTTTACAACGATTCCAAGCAATGTATTTGGTTGATTTTATATCTTATGTGTTATTACATTTTTATAATCCGGATATAACAATCAGATTCTCTTGGTCCCTTGAAGATCGTTATAAGCGAATTTGACTGTATTATATATTTAATAATGTATGTTTATATTTTTAATATCTAAATTCATATTATATAGAAATGAGGAAAGAAAGTTAACTATCAACAACTAAACAATTTACCTATCCCCCTCGATTTTTTTTTTTAGTTTCTAGTTGAAAATATTATTAAAAATTATAATATATTATTAAAATTTAATTATTTTAGAAATCAACAACTAATGAAAAACCAGAAGTTAATGATGAAGAAATCAAGAAACCATTAATAAAAGTATCTATAAATTAATTAGTTATTGAATATTAAAGTGTAGAATAAAATTATTTTTTGCTTTCAAAATAGTGCTAAATATTTAACATAAACACATAAATAGTTATATACCTCGTTTATATTTTAATTTAGATAGCCTTAGTAATGTATTGTTATTTTTTAAGCTTTATACTGAACATAGGCATTGTTACATTCAATATAAATTGGTAAAGCTTAAGTTTCTAATCATATGTCTCTCTATTTTATCGGGTTTTTATGGTATAACACTTATTTTTAAAATACCAACGATATTTATAAATTGATTTTGTTTTAATTTAGAAATCTCCAGTTGAAAAAACAGAAGTTAAAGTTGAGGAAACTAAGAAACCATTATTAAAAGTATGTATGCGTGTAATTTTTGGATAAATAATGTAGAGTTATTTTGTTCCTAATATAATAAGTATTTAAGTAATTTGATTATTTGTATATATTTTTATTTAAAATTTAGAGTTTATAGAATAGTGTTTTATTTTTTTTTTTGTGTTTTGCGTGTTTTATTTAGACAACCATAGAAAATGATAACTTGTTACCAACTGAAGAAGAAAAAGTTATTGAATCCCCCCAATCAATTAAAGTAATTACTTCTTTATTGCAAACATTATTTTTGATATATTTTACATTTATGAAATAGTTTAAATGAATAAAGTAAAATAGCTATTGCAGTATACAAAAATATTTTAAGTTGTGTATTATATAATATATTATAATATGTACTTTATTTGAATTAAATAAATATTTATGGACCTTTAACATTCAAATAAATGATTGTAATATCTACATATTAATTAAGAACTAGGTACCTTTAATAAATTTTAAAACTATTTTTACTAATATGATAAAAAATAATTAAATACTAGTATAAAAAATCATTGCGTAAAATACTTACTTATTATAAGTATTTTAATATAATTGTTTTAATAATATCATGAGTTGAACATATTTATGTACCTAATTTTTGTTTTAAACTAAAATTTTGACAATTTTATAAGTAAATTTAATATGTAATAAACATTTTTAAAACAAATTATAAAGGTACCTGGTTCAAAAATAATTTTTAAAACTTTTATCTGGTATTCAGCCAATTTTATAGTATTAGCTATCATTTAAATAATTTAAAATTTAAAATATCCGGAAAAAATACAATGAAACTAAAATTTTGAATTTACATTTTTCCATCTATAAACATTAAACATTCAATGTTTATATATGGTGTATAAATATAAATTCTAAGTTTTTGTTCTTATTCAGAAAACAAAAGATGAAAATAAAATTAATAATGATACTAAAACTGAAGTGGCGAAAGAAATTGTCGAAGAAAAACAAAAACCATCAACATTAAAAGTAAGAATACATTATTATGATATAATATAGTAGATTGTACATAAAAATCGCATGCTTGTAATATACCACATTTGTTAAAAGATGGAAACTGAAGATAATAACGGTTATACATCCCCACCTGAAAAAACTATTCAGGATAGTCCCACAAAAAGAAGAGGCTCTTCAATAAAAGTATGTATTGTAAATAAATGCTATTCAGTAGTTTTTATTTTTTATATGTATTTAGAAAACCAATGATTTGATCGAATCAGTTGAAGATAACATAAATGAGGTTAAACGACGACCATCAGTAAAAGTAAGTCAACTCTGTGAGTTAAATTATTATAAATCCTAATTTGAATAATTGTTATTACAATTTGAATTATCAATGACAGTTTGACTTGCTATTGTAGTTAGATTCTACATATATTTTTTTTTTTATAGTTCTTCTCTTCCAATAAAAAATATCATAATTCATATTCAATTATAGGCACTTAGTTTTAAATTCTTAAATTCGGTATAATAGGTTAGGTATTAAATGTATGATGAAATCATAGTTTATACATTTATACATTTTTTAATTAATATAAAAATTAAAACAAGCTTTTTTTCTACGTTACAAAAAACTTATAAAGTTATAATCGTAAGAATTTCTATATTTAGAAAACTGTTGAAAATAAAATAGCAGTAGAAGAAGAAAAACTAGAAGTAAAACGCCGCCCTTCAGTAAAAGTAAGTGGCAAACATACATAAATTATACTTACTAACTTGTGTTTAAAACATAGTTTCTGTAAGATCGTTTTGTGAAATATTGCTTATTTTTATTATCATAACTATAGTTTGCATTGTAAATATATATTTAGAAAAATGATGATGACAGTACTCCAGTGGAAGATAATAAAATAGACGACAGTCGACGTCTGTCGATATTAAGTGTAAGTATGAATGTACAGTGTATATTTATTATTAATATATGTAAATATGTTTTAAGGTATAAGTAATACTTCATATTTTGTTTCACTCCTTATTATTAATACTAAGTACAATATCTAAATTATAATCGTAAATATTTTCATATTTATAATATTATACATGTTAGCGATATCATGCACCTAAATTAATATTAAATATAAGTTATTATATTTTCTATACAGAAAAAACCATCAGAAAGTAAATCACTCATGCCAGAAGAAAATCCAACAACGAAAAAACGACTTTCTGTGAAAGTAATAAGAAAATTAATATACCTACATAAATATAGTAAATAATCTACAATAAACATTTATTTTGTTAAATTATGTACTCTAGAAGAAAAAAGACACTAATGAGCCTGAACAGCCAGAGAAAAAGATGCGACCAACCATATCTAACGTACGTTGAATGTCCAATTAGCCGTGGTTTGAAACAATTATAAAATATCGTTAATGTGAACGATACAAATTATTTTATATTTTATTATTTGAATACTTTTTTTTACAGGGTACTAAAGTTGATAATTTACAAGATTCATTTGACGAAGCTAAATCTATCGATGAACGAACACCGGTATGAAAAATAATAAATACCATTTGAATAAATTTATTATATAAATATTTACTTATTATTTAGGAAACAAGTGTAGATTATTCTATCATGTCAGAAGATGAAAACTCTATACAAGAACCAAGTATAAAGTTGGACTCTTCTGATGAGAAAGCTCCAACAGGCAGGGTAAGCATAATAATAAGGGACATTTGTTATACCAAATCAATAAAATATTACATATTTAATACTTTTGAAATAATTTTTACGAATATAATTTTTTTATTCTTTTATAATGCTATTATTTTAATTATGTACTCATATCTACGTCTTAGGGAAAATATGAAAATTGTTTATGAAATGTAATAAAAATAATATTAGATCTAATCTTATGCTTAATTTGATTAAATTTTATGTCAAGACGCACAAGTATCCAGGTAAAATGCATGGTTTGCGTCAATAGAGAAATTATTATAATTGTATACTCGTAGTTAATAATGATACCAGTTGATTTCATTACGCATGCCCAAAGTCCTGCCCAAATTCATAACCAATGTCACATAACTCATCCCAACTATAATAGATATTCGATCACTTGCTTTTACGTAATTGCGTTGTTATTTATAGCCAAGTCGAGTACCAGAAATCAAGGCGCCTGAAATGCCCAAAATCGAAGTTATTCGTGAACAAACGCCAACCGATAGCAGAAAAAACTCACTGGGTCCAAGTTCTGGTTCTGGACAATCAAGCCGTAGAGGTTCCCTAATTCCTCCACCAGAGGACAACAAAGGCCGCCGCCCGAGTTTGATAATCAGCGACGAGGTAAATTATCACTGTAAATTCAACTGTCGGATGGCATTAGTGCTGTCTTAATTTGTAATTATTTAAATTTTCTTTCATTCGTTCTACCTTCTTTTAAAGCAATTTCTACCAAAAAGTATATTCTTTCTTCTACAATTTTGTTTTTTTTTTTTTTTTGTTCTTATACGCATTCTTAACGGTGCTCAGTATGTAAAGAGCGCCAAATTAGTAAGCATGATGACAAATTATCAACTGCTTTTATATTTTTTTTTTATACAATAGATTTTATTATAACCATTTTTAGTATTGAACATATTGTAGATGAAACGTAGATAAAATAGAATAGACAACAATAAACTATTATAACCACATATACATATATAAATACATGTACAGCGGATTTTGAAGCCTTTAATTTAGCAATTGATTAAACATATTTACTTCGAATAGTTTGTAATACGGATATTTTACGCCAATTTTGCGTTTATAAATATCTTGTCAATTTATATGCATACTTTTGTTCGTGGATTTCATAGTTCTGTCTTTACAATGGAGTAGGGATGGAAATAATGTCGGATTTTCAAATACATTTTAAATTGTCTATTTTAGGAAAATAGAAAATTACGGCCCGGAGAGGTCCTGGAAGAAAAAAAGGTGAGGGTGTTAAAAATCCAATGTGAACAGCGTCTCTTTGGTGAAATGAATTAATAAACTGAAAAATAACAATGGTTTTTTTACCCTCATCGACTGTTGTGACTTTCAAAGTGGACGTTCTTTGGCGATGGCGAAATAAATAATATTGATATTATACTTAATATTTCAATTAAAAAAAAAAAAAATTAAGCTTCAATTGCAATTGATATTCTTGTCCAATTACCTACCACGATACATATCTCCGTATCAAATTCGTCATCGCCATCTATCAAAATTTCCAAACGTTTGTGTTTCTGTCTTTGTGTCGTCTCCCTCGGTTACTTCTGGTTAACCGCAACTTGTTTAACGTGCTTTCAATTAAATTATGTTTATGCAGGTTGGAAAATTGCGGCCTGGTCAGGTTATTGATGAAAAGGTGAGGTTTCATTCATAGTGTTTCCTCGTCACAATAGTCACTGTTTCCGATATGATTGCGTTTTTTTTTGTGTAACCTATATTGTGATGTCAAGTTTTATATTTTTATTTATTGATCGTCATTTTTTACGTGTTAGTCCTGTGATCGTTCGCGTGAAGATTGCTGAATGGACCGTGGATAAATATTTTGTCATTTACATCACTAACGAAACTTAACACTCAATTCTAATTTTTTTTACAGGAGTATTTTTTAAATATTATATAATTTTGTTAAGAATAGAATAATATTATTCATTCTCAGAAGTTTTATAAATAAGAACTGTAAGTCGATTTGCTTGAAATATATTTATTTTTATTTGTTTATAAAGGCATAGAAATTTTTTAAAAATATGCTATTTTTTAATAAAGATTACTGAGATAAATTTAAAATCATACCTATAACTATATTAGAGGAAATTATTTGTTTAAAACGTTTTACAGATAGTAGTTCTGGTTTGATACATAAACAAACATCAAATATTTAAATTAAATTGTTAACGTTACAGCTAAAATGTATCACAGATATAAATTAGGTATTTTAAAATGTCATTGTTTAGTTTTATTAATAAATAATGTAATTGATAAATTAGTAATAAGTGTTTAAATAATATGCAACATATTAAAAATACAATAAAGTAAAATATTGATTCATAAAGACATTACATTTAAACAAGAATAAAGATATAAAAAAACTTGATTCCTATAAGATTACATTTAAGATATAATTTCTTTTATATAAAAGGATATTGTAATATTACATGAATAATAAAGAGAAGTGACAATTAAGAAAGCAAATAATACGATTGTGAAACTAAACATTAATTATAGAGTTTAATACTTAAATTTGTTACCTATAGTATATGAAAAATCATAAATTTTCGATTTTTAAATGTTTAAGCTTCTGGATAATTATAGGTTATAGTGTGCAATATAATAAAATATATTCTATATTTCAGCCATATAACTTTAAATTTAAATTGTGTTTATTTTAATACTACAACAGTTCAATGATAGATATATCCCTCGTTAATTTTTTTTACTATTAAATCGATTTTACAATTTCTTTAAGTAATTTTGATTAATCAAAATTGACTTTAAAATTCAAAATTGATTGAGTTATGACCTATGTAAATGTATACATTTATTATTTTGAATATTAAAAAGTTTTAGACTGCCAAGGCCTATTGGGTAATTTTTTTTATGGAATTTTATGTAAAAAGGCATACAAAATGTACAAATTTAATATATTGAAATATAATGTGATTTTCTAAACGTACTTCTGAAATCGAATTATTTACAAACTTAATACAATTGTAAGCTTATATTTTGGTTAATTTCGGATTTATAACCATACTAATAAATTAAAGAAATTTAAGACAATTTAAAATTTGATATCTCATGAAAAAAATTGGCCGCGCTACTGTTCCAAAAAAAAGTTTAACTGCGTTTATATAAAATATCGGTACTGTTAAGCCATCAAAATAAACTACATTTCGATGTAATGTTTCATGGCTATGAATTGTGATATTTATTTTAGTTCTTTTATAGTACCTACATAAAACAGACCGTCACAGGATTAGGTTATAAGTATACAATTATTATATTACATGATAGGTTTAATACATAAATGGCTATGTTAAAGTATGAATTATATATTTTTGGTTAATTACACATTTTATTTACAGATTAATTACCTACTCAATGTATTTGCACACGGTAATTTTGTAATAAAAATAAAATAATTATTATAATATATTTTATTAAAAACTTCTATGGTCATTATATGTTTTTTCCATAAAATTGCGATAATTTAATATTAAAATTTATACATATATATGAATGTCTTTTGTTATTTCAATTACAATAATTAGAATAGAACAAAAATTGTTAGGTAATTTATTGGGGTAGACTTGAGTCATCGTTATCTAGTAGTCACGTATTAGCCATTAGTTATAAATATAATGAATGAGTAATAGTGACTATAGTTAATATTTAAATTTTAGAATTAAAAATTATTTATCACATTTAACTAGAAGCGTATCTAGGAATAATTTAATGGGGATGTTTTAAAAATGTGTTTTGCATAGGTACGTTTTTCAATCTTGGTGTTATTTGAGAATAATTCGACCGATTAAATTAAAATTCTTTTAATTGAAAAAAAAATTATTTTGAAATATTTCAACCCGTTTTTATTGATTTTTATTATATACCTCACATCTTCTCAATAATTTGTATCTATATGGAATGAACTTTTTTTTAACTATTATTGTACATAAATACTAACATGAGTAATTTATTTTTCGTCATTCATAATAGCTAATGTATATTATATAATATATACGAGTATTTGAACATATTTTTATTACCTTAAAAGAAGCATATTTTTTTTATATTTTAATTTTGTTTTCTAGAAAAATATTTTTTATAGTTTTAAAAATAATTTATTTTATTTGTTTTAAAAACTTTATTGTCAATACCTATTCATTCTTGTTTTTTTAATTTCATTTCACTATAACTTTCAGTTTTGATTTTAATTAAAAACAACTATTCAATTATTATTAAAATTCAAATAGTTACATACTTAATTAAAATATCAATAGTAGAAACATGAATAATTTGCTTGATGTTTCTTAAATATTCAAAACTTAACTCATATCTTAATAACATTATGATTATTTATAAATATTTTAATTCGGGTAGTTTTTTTTTTTTTTGCATCAAAATTTGTTTTATAACATAATATAGTATCCATGTACATATTATATCCCTTTAGATCTAAGAATGTTTGAGTTACCTTCTCCGTTTTATACAGTTATAATCATAAGGATTAATTTTTGTTACATGCTTTGATCAATTACTTAGTAAAATTTATTAACATCGTTCAATTGCATATAAATAAGTAGCCATATACATTGTAAATATTAGTATTATACAAATTATATTAGTTTTTTTAAGTCATTGTAGTTATTATTTTATCAGCTTAATGTTAGTCATTGAAGATGCGTAAAAACAATCCCAAGAAATGGATGTAGTGGGAGTTGAACGTGAAAGTCGTCTAAAAAAAAAAATATATATATATAATCATTTCTATAAATACATTGCTCTAAATTTTGAACTTGGGCTTTACAGCGTCGTAGACCAAGCACAGAAATGAGAAGACCTAGCATAGCAGAACTTGAAGAAAAGATTGATAAACCCTCAACACCATTAAAAGATTTAGGTGCACCAGGACCACCAAGCATCGTAGATGTTGCTGAAAGTTACTCAGCTATTGAAGATCAGACTGGATATATAACTATACAAGTGGAAGGCACACCTGCTCCTACATTCAAATTTTTCAAAGTAAATATTTTTTTTTAAATTATAATTTATAACATACTATTTTTATTTAAACTATTTAAAAAAAAAAACTAGTATAATATAGATCAGGGGTCGGCAACCTTTTTAACCACGCAGGCCATTTTTTTTCTCAATTGTTCATCAAGGGCCACATTAAAAAAAAAAATAAAAAAAAATTACATATTATGATATTATAATACTTATAATTACCTATTGTATTGCTATTATAAAACGGTTAGTTTAGATTAATTTATTTATAATGGAAAAATAATTATATGATATTGAAAATTATATGAAAAATGTTATTGAACAAAAATAAAACACAAAAATTAACCACCTTTGTGTGCGGGCCATCAAAAATTGCTTTGCGGGCCACGTGCGGCCCGCGGGCCGTGGGTTGCCGACCGCTGATATAGATCATTAAATAATTATCTATGCAACCCATTATAATAACAGTTATGAAATTTGTCTTCATAACTTTGATTTTTAACAAAAAATAAAGATGCTTTTTTTAATTTTATACATAAATATATCACACAACGATGGTTTGATGTTTGTCTTATTGAATAGGTAAGCTTAATAAATTAAATTTTAGCAAAGTATTTTTACTTAATTAGATATAGAAAATTTACTTTTTATTCATTATCACAATAAAACAATTTTAACACTTAATAAATTGACATAAGATTTAAAAAAACAAACTTTTAAACATAACTCTCACCTATAAACCATAGTTATTATAATATCTTATACTTTTTATATCAAAATTTGAGATCGATGAAGTATGGTATCATTTTTCATTAACAATTTTTGAAAATAAAATCATTTATTTAGGGAATAACCGAGCTTATTGAGGGAGGACGATTCAAATTCATTACTGATGGAGAAACAAATACAATAACATTGTGTATGCGTAAAGTAAAGCCAAATGATGAAGGAAAGTACCAGGTAATTGTGACCAACATTCACGGGTCAGACACTGCAGAAATGCAACTATACGTATCAGGTAATATACAACACTGAATTTAAATTAACATTTTTTTTTATGTTTGTATGTAATTTTCATATCTATCTAATTACATATTCATTCAAACATACCATAATATATAAAACAATAAACAATTTAAAAGAAATTAATATATTTCATATTTAATTGTGTGTCTATAGTAAATTTAATGATTTCCATTACAATGTCTATTTTTTAAATAAAAATTATAAGTATCTAAATCAAGAAAAATAATCTTAATTAAATTAAATACTATATTCCTAAAGCTTATTTTCATAGTTAAATTTAATAATAGATTCTAGTGGTATGGACTTCAGAGCTATGTTAAAGAAAAGAAAATATGCAAAGTGGGGGAAAGACAAAGACGATCCAGAATGGGGAGAATTAAAAGAAACAGAAATACCTGTACCTGCATTAAAAAAAGTGGAAAGGGTAAATAAAGTTTTTGACTCTATCATAGTGAACCTGATTTTTAATTTATTAATTATTAACAGAAACCAGAATCGTTTTTGAAACCATTAGTTGATCAATATGCCAAAGAAGGAAAAGACAAAAAAGTTACATTTGAAGGAGTATTTTCAAAACCTAATTCTAAACCTAAATGGTTTCTTCGAAAAGACGTAAGTAACAATAATGGATATTATTTAAAATATACGATACAAGAATCATAGAACTACGTTTAAAAAAATATTAGGTAAACGATTTCGAATTGATAAAATAAGGAATGTATTGTAATTTGTTGTTTAAAGAATTCTTATCTCAAAATAAAAACAATTATTAGTTATTACTTATAACTAATAACTTATTACGTATCTATAAATGTTAAAATACGTATTCTGTGAACTTCAGTAAATTAAAATTATAAATATATATATATATATATATTTAATAGGTTTATATGATACGTTTTTAATAAAAATAATTTTATAAAAAAATCAATTTAATTTTAATTACATCAAAACTTATTTTTTGAAATAGTTTCTCAGTCTACATGAAATTGATATATATATATATTATGTTATTGTATGACATTTTGAGACCTATTAAAAGTATTTTTAACATCTCAAAATTAAAATAATGATTTCAAACACATAATCATATTATTATATTATAACTAATTACAATAACTAAACTTCAATTAAATATCTTAAACTATGTCTTTTTTTAACTATTTAATTGATTTAATAAATTACATGATGAAATCTCCACTCATGAAAATGACGCTACCTTTATAAAACGCTATATTTGAGCAATAAAAATGAACTTTTTGTATTCTACTAGAGATATTAAAATAACTATAAAATTATAATATTAATGAAAATATTTAATTTATCAGGAATTATTTACCGGATCTAAGTACAAATTCAAAAACGAAGGTGACGTGTATCAATTGATTATAATGGGACCAAAAGTAGAAGATACTGGAAAATATACAATTGAAATAGGAGGCGTTACTTCAACAGCTTATCTTAATGTTGAAGGTATAAATGTCATATTTTTTAGTTTTGAAAAGTACACACTTTTATGTATTAAGTTTAAAATTTGATTTCTAAAAAGTTACAATTATTTTTTTTTATATTGATATACGAGTAATTCTTACCTACTACATATCTATTTTATATATTATAAATACATATATAATACATATATACAATTGTATGTATAAACAGACCAAACTAGTATAATTATTTGGGCGATGGACACTTATATAAACCAATTTGTGTTCACTTCTACAATAATATTATTATAATATTTTGCATCATTTTTATAATATAGTGTTTAGATATTGAGCGCTAATATTTCTTTTGTATAGGATGAATTATAAATTATAAAATTTAATTAATTATTCTTTTTTGTTCAGTATATCTAAATTGAATAAGATACTAAAATGGATATAAGGAATCGAATAATTAGATAAAAATAACATTATAATGTATAATATTATCTTATATTGCCCATTATAGGTATACTATATAGGTAATTATAAAAAAATTCTTGTAATATATTGATAATCAGTTTTTATCCATTTAAATAAATCTAAATTGTATTTAATGATTTACTAAGATATATGGAGGAAATAATTAGAATAACGAACTTTATTCTTAGGATTCTATGAAAAACATTTAAATTAATTTTGGTGTTTTTCTTTATAATAAATAAAAATTTCTACTGAAGGATATTTATTTTTTCCGTTTAATTCCTTAAAAACATCACTTATTATAAGATACACAAGTCCAAAATCATGTTTTATTAACATGTTCTTAAATATTTATTATATTTGTAGAACCTGCACCAGTTTATACGTTTTTGCGACCACTTGAATCCACCACTAATGGTTATACAAAACACGAAACCAGCATGGAATGTACAGTTAGTAGTAGTATGGCTATTATTGGTTGGTATAAAGAAAAAACTAAATTAGCTGACGGTGATAAATATAGTATATCAAAAGATATGAGTGGAATTTGTCGGTTAACAATAAAAAATTGTGAGTTGAATGATAGTGGAAAATATTACTGTCGAATTGAAAAGCAAGATGATAAAACGTCATCAACTGTTAAAATAGTTGGTATGTAATAAAAAAAAAAAAAATGTTCAAAACCGTTTTTAAAATATTATAACAATTTATGTTATGTACAGAATATCCATATAAATTCGTAAAAGTATTAAAACACCAACAAATGGTTGAAAAAGATACTGTAACATTAATATGCGAGTTAGATGACGCGGCAGGTGATGTTAAGTGGTCTAAAAATGGGCAAGAGCTTAAAGCTGATAAGAGGTATAATCCATTAATTGTTTGTTATTTGTAGTATAAGTTAATTTTTTATGTTTTTATGCACTATTTCAGAATTCGAATAGTAAAAGAAGGTAGAAAAAGAAAACTGATAATTAACGACGCTAAAGTTACTGATGGTGGTCTATTTTCCTGTGCAACAAATGCTGATAAAACTGAAGCAGAACTAGTTATAAAATGTAAGTTAATATTAAGAAATTAAATTAAATAACTTAGTACAAGTGAATTATTTAAAACCTAATTAACAATTAAATTTAAATTTAAAATTTTGATTATTTATAAATAATTGTTTCTAAAATAAAATATAATATTTATACAAGTGTTTTAAATTATTATCAATAACATTTAATCTGATGAAAATTATTCTTTTTTTTTTTTACAAAGACTTAAATAAATTTAACAAAAAACTTAAGGATACTGTTGGAATCGAGAGAGAAAAAGTTGTGTTAGAAGTAGAGTTACAGGATCAAACAGCTCCCACTGAATGGTTTTTCGATGATCAACCAATTACATCTTCAGAAAGGTATATGTTCAAAAAAAACTTTAAAGAAACAATTTAATTGGTCGTAAATGTTTATAGAATTGAAATCAAAAATTTGGGTGGTGGTAAACATCAATTAATATTTAATAAATTGGAACTGAAAGACGCTGGTACAATTACGTGTAAATCAAACGAACTTACCTCTATTTGCCTATTAGAGGTAAAGAAAGGAGAAGAAAAACCTGTAATTTTGTTTGATGAGAATGTAGAAGGCCCCGTATCACGTCCAATAAGCTTTGAAGTTCCTTATAAAGGTAATTTAACTTTCAATAAAGTAATATAATATATAAATTAAATTTAAATGAAACTTATTTTATTATTAGTAAATGGAACACGACAATCTGCCATTGATGCAAAAATTTTGAAAGATGGCAAGCCATTAACTGCAAAAGATGTAGAGGCAATTATTCATGATGATAAAATTATATTTAATATAAAAAAACCAGCGCATGCTCTTACTGGAAATTATCAAATCAAATTGAAAAATGACCAAGGAGAAGACACCAAAGATGTTCATATTAACATGCAAGGTAATTTGTTATTGAAAATGTATTCACATTTTTATTTTTTATTTGTAGTCTTTAAGTGCATGCTTTTTTAATATGAAAAAAATAACTATATCAAATTAGTAAAATAAATACAAACAATAAATAAATAATATACGTATAATTTATATGTTACGGGTAAAGTATTTATAGATATTATAACCGCTTCTAAGTCTCTTTAAGTTTTTAATTTATTAATAATTATTGATATTTGATGTACAATCTTGATGTAAGATCATCGTTTAATCCAATTTTTACACTACATTCAAATATTACTTCTATAATTTTATAGCCTTATATCAATTACTTTATAAAATATAAATATAAAAATACGTATATAACTCCAAAAATTTAATACGTACTTGATTGACTGTAACATAAGTAGTATTTATTCTTCTCACTATATCTACTTTTTTTTAACTGTTTAACATGCTTAAATAAAAAATATATTCAAATGGAAAGTTTTGTTTATAGCTTAAGTTACAATGTCCAATTTAGTTAGAGCAAAGTAACGTGAACCGGTCAAACTACAACCCTGTAAGGCAAAAATAATATTTTTAACATATTGACCAAAAACACCGGACAATATTTTACATTGCCCGATAGTTTACTTTGCCCATAACATATAATATATAATATATTAACTAGACCAATATTTATAATCTAAAAGTAATATAAACAGTTACATATATATTATATTTTATTAAATTGTATTTAAGATTTACAGTGTGCCTATAAACTTTTAATCCTATTGGTTTTAAGTTATAAGAACTAGTTTCAAATAATAACTAAAATGTTAGGTATACAAAATTGTATAAATTACATTTATTCTTTACGATACTTAAAGATATTTGTTAATGGGATTTCAGATGTTCCGACACCACCACGAAATTTGGAAGTATCTGATATTTTTAAAACCAGTTGTAAAATTAAATGGGAATCTTCGGAAGACAATGGAGGATCTCCTATACTTCATTACGTTATTGAAAGACAAGATTTAGCTCTAAAAGGTACGTTTTTGTAGTTTGTATTATTAAGTTATGTATATAACTTACTTATCTCTTTTTTTTTGTTATCAGGAGGATGGCAGAATGTTGGAGAGGTAAAAGCAGATTCTCCTTTAGTTTTGGATGTGACAGATTTAACTACAAAAAAAGAATATAAATTCCGCGTAAAAGCTGTATCAAAAATTGGAGCGTCTGAACCTACACCCCTAGCCAAAACAGTTTTAGCAAAGGATCCATGGGGTAAGATTTTCAAACTTGAAATAAACATTCTAATACCATGTAGGTATTAAATATAATTTGTAATTTAGACGAACCCGGTAAACCAAATGATGTAGAATTAGTTGACTGGGATAAAGACCATGCTGATTTAAAATGGACCAAACCTGTTAATGACGGAGGAGCTCCGATTACAGGATATATTATTGAGTACAAAGTAATATTTTGAAATCTTGATTCATGTATAAATACAATTTATTTATACCTCATTGGTTTTAATTTTATAGGAAAAGTTCGGAAAAGATTGGGTAAAAGGTAAAGTATTTGAAGGAGATATTACTTCAGCTACAATAGATGGTTTAAAAGAAGGAACCCAGTATGAATTCCGAGTACGAGCAATAAATAAAGCTGGTCCAGGTGAACCTAGTGAAGCAACAAAACCAATTATTGCAAAATCAAGATTTGGTAAAAAAATTCTAAGTTATTGATTATGAATATATTATAAATAACTTATAATAATATTTACAGTTAAACCATGGATTATCGGAGATGATTTGAAAAATATAATTGTTAAAAAAGGACAAGTAATTAAATACGATATAAAATATGGAGGTGAACCAGAACCTGAAGTTATCTGGAAACTAAATGAAACTGAAATCCAACATGATGGTGATAGGTAAAAAATTATTGTTTAAAAAAAAAATTGAATTATTTTTAATAATATAACTTGTGTATGACAACTACAAATTATATTTAATATGTATGTATAATCATGTTTTTATTTTTTTTTTTTTAGAATTACTATTGATAAATATGAACGTAATACATTATTAACAATTCGAAGAGCTACAAGGATTGATAGTGGAAAATATACTTTAATACTAAAAAATAGCTCTGGAACTGCCGAAAAAAGTGCTGAAGTGATTGTTTTAGGTAATGCATTATAACTATTATATAGTTATGCATTTAGACGTACACAAATAAATTCTTTATTTTAGACAAACCGCTCAAACCTACCGGACCTTTAAAAGTTGAAGAAGTAAGAGCTGATCATATAACCGTTTCTTGGAAAAAACCACAAGATAACGGGGGTTCAGAAATAACTGGTTATATCGTAGAAAAAATGGACATGGACTCTGGTCGTTGGGTTGCAGCTGGCGAAGTAAACAAAAAAATACACGAATGTTTATGTTAAGTTTAATTCAGGTTTTCATATTATTATAATTAATAACGTTTTTAGACTGGTCCATCAAAAGAAGCGTTTACGCTCACTAATTTAACTCCAAAAAAGAAGTATAAGATTCGAGTTAAAGCTGTTAATAAAGAAGGAGAGTCAGAACCTTTAGAAACTACTGAGGAAATTTTAGCTAAAAACCCATACGGTATTAATATAAGTCATAATATTTAAAAACAAATAATAATTGTATCTTTATTATTCAGATGAGCCAGGTGAACCAGGAAAACCAGAAATCATCGATTATGACAATAAGAGTGTTACCTTAAAATGGAAAAAGCCAGAATCTGACGGTGGAAGACCAATTACACACTATTTAGTTGAAATGAAAGATAAGTTTGCATTGGAATGGAGTGAAGTGACTAAAACACTCGATAATAATCCTGAAGTTAAGGTAGAGGGTTTAAAAGAAAAAATGGTTTACGAATTCCGAGTAAGAGCTGTAAATAAAGCTGGAGCGGGAGTACCGAGTAAACCTACAAATCCACACATTTGCAAACACAGAAACTGTAAGTTATGGTGTATTAATTGGTTATTGAAATGTGGATAATTCATATAGATATATATATATTTGTTTTGATAATTTTTAGTAAAACCAAGAATTGACAAAGAAGGTATGAAAAATATTACAATCAAAGCGGGTAGAAATCAAAAGTGGGTTGTTGATGTGTCTGGAGAGCCAGCACCAACACTTACATGGGTATTGAAGAACCAAACGGTAGTTAATAATGACAGAATAAAAATCGAAAACATCGATTATCAAACAACATTCACAATAACTGGCGCCATTCGTAAAGATACAGGCGTTTATACACTGGTAGCTGAAAATGCTTCTGGTAAAGATGAAGCGACTCTAGAGTTCACGGTCTTAGGTAAACCTGATTCACCAAAAGGACCACTTGAAGTAACTGATATCACCAAAAAGAGTTGTAAAATTAAATGGAAGAAACCGGAAGATGACGGTGGTTGTCCAATCACAGAATATGAAGTAGAAAAAATGGATCTGGCCACAGGAAAATGGGTGAGAGTATGTAAAGTGCCAGCTAAAGATAGTACCAAAGAACCTGAAGTTGAAATATCTAATTTGGAACCGGGTCATGAATATAAGTTCCGAGTGACAGCTGTAAATAAAGAAGGAGATTCTGAACCTCTCACAACGACCAAATCTATAATTGCCAAAAATCCATTTGGTAAGACATACAAAAAATATTAAAGTAGATAAGTATTATATTTGATTAATATTTAAATTTTTTCTTAGATGAACCATCCAAGCCTAATACTCCTGAAATTATTGATTATGATAACCAAAGTGTTACGTTAAAATGGACGGCTCCAGAAAAAGATGGTGGTTCTCCTATTGAAAAATATTTCATAGAAAAAAAAGACAGGTATTTATCTAATATTATAAATTCTGTTGTAATCTATTATTTAATTGTTTACGCTCATAATTTAAGTTAAACATACACATGTTATGTCAGTTCAACAAGTATACAGTATATCTTTGTAATTTATGATATTAAATTTTAAATAATATCTTAACACATCAACAAATTTACATCGCAATAAATATTATTTAATACCATCGATCTACTAAATGGATTAAAAGTAACAAAATACGCAACATCTACCTATCTATTTTTCGACAGACTAATTAAATATTTGAATTCTATTTTACATTATTTTTTTTTATTAAATACATTTTTTGTAATAATCAAAAAGTAGCCTAACTATAATGAAGACTGATAATAAAGATAAAATTTATATAAAATTGTATTAATTATATAATTTAGTTTGTTGAATGTAATTTTTGATTCTGCATAGAGGGATGACAAATGTATTGACGTTACAACGCCGACTGTTTTTTGCGTCTAACGTCACCTTTATTAATTATCAGTAAAAAAAAGCTTCAAAGGTGTTAAAATAACACTACATTTATAATATATGTTGGCTTCGTTTTAATAATATACAACATTGATAATGTGCATCCAATAGAAACAACTGTTAGCTTTAATATTAAAGTGAATTGGACTGTCATAAAAGTTGAAAGTATGAACATTATCTGTGCTTAAGTATAAGTTATTTTTCAATATTTCAATTTTCAAGTAAGATAAAAGACTATAATTGTAAATAATACAAATTGAAAGTATTCATTTGTAGCTTAAAAACTAAAATGTTGAAAAAAAATATTTTTACCTATAATTTTTATAATAGGTCAATTAGTTCTAATATTAAAGTTCATAAATAGTTCTACTAAACATATATTTGCATTGATGTATACTTGTAAAATGAAGACAATATGTATGAAAGAAGCATTCTTTAAACTGACATATATATTACATATATTTCGTGAAAAAATTCACTCATAGTATAAAAATTATGAAAAATATTACCATTCGGTATTAAGAAAGCTCAACTAGATTTCAATACAATTTCGTTAATCTGAGTTTTTTTTAAATACTCCGAAATTCCTATGAGTTATTAGTCTGATTAAAAATAATTTTAAAATGTTTTGTGGTTATACATCAATTTATATTTACCAAATAAAATAAAAGATATGTAAACATCAATAAGCACCATAATCAATAAAAATAATTCTTCAATATGACCACTTATAACCATGTCCATCAAAATAATCCAAATAAAATAAATAAATAGCCAAATATTGTTTTGGGTTTAAAGCGTTTTATGAATTTTTATAAATTTTATTTATTATGCATGAAAACTTAAAATATTGATTTTATGAATATGTTAATGTTAAAATTTATTCCATTTCTTTTATAAATTTTTATAAAATTGTTTATAAATAGGCTTTTTAGGTAATTATTAACGGTTAAAAAGATACTTCATGATACCATAGCCTATAGGTATACTTTGACGGTATAATTATTGTAAAATACATAAGTAATTACTTTGATAATATTTTTACCAATTTACAAAAAATAAAAAAATATGAAAATTATTCAAATTTAACCAGTTATTACACACACATGCCTTACTCATTATAATAAATCAAATTGGTACCTACTATAATAAAATTGGTAAAAAGTAAAAATTAAGTTGAAATTTATTTTATAAGTGTATGAAGTAAAATTATAAAATTATACGAAATTAATATCTCAAATCACAAAAATTTAAAAAATATATTAAATAGGTTAAATCTTTAGTTATAATACCTAAGTTTTAAACTCATACATTTTAGTTACCTACGACAAAGCAACTTTTTAATTTTTAATTTTGAGTCATTTTTAAACATTTTTTTATAATTTACAAAATTTTAAAACATTAAACGTCAGTATTTTATTTATTGATAGTTTGGAAATTAATCAGTCATTATTAATAACAGAAATAATAATTCATAATTCTATAACAATATTTTATCAGATTAATATTAAATATGTAATTTCTATTACAACAATTTCAGTGTAAACTGTATACTTAACTAAATAATTAAATTTTGTTTCTTTCATAAATATTGGTTTTATACATTTTTTTTTCCAATTTGAAATTGGTTATTTTAATACTTTAATAATTGCAGTTTTACATAAGTATCAACAAATAATATTTATTATTTATTGTCTTTTTAGGTTCAGTCAAGAATGGGAGTTTGCTATTGAAGTTCCAGCTACTGAGTTAAAAGCCAAAGTACCTGAATTAAAAGAAAAATCAGAGCTCCAATTCCGAATTACTGCTGTAAATAAAGCTGGACCGTCACCTGCATCGGACCCTACAAAAATTCATATTGTTAAACATAAATCATGTACGTTAAACGATATGCAATACATAACTGAGACGCTATATTTACAAACTATTTTTTTTTTCAGTGAAACCAAGAATTGATCGCACCAATTTAAAAAATATTGTAGTTAGAGGTGGAAAAACAGTAAAATACGATGTCAATATTAAAGGTGAACCAGCACCAACTGTCAAATGGCAGCTTGTTAACAAAGAGGTTTGTATGATGATTATTAATTTGCAATATATATATTTATACTTTATATTAAATATCATTATCAAATTTTAAATTTTATTAATTGTAATTCGTAGTTCAAAACCCAGGAAAAATATACATTGTATTTAAGTAAATTATTTTAAATTGTGTATCTACCCAATAATTAGCACCTTTCCTATATTGTAGGTATCTATATTAATTTTACATACCTACATAACGATGAGGATTTTGAATTATTACATATTTGATAAATACATTTACTTCAGTATGAATTATATTTATATACTTAGCATATAAAAAATAAATATCGTACATAATTAATCATTTTATTAATTTTTTAAAATAATTATAATTTCAAAATAATAAAATAAAAAATTGTTTAATTATTAAGCAATTTTATAAGTATGTAACAATATTAACGATTGTATGATAGAATTCTTAAATTTTTATGTTTTGATTAATTACAAAATTTCAAAATTTTATTGCTGTTTCTCAAGATAAAAATAAAAAAATAAATATGTTTTTGATAATGTATATAAATGCATTTATATTTTTTAATTCATTAGAGAATTTTGAGAGGATAATCATTTGTAACTATTTTATTTAATTACAAAGATTTACCGATATAAATATAATTATTCTTAACGCTATTAATAGTTTTCATCGACATAATTTCTATACTTTTAAATTATTTATACACAAAATCATTTTGATATTACCTTTATTAGTCATTATATATGTATGCATAGTATAATTGTATAGGTACCTACTTATGCGGCTTTAATTAGATTAATTAGATTTTTACGTATTTTGTTACTAGAATTCAAGTTATTTAAATTTTATAATTTTATAATCTCTTTCTATTATGTCTTAAAAATAAACTTAAATTTAAAAATTTTACATTTCAGACTGATGAACTTATAAGAGATGTGAGTAAAATGAATAACGATTACTACGTAAATATTATGTAGAAATCGTTTAGTAGAATTGAGATTCACTGTAGTTATTATTGTAATAATAGTTGCGGTTTTATTATTTCACCAAAGTAGTTATTGTTATTCTAATATCACAATTGAGTAGACTATTATAAATTATAAAAACATTTAAATATATTATTTGATGATTTAGAGTTGTAGATTTGAATTTAATTTATAAATATGTTAAGTATTATTGTGTTTTGTACAGTAGTTTTGATTGGTGTGCGTACATATTACTTTTAAATCGCAGTATATTTGTTTTTATACACATTAGATTATTGTAGTCGTAACTGTATTTATTAAATGGAAAGTTGACAAGTAGAATTTGACTAATGATGCTTATTTCAGATTAATAATAAACACAGGTAATCTTTGATGAAGACTAGTCTATTCAACACTAATAGATTTATAATATTCAAAATAAATCAATTTTAATAAAATATGTTGTATTTATTATTTTAAAAACTAGGTCATATCGGAAGGCAATGTTCAAATCGTAAATGTACCATACAATACCAAAATTACTTTGTCAGATACGGGACGTAAAGATTCCGGTTTATATAAAGTTATTGCTGAAAACGAATTTGGCAAGGACGAAGCTACTGTTGAAGTGACTGTCCTATGTATGTACAAAATTATTAAAAATATTTTCCGAGTACAAAATGTTAATTATTATTTATTTTATCGTTTACAATAGGTCCTCCAACAAGACCTCAAGGTCCTCTTAAAGTGAAAGATGTTACAAGTAGTGGTGCTAAAGTCAAATGGGACAAACCAAAGGACGATGGTGGAAAACCTGTAACAGCATACGTAGTTGAAAAAATGGATGCTCAAACCGGACGCTGGATTCCAGTTGGTCGCACACAAGAACCAGAAATGGATATTAAAGGTTTGCAAGAAGGTCATGAGTATTCGTTTAGGGTAAAAGCTTTGAACGAGGAAGGTGAATCCGAAGCATTAGAAAGCGATGGTAGTATTGTTTCCAAGAATCCATATGGTAAGTTATAATATAAAAAAATAATTAGACTAAATCACTAGAAATTTACTTTTTACACAGAAATCCCCGGTAAACCTGGAACACCAAAAATTACTGATTGGGATGTTGATAAGGTAGAATTAACGTGGACAGAACCAAAACACGATGGTGGAGCACCAATAACTGGATATGTTATTGAGAAAAAAGAAAAATTATCTGCTGCCTGGGAAGAAATTTTGACTACAAAAGTGTGTAGAAAATAATAATAATAAATGTACATTTATCAAGATAATTTTTAACTATGAAATTAATTTTAGACACCGGCTTGTCAAACTACTGTAAAAAATCTTAAAGAAGGAAATCAATATCAATTTAGGGTACGTGCTATAAATAAAGCAGGGCCTTCTGAACCAAGCGATGCAACCAAAATGCATACTGCTAAAGCCAAGAATTGTAAGTATTTTATTTTTTTTATCAAATATAAAAATATATTTTCAATTAAATATTAATATCGTTTATGACATACTATAATTGTTTACAATGTTTAGTCTACAATAAGCTATTTGAAAGCTATTATTAACCGATATTTTTTTTAATTCTTACCATAACAGTAAAACCACTGATCAATCGTGAAAAATTACAAAAGGTTGTCGTAAGAGTAGGTCAAGTTGTAAAATTTGATGTAGACGTACGTGGTGAACCTCCACCAACCATGATATGGTCTTTTGGTAGTAAACCATTGATAAATGGACGTTCAGTGAAAATTGAAAATGAAGATTATAATACAAAATTAAATTTATCTGAAAATACAAGAAAAAATACAGGAGTCTATAGTTTACGAGCAGAGAATGCTTCCGGTTTTGATGAAGCTACTGTAGAAGTCGTTATTTTGGGTAATTAGTTTTAATTATTCCTTATAATTATTTACTTATTTTAAACTAGGACTATCAATCTTAAGTTTTGAATAAATAATACTAATATTATGACATTATGTGTATATGTTTTCATTATCAACCTATATGTTTATAATTTATGTTCAAAAATCTATCTTTCTGATTTTCTTAGATAAACCTGGACCTCCAGTTGGTCCACTTGAAGTCACTGACGTACATAAAGAAGGTTGTACATTACATTGGAATAAGCCAAAAGATGATGGTGGATTACCCATTACTGGATATTTAGTTGAAAAAATGGATACCACAACTGGAAAATGGGTACCTGCAGGATTTGTCGATCCAACAAAAACCGAACACAAAATAAACGGTCTGGAACCGAATAGAAAATATAATTTCAGAGTAAAAGCATTAAACGAAGAAGGAGAATCCGAACCATTAGAATCGGATGCTTCGATACTTGCTAAAAATCCTTATGGTAACTATTTTATCTTAAGTTAACTCAACTAATCTTTATGACTATTAGTCATAGATTCTATTAAGGAGAAATTTGAAAATTCGATCACTCATTACTTTTAAATGATCTTAAAGCTACCCCATCTTAATTTCCAGTATATTTGACTTAAAAATAATTGTCCTAAATACATAATTACCCCCAAAATGAATGGCACAAATTCACTTATATAATACGCCTATTTACTACTATCCTTTTTTTTCAGACACACCTGGTGCTCCAGGATTACCAGAAGTTGTTGACTACGATGAAAATATGGTAGAATTAAAATGGGATGCACCATTTAGAGATGGTGGGGCTCCGATAACAGGTTAGTAAAATTAATGGTTGACATGATTATAAAAAATGATATTTTTTTTTTTTGTTTTGTTCAGAATACCTATTTGAGTATTCAAATATTGTTTAGAAAATATATTTAAAATACTCGTACAAATTATTTAAATAAAGTAGAAACTGGTTTAACTGTCACTGTTGGGACTAGGACAATAACGGTTAATTGAATAGACGGTTAACAGATATTGTAAATTAAACATTAAACATATATATTTTACTACGTGATTTTCAGATAAAAATAATATGTAATTGTAATAAATAACAAAAATAATACCATACTCAAAAATACTATCCAAAATAATCCACCGGCTTCTACTATTTTTTTTTGAAACATGAGCTTTTTGAGCGGCCGTGTTTCATATTTTACGAAGAAGTAAGACCTGCGTTGCATTTGCTTCCTCTTGCATTTCTATCCAATCAATGCTTTTTGATAATGAGTGCTTCTGATTGGCTAGTTGATGGTTTTAAGTCAAGCACTGAATCTTCAATGTCATCAAAGTTTTTTTCAACAGCAGTAACATTAAAAATAATTTGATCATCATTCAAAATTTCAAATCACCCAACCTGTTTATCAATTTTTAACCAATCTGTTACTTCTTTCGTTGATAATATTTCACTGTGCAGTCTATTACAAATTTATACAATTTATTCTACTTTAACAGTCTCAGTTTTTTCAGACTCGTACGGTAGGTATCATTTCGGGTCATATTTTATTTCTATTCCACCCATTCTTTAGGATCAATATAGTCAGATCAGTTCATACACTGGTAACGGTGACCGATGACAGATAACAGAGAATGGTGGTAAATCGAGTGACGATTAAACAAGTTTATACTGTACTTGAAAAAGTTTTTATTCTCTTTAAAAATAATATTCATTTTTTTTAAATAATTTATATTAATTTTAGAATAATTGGAAAATTAAATCTATAGTTAATACATAAAAATGTGCGTATACAATATACAAATAAATAATGTATTGATATTATAATAAATTGATAAAAAGTATTTGTTTTCATCTTGAATTCAAATTTAAAACTAATTTTTTAATTTAAAAAAAGTATTTTATAATGTATACAAAATAAATAAAAATAAGTATTTGAATACTTTTTTTGAAAAGAACCTTTGTAAAACAATGATATTGAATTGAGTCCAGCTTATTATCTTAATATCCTTGAATTGAGTCCGTAAAGATAAAATATCATCACTACCTATATAGCCGGTGACAAATTTTTAATATTTTGTTGTGTTTTCAAAAATAATAAAATAAGTTTATACTTATATTATGATAAAATTGTCAACAAATTTTAACTATTTTGAAATATTGATAGGTATGACAAATTTTCATTTTTTTTTTTAGTATTTTTCTATAACTGTCGATATAAAATTATTCTCAAGGTAAAATTTTAATATTTTCTAATTAATTGACTTTTTATACTTATTATTACAATTTAAAAAAGAGACTTAACTCGAATAACTTAAGAATATTGGTCGGACTTAACTCCGATAATACAAAATTATTTGCGGGACTCAATTCAATGTTATCCTCGTAAAATAATATAAACAAAAGTATTAGAATTTTATTATTTGAATAAAATCGAGGGACCCAGGTAAATAGTATTAAAATGACTAATTAGTGATAAACATGTATAATATTGTTTCGCTACTAACCTAGTTATACTTTTTAGGATATATAATCGAAATGAAGAGCAAATATGATAGTTCGTTCATAAAAGCTGCTGAAGTTACTGGAAATGTTTGTAAAGGCAAAATTCCAAAATTAGAAAACGGACAACAATACCAATTTCGAGTACGTGCTGTTAACAAAGCTGGTCCCGGTGAAGCTAGTGAAGAATCTCTTCCTCATATTGTTAAAGCCAAATTCAGTAAGATATATTTACACGTTAGTTAAAAAAAAAAAACATATACTTAATATAAACCATTTTATTTTATAGTGAAACCAAGAATAGATAGAACAAACTTACAAAGCTTAGTCATGAAAGTTGGACATACAAAATTAGTTGACGTGAACATAAGTGGAGAGCCTGTACCTACTGTCACGTGGTCATTTAAAGACACTGTAAGATATTAATTTATACATAAGTTTATGTTAATATTATAAGTAGGTAATACTGCATGATAAATTTAAATGTTCTGATTATGTACATAACATATATAGGTATACATATTTAATTATGTATAATTATATTTTTATCATAAAATTATTTAATTTATAAATTAATGAATATTCAAGAACTTAACTATTGTATACTCAACTATTTTAGGAACTAACTACAGGAAATTCGCTGGAAATCAATAACATGGACTACAATACAAAATTAATGATCATTAAGGCTATGCGTGCTCATAGTGGTGTATATACAATTAAAGCTAAAAATTCAGTCGGCGAAGACACAGCTACTTTTGATATAACTATTTTAGGTAAAAAATAAATTATATAAACAAACATTCCAGTTTATAAATATTAAAAATATATCAATAAAATATTGAAATGTTTAACTACTTATTACACGTTGTTAATATATTAACTTGTATCACTTATTATTAATATATCTTATTTTTAACTAATTAATATAGAATGAAAATTTACATTAATTTAATTCTACTAACTATATTATCTATATTATAAGCTTTATCATCAATATATATTATACATTTTAGGAAAACCAACGAAGCCAGGTGGTCCACTTGAAGTAACTGATGTGACGAAAAATGGTTGCAAACTAAAATGGAAAAAGCCAGAAGATGATGGTGGCACGCCAATAGAGTATTATGAAATTGAAAAACTTGATCCATTAACTGGTCAATGGATACCATGTGGTAAATCTAACGAGCCAGAAGCCAATATAACTGGTTTACAAGAAGGTAAACAATATAAATTCCGCGTGAGGGCAGTGAACAAAGAAGGAGAATCAGATGATCTAGAAGCTGATAAATTTATTGTAGCTAAAAATCCATTTGGTAAGATCACTTTTTAATTTTAATTATACAAACAAGATATTTAAAATAATTCATATACAGATGAACCAAGTAAACCTGGTAAGCCAAATCCAACAAATTGGGATAAGTCATTTATTGACCTTGAATGGGAAGCCCCTGATTCCGACGGGGGTGCACCGATTGAAAGTTATATTGTTGAAATGAGAGATAAGGACGAGAGAAATTGGGTTAAAGCTCTTGTTCTTCCAAATAAGTATGTTTTGTTTTCATTTTTTATTTTTTAAATAAAATAAAATATTTTTTTAGACGCTCTGGTCGAGTGACGGATGTTATAGAGGGCCATGAATATGAATTCAGGGTGATTGCAGTTAATAAAGTTGGACCTAGTCAACCGAGTGATATTTCGAAATCCGTTGTAGCTAAACCACGATTTAGTACGTAAATCAATTTTGTGAACATATATCGATTGGAATATAAAATATATTTGCTTAATAATATTTAATTTTATAGTGGCACCTAAAATTGATCGAAAGAATTTGGGAAAGAAAGAAATTCGCAAAGGAAAATTCTTGAAATTTGAAGCAGATGTTGAAGGGGAGCCTGCGCCAACTATATCATGGACATTTAACGGACAGACCATATTATTTAATGACAGGTAGTGGTTAAATCTTTTTAAGTCGAATTTTCTTGAATTTAAATACTGTTATGATACTTATTTTTGTAAAAATCATTGAAATAAAATATTAAATATTAATTTTAATTTAGATTAACCATAGAAAGTGAAGACTATAAAACGACATTTATACTACAAAAAGCTAAACGCTCTGATTCAGGAATTTATACAGTTACTGCAAAAAATGAGTCTGGAACTGATAAAGCAGAAGTTGAAATTATTGTTCTCAGTGAGTTTAAAATTTTTATAAATAACAAATTATTCAAATAATTAATTTTTATATTTTATAATTTTAGCTGCTCCCACCAAACCTAAAGGGCCATTGAAAGTGTCAGAAGTCACAGCAGAAGGATGTGAACTAAAATGGCAAAAACCTGAAGATGATGGAGGTGTTCCGATAGATCATTATATTGTTGAACGTATGGATACTGAAATGGGACGATGGGTACCAGTTACCATTTCGAAACTTCCTGAAGCCGAAGTTACTGGTTTACACGAGGGTAAAGAATATTTGTTCCGAGTAAAAGCAGTAAATGCTGAAGGAGAATCGGAACCCCTGGAAACTGACTTTGGAATTGTAGCAAAGAATCCGTATAGTAAGTATTGCTATTATTTTCATTATTTTAAAAATATTAATTTCTACGTAAAAAATAGATGAACCTGATCGCCCTGGAAAACCTTATGCTAAAGACTGGGATAAGAGCAGCGTACATTTGAAATGGACACCTCCAGCAAACGAAAATGGTGCTCCAGTTACATCATACATTATTGAAAAAAAAGATCAATACAGGTAAGCTTTAATTTATTATTTAAAAAATGCATTTAAAATATGTGTTTACTTCATTATATAACTAAACTAACACAACAAGGACTACATTTTCAATTAGGTGAAATAATAAATCAATTGACTAGCTTATATTACAAATTATTATATAAAAAATAATATATTTTATGATAGATGTTTTTAATCAGGCAATTTAATGCAATGCCCAATGTCAGGGGTAAATATGAAAAATATTCACTTTCCTTATCATTTTACAAAATCGCTTAAACAAAACACATTGGAAAATCAAAGTTTCGGTTCAATTTATAATACACAATAGGTTAGAGTTATCCACGATATGAAAACGAAGAAAAAACAATAAAAAAGTTGATAAATCTATCCAAAATAATCACCTTTCAAATTTATACTCAATTATAGCTATTAATACAATAATCAAAGCTTAAAAATAAGAATAACTTCAGCATTATTTTCACTGAAATCTGTTAATACTTCAGAACTGTTCGCGCACGTCACAAGATTTGGAGGCAAATCTATATCAACTCTTTAATAATGACTTAACGTTATATGTAATATGTACTTCTATAGAATTAGGATCAATATTCTAAAATTTCAGGTTAATGACCTTCTCAGATCGTAAGCCCTTATTTATTCTATAAAAAAAACCCCCCTAAAAAATGAAGAAAAAAGTAAGATGTACACAAATATTATACTTCGACTATTGTTATGTAAGAGTCTTGAATTTAAGTACTAAATTTCTCTTACTTTTTTCATAGTTTTATAAATTTTATTATATTTTTGGATCTAAATAACACTATTTCTTAATGACCTTAATATTAACTCTCTGCTAGAAAATATAATTCAATGCTAAATATTTAAATTTATTGTTAGAAAAAGTAATTGAACATAACATTTTTAAGTCCAATGTAATCTATTCATACAACATAAATTTTAACTATGATCAATAAAAAAGTTATTGAGCGTAATATATATATATATATATATATATATATATATATTATATATAAATTTATTTATGTGTATATATTGACATACTTATAATAATTAAACATAAATCAACTTTAACCTAATAACTATAGTTAAATAACAATCAAACTGTTTTTAGCTCTAAATGGCAAAAGGCTGTAGAATTAATTGGAAACAAATGTGAAGGAAGAATACCAGATCTTGCTGAAAATATGAAATACACTTTCCGAGTAATTGCAGTCAACAAAGGTGGATTTAGTAAGCCGAGTGAACCCAGTGACCCAGTCATTACAAAAGATAGAAATGGTATTATATCAGTATAATATAGGATTTTTTCATTTGAAATTTACACTTTATTTTATTTTATATTTTTATCAATCTTTTAGTTGCACCAATAATTGACAGAAGCACGCTCAAGAATTTGACTTTAAAAGCAGGACAGCATGTGAAAATTGATGTAAAGATTAGTGGAGAACCACCACCAACAAAAATATGGTATCATAACAAAGCACGTTTAGAAAGCAAAGAAAACTTTAATGTAGAATATGAAGATTATAGAACTAAAATTTCGATATCTGTGGCTGATAGATCACATACTGGAGTATACATAATTAAGGCCGAAAATGACTCTGGCAAAGACGAAGCAACATTTGACATTACTGTGCTAGGTATGACAAATGTATTAAATATTAGACGTACAAATAAATTTATTAACGTTTTATTTTTATTTTAGACAAGCCTGGAAAACCTGAGGGACCTATTAAAATATCTGATATACACAAAGAAGGTGCTTCGTTAAAATGGAATCCACCCGAAGATGATGGAGGTGTTCCTTTGAGTCACTATTTAGTCGAAAAAATGGATGCTGAAACGGGTAAATAAATAAACATAGTAAAAAATTTGTATAAACTACAAATTAATTATTTTTCAATTTTGTGGTATAGGACGTTGGGTACCAGCAGGAAGATGCAAAGAGCCAAATTTAACTGTATCTAACTTGATACCGGGTCAAGAATATACATTCCGTGTATCAGCTGTAAATTCTGAAGGAGAATCTGAACCACTAGTAGCCGATCATTCAATCATAGCTAAAAATCCATTTGGTATGATTAATATGGTTAACATTGAAATCTAGTAAATTATGATTGTTCACTGCGTATTTTTTAGATGAACCAAGTGCAACAACTGCACCTAAGATTGTTGATTGGGATAAAGATTTTGTTGATTTAGAATGGGAACCTCCTATTAACGATGGAGGATCTCCAATCACAGGTTATGTAATTGAAAAGCGAGAAAAGGGGACTTCACGGTGGATTAAAGCTGGAGAAATGAAAGAGCCTGTGACCAAAGGTCGAGCTGAAGATTTGGAAGAAGGAATCGAATACGAATTCAGAATTCGAGCTGTAAACAAAGCTGGACAAGGTGATCCAAGTCCACCAAGCCAATCTATAATTACAAAACCTAGAAAGCGTATGTATTTACATATATATATATACACTCATATATTATAAAACATTAATGTTCAATTATTCCATTTATTTTTTTTATATAGTGGCCCCAAAAATAGATCGTCGTAATCTTAAATCTATAACAATCCGAGAAGGTGAACCAATTTTATATGACGTTAAAGTATCAGGAGAACCAGCACCAGATGTAACTTGGTCATTTAATAATGTTATTATTTCTACTAATAGCATTTATCAAATTGATAATGTGCCATATAATAGCCGATTTTATCACTCAAATCCAATGCGTAGTGATACAGGAATTTATAAAATAATAGCTTCTAATAAATACGGCGAAGACGAAGAAGAAGTCGAAGTGACGGTTATTTGTAAGTAAAATATTTAGAAATATAACTTTTAATATAAAAAAATATACATGTATATATATATGTGTGTATATATTTAATCTAATTCTATAGCCAAACCAAGTAAACCTGAAGGACCATTAGAAGTCTCAGATGTACATAAAGATGGATGCACTTTGAAATGGAAAAAACCAAAAGATGATGGCGGTGAACCATTAGAGGGATACTTAGTGGAAAAATTCGATCCTGATAATGGAGTTTGGCTACCAGTAGGACGTACCAAAGATCCAGAGATGCAAGTTACTGGCTTAATACCAGGACATGAATATAGTTTCCGTGTTAAGGCTTTAAATAGTCAAGGCGAATCAGAACCTCTTGAAACATTATCTACTATTATCGCTAAAGACCCCTTCAGTAAGGATTAAGTTTAAATATGAATTATGATTAAAATTAAAATTATACTAAAATAAAGTATAATCATAATTTGTATTATAATTATTTTAATAAACAATAAATATTTTTAATCCAGCCAACCCCGAAGCACCTGGAGCACCTGATATTAATGATTGGAGTCAAAATCATGCTGATCTAGTATGGAAAAAACCATTTAGTGATGGTGGTACACCAATTACACATTATATCATCGAAAAAAAAGATAAATATAGGTAATTCATTATAATTATATTAATATTATTTAAAACATAAAATCATATATTTATATATATATATATATATGTATATATTAGTGGAGTGTGGGAAAGAGCTGGAGAAACAATCAATGAACAACCCCAAGGAATTGTTAATGGTTTAGTTGAAGGTAACGAATATCAATTCCGCATAATTGCCGTAAACAAAGCTGGTCAAAGTGAGCCTAGTAGGCCATGTGCTAATTTTATAGCCAAACCACGTTACTGTAAGTGCATACATATTTTTATTAATATACTTTGTACATTTAAATTATTCATCTATTTAAATTTTCAATTTTAGTGGCTCCTCATATTGATAGACGTAACCTTATGGATGTAAAACTATCAGCTGGATCATCATTGAAATTAGATGCTGTAATAACGGGTGAGCCAGCCCCTCATGTTGATTGGAGATGTGGTGCTATGCCATTAAAGTAAGGTTTAAAAATATTAAACCAATTAAATGAACCATTATTGGTAAAGATTTTATAATTTATATTTTATAGATCCGAACCTCATGTTAATATTGAAATCGTAGACTATTATACGAAATTAGTTATTAGACCAGTAGGCCGTAATAATAGTGGTCAATACACTGTTACTGCTGTAAATAGTTCTGGAAAAGATACTGCTGTTATTAATGTCATAGTTACAGACAAACCTACGCCACCAGTTGGACCACTTCAAGTAAATCAATATAAATCAAAATACAAATATTTGAATTGAAATGTTATACTATAAATATAATCTTACTTAAGGTTTCTGATATACACAAAGATGGCTGTAAATTAAATTGGAAAAGACCAGAAGATGATGGAGGTACTCCTATTGAATATTATTTAGTTGAAAAATTTGATACTCAAAAAGGCAGTTGGATACCATGTGGACGATCACCAGAAACCGGTTCGATTAGAATAAACATTAAAACATTAAAAATGTGTGGTATTAACAATTAAATTTTTATAGCTTTGGCGGTAACTGGGCTGACACCAGGTAAAGAATATAAATTCCGCGTTACAGCTGTAAATGCAGAAGGCGAATCTGATCCACTCCAAACTGAAAAATCAATCATCGCTAAAAATCCTTTTGGTAATACAGTTATACAGTTATTATATTAAATTTTTACAATATTTTATGAAATATCAATTTTTCTTTAGATGAGCCAGGTAAACCAGGTAACTTGGAAGTGACAGATTGGGATAAGAATTTTGTTGACTTAAAATGGATTCCACCAAAAGAAGATGGAGGATCTCCCATTACAGGCTATTTAATTGAGGTTAAAGATAAATCAGGAATATGGGAAAAAGCATTGACAGTACCTGCTGATAAAACAACGGCAACAGTGCCAAATCTAGTTGAAGGTGAATCTTATGTATTCCAAGTAAAAGCGATAAATGCAGCTGGTCCAGGTGAAGCAAGTGATCCAACCAATACGATTGTTACTAAGCCTCGTAATATGGCACCACATATTGATCGAACAAACTTAAACGATATTAAAATCAAAGCAGGACAAACGATTAGTTTTGACATAAAAGTAAGTTGCTTATTTATTAATACATTTTTCTTATGACAAATTATTAAAATGAAAAGAAACTAAAATATAAATTCAGGATTATTTTTAAATCAAATTTAACAGATGGATTAATTTATTTTTATTTTTAACTAAACGCAATAATACATTTTTAAAATTCTACAGGTAACAGGCGAGCCGGTACCAAAAACCAAATGGTTAAAGAATCACAAAGATATACGAGTAGGCGATGGTGTAAAGCAAACACATGTCGATTATAATACAAAACTAATTATTCGCATGGCAACAAGAGAAGATTCAGGGTCATATATTATAACAGCTGAAAATATAAATGGCAAAGACACAGCGTACGCTGAAGTAACCGTTTTAGGTAACAATATGAACAATAATATAACTATAAAGTCTGAATGCACGTCACAGTATTTTAAAAATTTGTTATTAGTTTATAATAATTTTGAAATGTAGAAAGTAAAATAAAAATTCTTAATCTTATTGTTCTGATGGGCTTTCCAATTATAGATAAGCCAAGTGCACCAGAAGGACCGCTTAAAGTATCCGATGTACATGGTGAAGGATGCAAATTAAGCTGGAAACCACCAGAAGACAATGGTGGTCAACCAATTGAAAATTATGTCATAGAAAAGTTAGATGAAGCTTTGGGTCGCTGGGTACCAGCTGGAGAAACTGATGGTCCAGTAACTGACTTTGAAGTTACTGACCTAATACCCGGACATAAATATAAATTCAGAGTAAAGGCAGTAAATAAACAAGGAAAATCAGATCCATTAACAGCTAACCAAAGCATTGAAGCTAAAAATCCATTTGGTAATATTTTGACTACTTAATTGAATGCAGGTAACCTTTAATACAACTATAATCCAATTTTTTATTAATTTTAGATACTCCTAGTAAACCATCAAATCCCATTATCAAAGACTTTGACAGTGATTTTGTTGAACTTGGTTGGGATAAACCTATGACTGATGGAGGATCACCAATAACTGGTTACATAATTGAAAAAAAAGATAAATTCAGGTAAAAAAAAATTCTAAAAAATTTTTGCAATGATATTTATTGATATTTTTGATAATTTTAATAAAACATAAATAATTCAACTACTTATGTAACTTATTTACCGAAGGTAATCATAAATATAATTTTAAATACCACTTATGACAGTTATTTTAATAATACTAATGAATTTCTAATTTTTTTCTAATTTCTAATCAACAATCAATTTTTTTCTGTTTTATTTTTTTCAATTGATAATAACATAATATATTGGCTGCTAGGCCATTAGTTTAAAAAGTGTTGAAATATTATTTTTCACAATATAGAATATATTTAAATTAGGTTACTTAATTCAAGTTCTTTTAAAAAATTAATTATGTTAATACTAGATTTAAGATCTAATTTCTCCTAATACATGTAGGATATGATGTTTGATTCTTAGATTTGTAAATGTTTGACATTCGATTAAAATATGTTTCATGATGTAATCTACACCACATATTTCTGGCCACAGGATAATTTTGGATTGTATATGAATCGTATATATCTATGTTCTATTCGGAGATGGTTTTTTATGATTTCTTCTTTCCTATTTAGGCTAGAGTTTTGCCACAACAATCGGTTAAATAATATGTGCAATTGAACATTATAAAAGTATTAAATTGAATTTTTTATGGATTAAAAATATTAATCAATAACTTTAATAATCGTTAAATTATATTCTTATTACATTTTTTTTTTTTTATTATTATTAAGTACGTTTTTATTTAAAAGTTAAAACCACATAATATTTTTTATCAACTATTTGTATTAAATTTCTAAAAAATAAAATAATAAGTTATTATTAATAACTAATATCACTATTTTATATTTTTAAACTTGTAGTCATTGTTTAGTTTTAATTTTAATAAATAATACATACTACTGATGTATACTTTTAATATCTTACAATGTATCAAATTTTATAATAACTTTTTTTTTTAAATATGCATTTTACAGTCCAACCTGGGTTAAGGCTGCTGAAGTAACTGGTAATGTAAACAGTGGAATTGTTCCTGGTTTAACTGAAGGTAATCAGTACGAATTTAGGGTGCGTGCGGTAAATAAAGCTGGCCCTGGTGAAGCGAGTGAACCAACATTACCTCACCTTGCTAGACTCAAAAAGTGTAAGTCATAGATTTTAATTTTAAAAATAAATCCATACGTTATTGCTCATAATGTGCATATTATAAAGTATTTCATATTTATTTAACAAATTTATTTCAGTGGCGCCTCATATCGATAGAAACACTCTATCGGACATAAAAGTGCGGGCCGGAAACATGTTTGAATTTGATGTTAAAGTATCTGGAGAACCTCCTCCAACTAAAGAATGGTCTCTTAGAGGAGATGTGCTCATGAAAACTGAGAGCATAAATATAATAAATCAAGATTACTCAACAAAACTTAAAGTTATTGATGCAAAGCGTTCTGACGATGGAATTTATTATTTAGTAGCAAAAAATATTCACGGAATGGACAAAGCTGCAGTCAAAGTTACAGTTATAGGTACTTAATAATTTTTATATTATTTCGCTTCTGTGACAACAATTGAATATACATGTTTTAATATTATAGATGTACCACAACCACCTGAGGGACCTCTACATCCAACCGATGTGACAAGAAATTCGTGTGTGTTAAAATGGAATCCACCAAAAGATGACGGTGGATCAGAAATAACACACTACATAGTTGAAAAAATGGATGCTGACACATTAAGATGGGTTCCAGTAGGTGACGCTGCTGGTACAACAATGAGGTATAATACCATCTTCAATATTGAATTATATTAATATAAAAACACATTTATATTAATTACCTATTATTTAGGATTGATCATTTGATCGAAGGTCACAACTATAACTTCAGGGTTAAAGCTGTGAACAAAATCGGGGAGTCTTTACCGTTAACTACATTTGATAGTATAACAGCCAAAGACCCATACGGAAAGCCAGATAAACCAGGCACGCCTCAAGCAACTGGTAAAAAAATAAATATTTTATTCATAATATTAATATGATACTCTAATTTGAATTAATATGATAAAATTCAGATTGGGGAAGAAATTTTGTTGATCTTCAATGGACTCCACCAAAGAAAGATGGTGGATCTGAAATTCTATCTTACATTATCGAAAAACGAGAAAAATACGGGTAAATATAGTTTTACTTATATGCACTAAAAATGAATATGTTCGTTTGTTTTGTTCATAAATATTTAAAATTAATTGTATATGAATTTAGTCCTTGGGAGAAAGCTGCAACAGTAAATGGAAATAAAACCAAGGCCTCTGTTCCGGATCTTACCGAAGGCCATGAATACGAATTCCGAGTTATTGCTGTAAATAAAGGTGGCCCTGGTGACCCCAGTGATTCATCTGAAGTAATAACATGTAAACCGAAATTCCGTAAGTTTTCTGTTAATTATTTAAAATAATTATAGATAGTATAAATTGATCGTTTAATTTAATACCTACATATACTACTCTTGTTTACACAAAAGAAAAGTAGTATAATATAAAAATTAAAAATAAAAATGAACATGTACCTAAGCTTATTAAAAATTAAATTGAATATCTTGTATGCATTAAAAAAAAAAATACGAAAAAAGCATTTTTAATCCATTAAATTATTTCTAAAAATAAATTAATAAGCAAAATGTTGTATATTAAAACAATTAATTATGCCTCGGGTTTTATATCTTTGATGTAACTTTTCACTTTTATATCACGACAGACCACTGTGTTAATATTTTAGAAATATAAATGTTAATTTTTTTAATTATAATCTTACTATTCTCTTGATTTTAGTTGAACCAGTAATAGATACTACATTCTTGCCTGATTTGATTGTACGCGCCGGTAATAAAATAAACTATACTGTTCCAATTGAGGCAGCACCTAGACCAACAGTGAAATGGAGTGTTAATGAAGTGCCAGTTGATAGTGGCTCTAGAGTGGATATACAAATTTATAACAGCCAAGTTATATTTGAAATACCATTTTCAGTACGGAATGACACTGGCCGTTACACATTAACATTAGAAAATAACATGGGAAAATGTTCAGCTTCTGCTCATGTCACTGTATTAGGTAAAATAAAAATTTTAAATTAATAAAAAATGTTTATACTTATTAACAATTTTATTAATAATCCATCAATGTGTATTTATTTTTAATTTAATCTTTAGATCGTCCATCACCACCTGAGGGTCCATTAGACGTGTCTAATGTCAGAAAAGATGGATGCCGGTTGACATGGAAAATACCTGTTGACGATGGCGGTGCTCCTATTTTACACTACATTATTGAAAAAATGGATATTTCCAGAGGAACGTGGTCCGATGCTGGAATGACAACATCATTATACCACGATATTATTAGATTAATTCACAAACGCGAATATTTATTTAGAGTCAAAGCCGTAAACAGTATTGGTGAATCAGACGTTTTAGAAACTGATAAATCGATAATAGCAAGAAACGAATTCGGTATGACACATTAATAGTTTTTTATGAAAGTCTTTATACAAAAAAAAAAAAAATATATATATTGATATAGATGAACCGGATGCACCTGAAAAACCAGTGGTAACGAATTGGGATGAAAACTTTGTTGAGCTGCAGTGGGAACAACCAAAAACCGATGGTGGATCACCAGTGACTGAATTTTCAATACAAAAGAAAGAAAGAGGAAGCCCGTATTGGGTAAATGCCGTAACAGTTCCAGGCAAAGAAACAAAGGTAAGAAGTTTTTAATCGAAGAAAAAATGTTAAGTATACAATAAGAATAGAATTTTTAAACGAAACTTCGGAATTTCAGGCAATCATTCCAGACTTAATCAAAGGACAAGAATACGAATTTAGAGTTATTGCTACAAATAAAGCTGGACCTAGTCCTCCAAGTGATCCTTCAGATCCGATTATCGTGAATAATAGATATTGTGAGATTCTCCATGAAATAGTTTACAAATAAAAAATAAAAATAAAAACATAAATCTAATAACAATAATTATTTTTTTAGTGAAACCAAAAATAAAGACTCCCTTAAAAGATATTTTCATAAGAGCTGGAACAGTTCTACACGTTGATATAGATTTTATTGGAGAACCACCTCCAGAAGTAACATGGACGGTAAATGGATCAGAACTTAAACCAGATAATAGAACAACAATAACCTCTATTGGATACCACACAATCATGAACAGAGTGAATTCAAAACGAGTAGACTCTGGAACATATAATTTATTGCTCAAAAACAGTTCTGGAACTGACGAAGGGTCATTTAATGTTACTGTATTAGGTATGAAAATTAAATTTACTACAATATTTTTCAATAAGTTCTGTGATTTTCATAGATTATATGGTATACAAATTTAAATCAATTTAAATAAACAATTACAGATAGACCTGGGCCACCTGACGGACCGCTTACATATGAAGATATTACCGCCAATTCGGTAACGCTATCTTGGAAAACACCAAAAGACAACGGTGGAAGTGAAATTACGTAAGTTATATAAATTAGGCTTACCATAAACTTATAATCTATTGAACTGAACCTGTTCGGTTGTAAGCGGAATACAGAAGGCTAGTGCCTCAAATAGCTTACTTAAAGGTTGTAGCAAATTTTTTTAACATATTGAATGTTTTAATTCTTTCATAGCTCTATTTAATAATTTCTTACAATTGATATTAATATTATATTACAGTTATTGAGAGTCATCTAACCTCGCCATGAATTACAATAATATAATTTAAGTATTTTCTGAGTCACTGTGTCTAGGAAAAAAATTTAACTTTTTTAATTTAATTGTATTTTATTATAAGAATTGTATTCGTAACTACCTAACACATTTGTTTTCTTATAATTGGGTAGTTTTTTATCACTTCTGAGCGGAAAATTTATAAATACGGCCCTAGATTGTGGTTATTAAATAAATAAAAGGCAAGGTACGAGATCCTTTACACGAATCATTAAAAAAAAAGATAAGATACTGTAGAAGAAATACAAAAACTAATGATTGGAAATTTTTCCGTAATATTAATATGCTGTGTTTGTGTCCACAATTTATATGTCACCTTTTTAAAGTTGTCTATCTTTCAAATCGTTTTTCTTTGTCTGCGATTAGAAAACATCACTAGGTAAAAAACAGTGTATAGATCTATTATAATTAACAATATTTATACATGATATTTTATATATTTATATATATATATATATATATACATTTTCATTGTGGTTTTTTACATTTAATGTCTGTTATTTTTTTAGAGCTTATGTTATTGAAAAACGAGATTTAACTCATGGAGGAGGTTGGGTACCAGCAGTTACATATATAAACCCAGCGTTTACTTATGCCACAGTTCCAAGGCTTATCGAAGGAACTAGGTATGAGTTCCGCGTTCGAGCTGAAAATTTACAAGGATTATCCGAACCTTTAACTACAGCTGAACCAATAGTTGCCAAAAATCAATTTGGTAAGAAATAATTTAATATAAAATAATTTTCGAATAATTTTTATAAACCAAATCTTCTTTAGATGTTCCTGGAAGACCGGGTAAACCCGAAGCCACTGAAGTGGACCAAGAACACATTAAACTAATGTGGACTCCACCTATGAGTAATGGAGGATCGCCAATTGTTGGGTATGACATAGAAAGAAGAGAGAGATCTACAGCTGGTCGGTGGGCTAAAATAACTAGATCACCAATAAAGGTAAATAGTTAAGTGAAATTAATGAACATAATACCTACACTAAATTATTTTTAAAATTAATATCAGACTACCGAGTATGATGATACTCATGTGCACGAAGGCAAACAGTATGAGTATCGCATAAGTGCAGTCAATGCTGCTGGTTCTAGTAAACCTAGTGAGACGTCAGATGTATACACTGCAAAATTAACAAGAGAAAAACCAAAACTACATTTAGAAGGCCTAATGGGAGGCCGAATAAAGGTTAGAGCTGGAGAGCCGATCAACATTAGCATACCAATTTCGGGTGCGCCAACTCCGCGCATCGAGTGGGTCATAAATGGTGAAAAGCCTCCAGAAACTAACCGTATACTTGTAAGTTAATTTACGAGTCAATTATTAAATTGTTAATTTCACATATAAAAATTATTAGTTAATCATACGTTAATTTTTATTTTTATAGTCTGTTACTGGAAGTAACTTGACTAAACTTAGAGTTGACAATTCTACTCGTAAAGATGCCGGAAAATATACAATAACCGCATCAAATTCGTCTGGAAAAGATTCTGCAGACATATATGTATCAGTGGTAAGTTGTCCAAGTGCACCAAAGGGACCTTTGCAGTATCCTGGTGCCACACATGATACTGTTACACTTGCATGGAGACCTCCTGAAGATGATGGAGGAAACGACATAACTGGTATATTTATTTAGATTGTTTAAACACATTTAATTACGTACATATAATTTTATACCATAGGATATATCATTGAAATGTCCGAGTTTGGAATGGATAGTTGGAAAGTAGTTCCTGGCTTCTGTCCAAATACTACATTTACAGTTAAAGGTCTAAGTGAAGGAAAACGATACGTGTTCAGAGTAAAGGCTGAAAATATGTACGGTGTTTCGGAACCTTTGGAAGGAATTCCGATTACAGCTAAGAGCCCATTCGATCCACCCGATGCTCCGGGACAACCTGAAGTAACTAATTACAGTCCAAACAGCTGTAGTCTTAGCTGGACTCCACCAATAAACACAGGCGGAAGACCAATAAGCGGTAAAAAAACATCCAACGTTTATTCGTAATTATTCTAAGTTATTTTGTTTTTTTTAGGATACATTATTCAAAAGAGAGAAAGGGGTGGTGATTGGGTTAAATGTAATAATTTCCCAACTTCAAATACTAGTTTCACTGCTCAAGATCTTAGAGAAGGTAACCGTTATGAATTCCGTGTACTTGCAGTAAACGAAGCCGGTACAGGTAAACCTAGTAAGCCCAGTAATCCAGTTACGGCTAAAGAACAAAAGAGTAAGTATACATATACCTACATTTCCAACATCGTTTAATGCTTTATTTTTTAATTCATTATTGATCATTGTAGAAGTACCAGAAGCTCCTGAAGCACCAAAACCAGACAGAATCACCAAAGATAGTGTAGTATTATCTTGGAGACCACCAAGGTTTGACGGCGGCGCAAAAATAAAAGAATACGTTTTAGAACAAAAGAAGAAAGGTGAATCCGATTGGTCGGAAGTAATATGCCCAACTATTTATTCTACGTTATGCACGGTAATAATAATTATAAATCTATGTCTGAAATAAATCGATTAAAATACCTATTTTGATTATCTTTAATAGGTTGGAAATTTAAAAGAAGGTGATGAATACCAATGGCGAGTTATAGCTGTAAATGAAGCAGGGCGATCAAAACCCAGTCGACCAAGTGTAAATGTTTTAGTTGAAGAACAACCTAATAAGCCTTGTTTGGATTTGTCTGGTGTTAGAGATATTACAGTGAAAGCTGGCGATGACTTTTCTATTCATATACCATATATTGGATTCCCAGTACCCACTGCAACTTGGTTCAATAATGATCAAATTATAAATGATTCAGATCCTAGAGTTCATATACAAGTAATATATGTTTCTAATATAATATTTTTAATTTAAAACAACTCATTTTATGTAAATATATTTTAATTATTGTAATGGTATTGATTACAGTTGACAAGTAACTCTGTAAGCTTAGTTATTAAAAACTCCCGACGAACAGATGCTGGACAATATAGATTACAACTACGAAACCAATCTGGATTTGACACGGCTACGTTACACGTGAGAGTTCTAGATAGACCTATGCCTCCTGAACACTTTTATGCCGATGAATTAAACGGAGATTCATTGACATTATTCTGGCATCCACCATTGGATAACGGCGGAGCTCCAGTTACCAACTACTTAGTAGAAAAGAAAGAATTAAACTCAACAACCTGGCAAAAGGTTGATATTATTTATATATAGAATTTAGAATAAAATTTAAATTTATTGTGCTACTTTAATTAATCAGAAAATCAAGAAAAAAAAAATTGAACATTAGCATTCTTAAAACATAGTAATATAGAGCAATAATGTTAAATTTTAAATACAAGTAAAATTATTGACAGTCATATCCCCAGTTGACTCTTCTTAGGGATTTAGAACTAGAAAAATGGATGGTCTAAAATAACATATTAAAAAAAAAAAACAATGTACCATGTATTTTATCATTGTCTTGCACTTTGATTTAATAAGGAATTGACTGTATCAAAACTGGAATTTTCTTAGTAACCATATAATAAAATTCATTCATGATTTAAATTTAAATAATATTAATCAAAAATGATACATATATTATTATAATAAAATTATATAATCTTATTTAATTACTGAATAGTACCTTATCATTATTTCGGAATTTCATTTCAACCGTTTGTTCTTATTTTCAGGTCAGCAACTATGTTGCATCACAACAATGTAAAGCTCGTAATCTTATTGTTGGAAAAACATACCAGTTCCGTGTTATGGCTGAAAATAAATATGGTGTATCTGACCCTGCTATCACCGTTGATCCAATTACTGCAAGGCATCCATTTGGTATTTTTAATTTGTTTAAAAATTTATTTCTTCTCTGTATGAATAGATAATAAATTTGATGCTGAATATTATTATAGATGTGCCTGGCGCACCAGGAATTCCAAAAGCTGTGGACACATCAGAAGACTCAATTACAATTACATGGGCCAAACCTAGAAATGACGGCGGATCACCAATCACAGGCTACATGATAGAAAAACGATTGATAAGTGAAGATAAATGGACAAAAGCATCACATGCTATAATACTCGATACCACATTTAGGTAGGAGAAAAATCAAACTTTTACTTTAAATGAAAAAACAACACTATCATAATGCTTTAATTTTGATTTTTAGAATTCATAATTTAATTGAAAATCATGAATACGAGTTCAGGGTTTCCGCACTAAACACAGCTGGTCAAGGTCCATGGAGTTCATCTTCTGATGCCATAAGATGTTGTCCACCTGCATGTAAATATTTATTTAATTCTTAAAATAACAGTATACATATATTCATCATTGTGAATTCATATCTTAGGTGCGCCAAAAATAACGAGTGATCTAAGTATAAGAGACATGACTGTAATTGCTGGTGAAGAATTTACTATTACGGTTCCATTCACTGGAAGTCCTTTACCAAAACCAGTATGGAGTATTAATGGAGAAGAAGTTATACCTGATTCTAGAATTAAATTTGAAACATCGTCAAATGAAACAGTATTTAAAAATAAATGCGCAAAACGTAAAACTGACACTGGTAATTACACCATTCACTTGGTCAACAATATTGGTGCCGATTCCGCATCTTGCAAAGTTCTTGTTGTTGGTGAGTTATTAAATAGCAACACTCAATTTAATAATATAAATTATAAAAAAAGTTTTAAAATAAATATAACATAAATTATCTTATTTAAAGACAAACCATTACCGCCACAAGGACCTCTAGAAGTTATGGATTTAACTCCTGAAACCTGTTTATTATCTTGGAAGCCGCCTTTAGACGATGGTGGCTCACCAATCACAAATTACATAATTGAAAAATATGAAACTTCAAGTGGTGTATGTATTTTTAATACCTGCTTAAATAATCCGCATATTTATGTTAAATTAATTAAATAATTTTTTTTTTTATGTAGTTGTGGTCGAAACTAAGCAGTTTTGTTCGTCCATGTCATTATGATGTCATTGGGTTAGAACCAAACAAAAAATATAACTTCCGTGTCCGAGCTGAAAATCAATATGGATTATCAGAACCAATTGAAATGGATTCTGTCATAACAGCCAAATTCCCATTCACGGTACCCGATCCACCGGGTCATCCACAAATTTTAGAATGGGACGAAATAAAAGCAACATTAATATGGGAAAGACCCATACATGACGGAGGAGCGAAAATTCAAGGATACAAAATCGAATTCAAAGATATTACCGAAGGCGGAAATTGGCGCACAGCAAATGATTATGTTGTAAAGGAACCACTTTACGTTATTCATAATCTGTTGAACGAACATGATTACGAATTCCGTGTACTAGCTAAGAACGCTGCTGGTTTCAGTAAACCTTCTATTCCTACACCGAACTTCCGATTGAAAGGTAAAGCCAAGCCTCCGTCGAAACCAGGTACTCCTACGGTACTTAAAGTGGGTAGAACATATGCTGATTTGAAATGGGATCCACCAATGTCTGACGGTGGTAGCAAAATCACTGGATACTCAATCGAAAAGAGACAAGTTGGAAATTCTGTATGGGTGAAATGCAATGATTACTCTGTATTTGATTGTAACTTCACTGCTATGAATTTAATCGAAGGCGCTGATTATGAGTTTAGAGTGTTTGCTTTAAATATAGTTGGTAAAAGTGAACCTAGCTTGTGTACCACACCAGTGAAAATATGCGAGTTTGAAGGTGGAGAAAAACCAGAATTTATTGTACCACTCACCAATAAAGTCATTCAATTTGGCAAGACGACAACGTTGCGTTGTGAAGCTATTGGAAAACCTATGCCAAATGCTAAATGGTTAAAGAATGGACGTGAAATTATATCGGGTGGACGATACAAATGTGAATCTGCCAACGGAGTTTTCCAATTACATTTCCCTGAAGTGTCAGAGATTGATGATGGTGATTATACATGTGAGTCATATAATCCTGTAGGATTCGTTACAACGTCTTCACGAGTTAAAATTGGACGTAAGTACATAAGTATATTTTAACAATGTTTTTGTTCACTTCTTATATAATAAAAGCCTAATATATTTACGATCAATATTTAGATCCACCCAAAATTGAACGCATGCCAAACTCAATCAATGTTCCTGAAGGAGAAAATAGTAAAATTAAAATATTCTACAGTGGTGATTCTTTGGAAGAAGTTGTCTTAGAGAAAAATGGAACAACTATTCCCCAAAGTGATCACTTTAAATTTACCATCTTTGATGATTATGTAATCATATTTTTAAAAGAAGCAAAGAAGAATGATGCTTCTGATTACACAGTTACTCTTAAGAATCTCAGTGGTAACGCCTCTGGATCCTTTACCATAAATATATCTGGTAATAACACAAAAAATAAAAATAAATAAAAATAAGTACTTAATTTACTAATTTAAATACAGGCTATCCCGGACCACCAATCGGACCTTTGGGAGTTTCAGAAATAACTAAACATACGTGTTCACTCTCGTGGAATCCACCAAAATATGACGGAGGTCTTAAAATAACTCATTATATTGTTGAGCGCAAAGATATTACTTCAAACCATTGGATATGTATTTCTACCACGTGCAAAGATACTCATTTCCTCGTACAAGGTTTAACTGAAGGAAACGAATACGTTTTCAGAATTATTGCTGTTAATGACAATGGACTTAGTCCTCCGTTAGAAGGAAATAATCCAATTAAAGCTAAGCCACCATATGGTAGGATAAAATATATATATTTAAATATTTTAGAAATATTAAATTATTTTTAATCATAAACAGATAAACCATCGCCACCTGGAATTCCCACTGTAACTGAGATTGGTGGAGACTTTGTAAACCTTAGTTGGGAAAAACCAATCGACGACGGTGGCTCAAGGATTCAAGGATATTTGATTGACAAACGTGAAATTGACTCAGAAACATGGCAGAGAGTAAATGCCGCCATTTGTGTTACTACACAAATAAATATTTCAAATCTTATTGAAGGGCGCCAATATGTGTTCCGAGTTTTTGCACAAAATGAAGCAGGTTTAAGTTTACCTAGCCAAGCATCAAATACAGTGACCATAAAAGATCCATTAAGTAAATACATATTTTACATTATTTTTATGTGAATGGTAAAAAATACAATTTACATATTTTTTCACAGCTGCTCAACCTCCTGAAATAATCAAACCCCTTGGTAAAGTCCAAGCCATTCAAAACCAAAATGCTCAATTTCAATGTGTTATTACTGGTGTTCCTAAGCCTACAATTACTTGGTTTGTATTAATTGTTTTAAATAATTTCTTAGGTTATATATTTTACTATGGTACAATATTATACTTAATCTAGGTATAAGGGAGCTCGGGAAATTACACCAAGTGCCAGGCATCATATGTTTAATGAAGGAGACTCACATACTCTTATTATAAATGGTGTATACGGTGCTGATTCAGATGAATATGTATGTAGAGCTAGTAATAAGGGTGGAATTAAATCAACTCGAGGAGAACTTTTGATAATGAGTATGTTCTAATTTGTATTTATAATTTTTTTTCTATATATATTTTATAAAATGCTAATAATATTTAAATTATTTAGCACCTCCAAAATTGAACGTACCACCTAGGTTCAGAGATACAGCATTCTTTGACAAAGGTGAAAATGTAGTTATTAAAATTCCTTTCACTGGTTTCCCTAAGCCAAAGATTAAATGGTACCGTGAAAATGAAGTAATTGAGTCTGGAAGTCATTTTGCTGTTGAAGTTTCTGTAAGATTATTTTTACTTAATTATTATCAAATTATAAGTAGATCTTAAAATGAACACAAAAATTTCATTTTACAGGAAAGGCATGCTATTTTAACAATCAGAGATGTTAGTAAGTATGATAGTTCTCCTTACAGAGTTGTAGCAGAAAATGATTTGGGAGTGGACAGCGCAATTATAAAAATTCAAATTAGTGGTAAGAAAATCGTTCCGTAATTTTAACTAATTTTATTTTATAGTGTACGCCATATAATTTATTTTTTTATTTTTTTTGTAATCTAAGATCATCCTGATCCGCCATTCAATTTATCAATTGAAGATATTGGTCAAGATTCACTTATTCTAAACTGGAATGCACCTACATGGGATGGTGGATCTAATATTACAAACTACCTTATTGAAAAGAGAGAAATTCCTATGAGTAGTTGGATTCGTGTTGGGAATACTCGGTAATTAAATTGAATAGCATATTATATAGGAATATTATGTTATTATAAAATAAAATCAATTAATTACCTTTATATATATATATATATAGATTTACTTCAACAGCAGTGACTGGTCTAAGTCCAGGACATGAATATGAATTTAGAATATACGCTGAAAACGTATATGGTAGAAGTAAACCTAGTGAAGTATCACCAATAGTAAAAACAAAAGAATTGTTGAAAAAACCACCAAAAACTAAACGATACGAAGGTAAATTTATTTATACTACTCAATAATAAAATATATATATATTATATATATTTAACCTTATATAATTTATATAGTTGATGAAAATGGTAAAAAAATTAGAGGAAAAGCAGATGGCAATATTAAAGATTACGACCAATACGGTAAGCAATAAACAATTAATTAAGTAATATCTTTAATAAAATCAAAACTCATATTAATATAACGTAAATATTTTAGTTTTTGACATTTATTCAAAATATATACCACAGCCAGTGGACATTAAGACACAGTCTGTATACGATTATTACGACATATTAGAAGAAATTGGAACTGGTGCATTCGGAGTAGTACACCGTTGTCGGGAACGTAAAACTGGAAATATTTTTGCTGCCAAATTTATACCAGTAGCACATAATGTCGAAAAAGAATTAATTAAAAGAGAAATTGATATAATGAACCAACTTCATCATCCAAAATTGATCAATTTACACGATGCTTTCGAAGATGAAGATGAAATGGTTTTAATATTCGAATTGTACTATGCACATCTTAAGTCTTTAATAAGCATCAATTAACTTATTTCAATATTTTTTAGTTTGTCCGGAGGAGAGCTATTTGAGAGAATCACATCAGAAGGATACTCAATGTCCGAAGCAGAAGTGATCAACTATATGCGACAGATATGTGAAGCTATTAAGCATATGCACGAAAGAAATATTATTCATTTGGATATAAAACCAGAAAATATAATGTGCCAAACAAAGAAGAGTTCGAATGTAAAACTCATCGATTTCGGATTGGCAACTAAGTTGGATCCCAACGAGATCGTTAAGATATCGACAGGAACTGCTGAGTTTGCAGCTCCAGAAATAGTTGAAAGAGAACCAGTTGGTTTTTACACAGACATGTGGGCTGTTGGTGTCTTAGCATATGTCCTGTAAGTTTTTACGAAATCTTTTTTCATTGACCAACTAAAACGCTTACGTTTTTGTATTATTAAAAATTGTACATATTATGTTTTTTTTTTTAATTTATTTAATAATATTATTTTTTTATAGTCTGAGTGGACTGTCGCCATTCGCAGGAGAAAACGACGTGGAGACACTTAAAAACGTGAAAGCTTGTGACTGGGACTTCGATGAAGATACCTTTAACATAGTTTCAGATGAAGGAAAAGATTTTATCAGACGACTTTTGATTAAAAACAAGGAGTAAGTAAAATATAGTTTAAATATCTTGTTAGAATATATTGATAGAATATTCAGCAAAATAATTTTACGTCCTTTTTTTGTAAAAGAAAACGAATGACAGCTCACGAATGTTTAATGCATCCATGGCTGATGGGAGACCACTCCGATCGTACAGCTACGCTCAACTCGTCAAATTACACGAAAATCAGAGATCAAATTCGCAAAAAATACAGCGATTGGGATTCGTTTGCTCTACCTCTTGGAAGAATATCAGAATACAGTGCTCTTAGAAAGCTTATGGTAGAGAAATATAAAATATACGAAAGCTCGTTTGGTAATTATTTTTAATTTTAATTTTAATGTTTTATGAAACAATTCTAACGTATTAAAATGTATAGATCGACGACAAGCAGCTCCGCGATTCGTCATCAAACCTCAAAGTGCATTCTGTTACGAAGGACAAAGTGTCAAATTCCATTGCCGTGTCATTGCTGTAGCGCAACCGACATTGTCATGGTTCCACAATAACGAAGAGTTAAGACAAAGTGTTAAGTTCATGAAGCGATATGCTGGTGAAGATTACACGTTCATCATCAATAGAGCTAAACTTGATGACAGAGGAGAATACATAATAAGAGCGGAAAATACCTATGGCTATAGGGAAGAAGTCGTATTCCTCAACGTACAACGTATGCTAGCATTTCAAATGAATAACTTTAGTTTCTGAAGCTGTTTTCTGTTTTAACTATGACACCTAATTTATAAACTTCAACACCTTCATAACAATTCCTACTCAAAAATAATATTCATACCATTGTTATTTTAAAATTTATTCAAAACTGATTATTTTGAATCCATTTTTTACACAGCTTTGCCAAAAGCAGCACCGGTATACAGACATGAAGTTCAACAAATCAGAAGACGAGAACCGCTCGCCAACACATATTATATCGAAGAGAAGGAGAGTGCACCAAATTTCACCTTCTTATTACGACCTCGTGTCATACAAATACATCAAACTTGCAAGTTGCTGTGTTGTTTAAGTGGCACACCAATACCAACTGTATGTACTTAAAATTTACTTAATTTCATAAGACCAATTAGAAACAGTGATTTTATAAATTGTTTTATTGTATTTAAATAAGATACAATGGTTCAAAGGAACCAAAGAGCTATCTAAGCGTGATTACACCATTACCCATACGGATGGTGTGATTACATTAGAAATTATCGACTGCAAGCCTGAAGACTCGGGCAAATACCGCTGTGTTGCCACTAATGTTCACGGCACAGACGAAACCAGCTGCGTTGTGATTGTAGAAGGTAATGAGTTCTAAAAATTAATTTATATTAAATACCTACTGACGATGATTTATAATAGTATTTGTCTTCATTAGGTAATAGGTACGACTAAAAAATTATTTTTAAAGTAAATCAAATTTTTTTTTTTTAAACTGATTGTCTGTTTCTTACGTTATTAAAGATCAGAACATAATTTATTATTTGGATAAATTATTGTTCTACGATAATAATTAAAATCTAAATATTTCAAATTTTTACGTAGAATTAATTAAAATATTTTATACAATCATCGGAATTATTAAATTATTTTAAATTTTTAAAATTGTTTTTTACTAAATACAATTTATATGTAGTTTTGGATATCTTTTAAATATCAATTGCAATCGTCATTATAAAAATAACCATATTTTAATTGAACAAACTAAATTTTATAAAAATTCACTAACTTTGTTTGTTTTTATACATTAATACATTTATAAAATAATAACGATAATACAAACTAAATTATAATCAATGACTTTTTTTTCAAATGCTATGAATAGATATTAGGCATAAATGTATATCAAATACATTGTCTATAATCTACAACACAATTCTTTGTCCTACTAAGAAGCTTGTAAAAAATAATGTTTGTAATTGTTAAAACGTTACTTTTAAAAAAAAAAAAAAAATCATCATTTAAATAAATGACAATAACTAATATGTTTATAATGCTGTCTAAAAATAATTATTTTATTTCATTACCTACTTATATTTTATAACATGTGTCTCATCTTAAGAAACGTTACTATATAATAATAATTAGTGTAATAACTGGGTTATTATTTTTAATGTAATTAATTTAATATTTATTAATATTCGAAAAAATAAAAGAGTAATAATTATATAATTATATACTATTGTATTATAAATAACATAATACCTAATGATATATTAAGCAATTAGTTATCATTATTATCAAACCCGATTAAACCTGGAATTGTTTAACTACAAGGCTAATATAAGTATAAGTATTTTAATAATAAATTACAATCTTGTAATTTGTTACTAACGCATCAAATCGTTACATAATTTTATCCGATTCTTAAGTAAAATATAATAGGTAATGTAACCTAACGGACAACAGAATATTATATTACATACCTATTTATAAGCTTACCAGTTGATAATATAACCATTACGAATATTCAATTCAACTCATGGTAAATCTGAAAAATATAGCAAGGACCTACGTTTTGACTAGGTAGTATCTGCTCTTCGTGTGAATAATTTTCTTTTCTTACTGCTTTGCGTTATTTTTCCGCTACCATTAGCCGCCACGCATCCCAAACACTATCAATTTATAGTTAATCAAACTAACTTACTCGTGGTACCCATAACAGAATAAAAAAATCTTTAACAAGCATACACACACACACACACACACACATGCATGCCATTCCCATCCCGTGAACGCACAAATCACGTTTCATTGAATTTTCCGCTTTTATCGTCATCGCAATATTATGTCGCATTAACAAAACACAACCTATTACGCCGTTCGTCTAATACACTTCTATTTCTGCTGTTCTTTCAATATAGGTACCGAACAAAGTCAAGAGCAGGCAGAGTTATCACATAATTTACTACACTCAGGTATAGTATTTTACAGCTTAATCAATATTTATGATATAAAATAGTACCTATCTACCTATCTATATAATGTATAATAATAATGTGATAATATTGATACGTAAATATTACATATATGACATGCAAATTTTCACAATGTTGAGGGAGCACTGGCCAAAACGATAATAATAATATTCTAAATTTTATTGTTTTTCCTCCTCCGATTATGTAGATCGCAGGTACGTCGATCAGCATCATTTCAGACCCGCGCCGACGGTCATCACCAAGCGCACCGCCATCACTTCCAACGTGCACGGCAGCAGCTCGGTGTCTTCAAACCAATCCATCACCACTAACTCGTCCACGAAAATCAGCGATACGGTAATGAACTACGAGTGCCACGTCCTGTTGTCGTTAAAATCATTTAAACGAAAACCAACGATTACTGATTATACCTACTTACTCCAAACCGAAATAAAATTATATTCCAATCGTAATCGTTTATAGATAAAACGGAATGAAATCGTTTATATTACCAATATGCGTTTCTTTTTGATATGAACACTGAATAAAGCTTATTATTGATGCGTATTATTATGTTGAGCTTTAAATAATTTTTCTACATATTATATAGAAAGTTGTTTATTCCATATTGATATTGTTACTATATTATGACGTTAATATCGTGTCGTTTTCATTTATTTCAGACCGTTACCTCTACTGAAAGGAAGAGCATTAAGAAATACGGCAATAAACTGAACGCGATTGGAAGTCCGTCGAGGTCCCGTAGTTCTACAAAAGAATTGAGATGTAATTTCTATCTTTTAGTTGATCCGAATAAGTGAATTCGTCTCTTTTTCATTTCAAATTTCTCTTTCCCGATTTCGATTGTAATTTTTATTTTTTCTAGTATCACCTGACGAAGCCATGTGTCCTCCGGACTTTTCTACTCGCTTAGTTGATACATCTGTCAATGACGGACATTCTTTAGAACTTATATGTAAAGTAACCGGTGACCCAGAGCCACAAATCACATGGTTAAAGAACGGAAAGGTAGGTGCAAAATAAAAAACATATATATAGACAATATACACGCATAGTAAATGTCAAATTCTAATATAAAATAATAAATTAATAAAATAACTTAAATTAATATAAATTGTATTATGTTATGCTTAAAAGTTATAATAATAAAATAATTATTCTTAATTAAATGTTTCATTAGAATATAAGATCATAAATAGGTACATATTATAATAATTATGAAACCTATTTTGTATCAGTTAATGTTTTTTGGAGTTAGGATTATTATTAAAACGTACCTACATTTAATTTTTGTTTGATTTTCTTCTAATTTAATAATTTATAACTTTCATTAACTTTTTTTACCATTTTAAATAATTAAAATCAAATTATAGCTATAAGTGATTTAACAAGAAGAAACAAACTTAAACTAAATTCTTAGTGGTTTTTGTTACAATATTATGATGAGAATATATAATGTATAAATTATTAAATATTTATGTTTACCCATGAAAACAATATATGTAGCAATTAAAAATATTTAAAAATTAATAAATTTGATTTTATAATGATTTGTTTTTGCTTTTTTTTTTAAGTCGATACCCGTTAAATAAATATATGATATTGTATACTCCCCATTTTAACAATGTTTATGAATTAATTTTAAAATATAGAATATTTACTAAAGAAACAAACGTAATATCATTGAGTATCTATTATACAATATATTATACCTATTTTATTTTAAACTAAATTTTCTATGTAAAACTTTATTTTTATTTTCTAATATTAAATCTTCTATCTTATTTTAGACTATCAGTTCGTCTAACGTCTTAGATCTAAAATACAAAAACCGATTGGCGACGTTGAAGATCAATGAAGTATTCCCTGAAGATGCCGGAGAATATATCTGTAAAGCTACCAACTCGTTGGGAACTAAGGAAACGAGTTGTAAACTCACAGTCAAAGGTGCAAAATTCTAACTAACTATACACTATATACATATAAATACCCGTTAGAAATGTCTTTCAAACGAATAATTATTTTATACTTCAATAAACCGTATTGAAAATATAAAATAACTTTAATTCGTTCAGATACAGATTACCTACCTATGCTTTTCAGTTGTTGACTTGTTTAAAAATAAAACATATTATTGTATTTTATTGTACATTCGTTCATTGAATATTTCATAAAAATTCTATACAACATAATTACATAAATAAAAATACGCGATTAAGTACTTAAATACTTGAACTTAATATTAAATTCATAACTTCCTGCTGTTCATAATGATATAATTATTTGAATTCGCCTTCTTTGTGTTATGTCCAATTATTAAATATATATACATATATATATATATATTGAATTTTTAATTTTATGAATTCTAAAATAAAATAATAATATTGGTTTGGTTGGTGTTCACTAATTCACACAATGGACGCATTACAATTTATTATATATTATAATATACACAAACCCGTGGGTGACTACAATAATAATTAACTAAATACACCTAAAACATAATAATATTACGATAACGATTTTTTCACAACGACCTTTCGTAAATAATTACAGCTGTGGACGTATCGAAAAACAAAAACCGAAACGACTTACCTCCAATAATTGCCAGCCATCTGACATCGGCTACGGTAACCGATGGCGATGCGGTGACACTCCAATGCCAAATCATCGGTAAATATGAACACATAATTGATCTAACAATGCCCCAACATAATACATATTTAAATTGATTTTACTGTAATATTTACATAATATTAAGCAATTTAAGTAACTTTGACTTTGCTTACCAATGTACTTCCTTTATAAATATATTAATGCTACTTATCATACTATCGTCACTTACATGACTGCATTCTATCTGATTGTTGGAACAGGAGCTAATAAATTCGATGTAGTATGGCTTCACAACCACAAGGAAATAAAACCCAGTAAAGATTTCGACTATGTCAACGTGGCAAACGTTTACACCCTAAAAATTGCTGAAATTTTCCCCGAAGATTCCGGTACATACACTTGCGAAGCGTTTAACGACGCTGGCGAAGCGTTCAGCAGTTGTTCGATCTTCGTTCTAGGTAAGTACTTCTGCCATGTACCTATAATGATAATAATATTGAAATGTAAACGACCGTGTGAGTAAACTACCCAACAGATTATTATACGACTAGTTTCTTCTCAGAAGCCCCTAAGATTGTGTGTAGTACGAAATTAAAAAGTATGCTTTAAACAATATTATTTTGGTAAAATATTACAACATTATTTTAAGGTCATTGCTTTATTTATATAAATAAACTAAAAAGATTTTTATATAATAATATATGATACAATATGTTAATATATAAGAGTAAATTAACAACAATTTAATTTTGTTCGCAGTTGTAAAATAATATATTCATACATATTGTTATTTAATTTATATTATGCGTTTTTGGTTAAAAAAAAAAAAATCTACATTTGTGCTAGTTTTTGAGCATTGATTTTTATTTAAATTTGGCCAATTTGGGACTATGTGTGTAATTTGAAAATTTGGATATTTTAAAGGCTGCTTCTCAAATACGAAAAATACCCAAATTTTATGATCTTATTTTATCTTTACCATTAATAATAAATATTTCTTATGAACACTTTATTTTATCATTTTTACAGTTATAGACTAAAATAATAAATGTATAACAATTTTGTAATTAAGCGGTACCTCAAAAATACAAACAAATTTAGAAAGACTAGTTATAATATTTTTACTTAAATACATCTTTATTATGATTATATTCCTTAATTTTTTAACTTTATAATTATTTATTGAAAATTAGAATACAATATGTTGTTATTATGGTCACAATGACTCAATAGTATAAAATATGATCTACAAATAGGAAAAAAAAAATTTAATATCGCCGTTAATTTGTGTCTTTTATGTAAATAACTAACTTGTATTAATAATCTATTAATATTTATTGTATATATTAGGTGCTAAAGAAAAGCCTAAAGGCATGACGTTCCAAAGTTTCCCCAAGTCGGTGACTGTACAAGACAAAGAAAGCGTCGAAATAGAATGCGAAATCCTCGGAAAACCGACAAACGGTAAGTGTACTTATAAAAATAATATCAAAAATTGTATAACATTACATTAGTGATATTCGGACGGTTCGAAAAGATGTTTATAAGAATAAGTTACACCTGACAAGTTTTCATATAGGTATTGATTTGATTATCCGTATATTTTATGACAATTATTATGATAGTGCATTGGTGACTTAGCTTACCATTCCCCATATTATGTCTATTTTGGGTTAGCAGTTATTGACATTGTATTAAAAACGATCTACATTGTTATTGGCTTGATTGATGTGCTTAATAATTTTCATATTTATATTACATTATAGTAACCTGGATTAAAGACAATGTTCCTATTGGCGAAGATTCGAGTATTTACCAATTTATGCAAATTGATAATAAGTATCGAATGAAAATACTCAGAGCCGGTCATGACGACATTGGTCAGTACATGGTCGAAGCAAAGGATTCCAGTGGGGTACAAATCGCAGCCGCATTTTCAGTCAATTTGTCATCTTTATCCGAATAAAGTAAGTGTGTCAAGAATCAAGACAATTTTTACCACAGCGAATAATCATACCAATTGTTTTATTGCTGATACCTAATACGTTTTCTAATTAGTTTTGATACCGGGTATATATCATGTTTTTGATTTTTTTTTCCTGCATTAGACTGATATCATTTTAAATTATTAAATTTATTGTACACAAATAGAAAATTGTACTAAAAATACCTACGCTCTCCATAAAGTCAATATTAGCATTTGTATTTGTACTTATTATATTTATTTTGGTACTGATTTTTCTTATAAAATTCGAAAATACGTAACACATTTATTTTTAATCTTAATATATTTATCTTTAATATGTTGTCTTAAAAAAAAAAAACAAATAGAAAACGAAAGCTTTATTTTAAAATTTCATTAATAATGGACTGCGCTGACTATGTACCCACCTAAATATAATATTTACTAATGCATGAATATTGATATAGTATAACAAATAATTATTACGATTGTTTAAATTTGAAACAAAAAATACTAGTTAATAAATGTACAATACATTTAATGTAATATAACCAATTCATTTTCAGATTTCACATAATAATCAACGTTCAAGATAATGAAACTACAAACCATTGTAAAATAATGTACGACAAAAAAATTAAACTAAAAACATCATATAGGTATCGTTTTATCGAAGTTGTAAATTTCCATTATTTTTGTACAGCAAGTATAATTTTACAATTTTTTTTTTTTTTTATCAAATAATATTAAAAATCATTAACATTCACGATTCACCAACCTAATGAATACAACTGCAGACGTGCAGTTTACGCATAGGTTTTGTTAATTAAATAATACTTTAACTATGATGATCAAATAATATTCGTACTCCAAAAGCTATTTATGTATTTTTTTTTTTTGCATAAAAAAAATATCAAAGTACTAAAAATGAGTCTCTAATAATTTATAAACCGTATATTATCGTTTATTAAAATATATTTTATTGTTATACGTTAATGTTTAAAAAATAAATTCAAAGAAAAATGTTCTCACAGATAACACAACAATCGTGTTAACAATTTAGATCATACGAATTAGAGAACCGTACAGTTTGTTTAGAAAATATTTTTTTTTCGAATGCTAAATTGGCGACTCGTATGCTTTCACACAAAATTATTATTATATTATTATCGTTTAAGTATAATATGTTGTTTATTTTTATCCCATAGAATTGAGCTTTGATAGACACTTTTATTATCAGCTATTAACTACCTATTAAATATTACGATGTTATAACATAAGTGTTTTATTTTAGTGTTTAATAATTTATTGTGTCATGTTTATTTTAGGTTATAATATTGTTTTAATTAAAAATAACGTGTTGATCCAATATCAATCAAGATTTTGTTTATTTTATTCTCCTAAATGATATATTATCATAGATTATAGAACAGGATTCATAAAAATGTGTATTGTTTATGTGATTTTTTTTTTATGACAGATATGAATTTATATTCATACCGTACTAGCTTATCGGTTATTAATTCATCCAACAACTGAAATTTTATAATAGTGTATATTTTATTCAGATGACTATTTAACAATGTATGTAATACCTTAAACGCGTTATGTACGTAGAAGTTTATGTTATATATAGTGTTCTAATATTACCGACATATTATAATCTTAGTTAAAGTTAACCACAATTTAAATGCGAGAAAAATGAATTGAAAATTTTGATTATATCGCTTAAACGTTTTAGAAAGAAAAAATATTTCCACGTAAATATCGACTGTAAAATGCTACAGTATATCTAATTGATTCTGTTCAGCGATGCTCGAGACAAATTAAATAGGTAGGTACACGTGTTTCTTAAACGTCATTAAATGTTAACCTAATATTTTCAACGCAGTTGTTTCGGTTGTTTTGACCAAACATAAAGTACAGATCTACGATTATATCCAATCTTAATAATTAATTCCTATTTTATTTTCTGTAACCAATAGTAACGATCTATAAACAAATATAAATGTAATATTATATAAAATATAAATATATATTCCTGTGTCAACTATATTCACAATTTATGAGTTAAAATGTAAAAATTAAGTAATACAGAGTAGTCTATGACACTATAGGAATCTATTGATGAACATTTTACGAAAACAGGACCAAACTTCGGATTTACATAAGGTCGTACTTTTAAGAACTTATATTTTACAAAAGAAACACTTTTATTAATTTTAGCTGATACTACGCGGTGCATTGCTCGTGAAAAATTAAATATTTCTAGTGGGCTTACCATACCTTAAAATATCAACTACGCGTCATATTTTTAACACATTAATTTGAATAGTTTTTATCTAATTTAAAATACACATATAAAATTATATCCAATTGTAATTACTATTTGATTTTCTTTAATCCACGGCAGTCTTATGCAAAGAAAAAAATATTCGATTTCCATTTGTTGAAACGAAATCATCGCGTGAACTTGTCTTTAAAAAGTATTTATTTATTTATTTTTTTTTTTGATTTCTTCTTACTGTACATCTAAACCATTAGAGGAACGAGACTATTCCAAAGTTTAAGTTCATATGCTTTGTCATTTTTAAAAAGTAACAATCAGCGATTTATAGCGGTGTTTGGCTTGTATATAATATAATATAATATAATATGTATACAGTCACAAAATCACCTATAAGAGGCTACAATATTCAGACGTAATACCTAGAATAATAGTGCAGGGAAATTAAAAACCAGACGTTATTCGAATAATGTAGACAACCCAAAATCACCTGCAATTTAAACCTTAGTAGGAGACGTTTAAATTAATTAGGTACATATTGAATAGAAAGTTCAATAGCGACGAACGAGGAAATGAAAACGGCGCAATAAAATACCAATTTCTCTTCAAATGCATAGTGAGGATGAAATACCAATTAGATCCGAGAAATAACGATCGAGTAAATACCGAGTGGAGAATAGATTTCCGTAATATCAATATCATAGATAATCGATTTCATTCGTCTGCAACGCTAAAAAATGTATACACATTTTAAACACTATTGTGTGATGGTGTCTAAATTATTGAACTACGGAAGGAACCCGTCTTTTCTCTTCGAGGATGGGTATATTAGGTGCCGGTAAAGTGCGAAATCATAGATTAAATATAACCCGAGTGATATCGCCTTCACTCGTGATCCATAATAATTATTATAATAACAATGGACCGTCACAACAATACGTAATAACAAAAACATTCAATGTTTCCCAATCCGTCAAATCATATAAACGGGCATATTGGTTTGATTATAGTAATGACCAACCTAAACCATAGGTGGTGATTGAGAGATGCTTGAAGGGGGGCTTAAGCATTAAGCCATTGGACATTTTAGTAACAATGCAAAAAAAATATTTAAGCCCCCTCCCCCTAAAATTCAATCAAATATCCGCCTATGGCCTAAACTAATCAATTAATAACAACGACGACAAGTTATGTCTTGGTATTCAAATGTGTGTTTGTGTATTGCGTGACAGTGTAAAGATTGCCGCAGTTCGAATCTCTCTCTGCAAATGACAATCATCAATATCACGGCGAGCTGCAATAATACCTTATCCGGTCTCGATTGTTTGATAGTAAAATATTTGTAAGCCAATATTGTTGATCGAGTCATTAGTTCGTATATTAAACAAAAATGTACATAATAAAAATAAATGTTATAAATAAATAATAATGATAAAAAAAAAAATAGTACAGATAAAATCGTTAAAACAAAATGAAGTCACAGGTATATTTTGACATAAGACATTTAAAAAAAAATAATAATAATACAAAACGACACGTTTAAGACGTGCATTTTGTCAAAAATTATTCGACGACGTTGTTTCTGTAAAAATGTCATGATAAAAAAAAAACAAACAAACAAAACAAACAAGCAAATAAAATATTAATAATAATTTCGGAGATTCACTACCGCCGGCCGATGCGATGACGACGGCGTTTATTTTATTAACATTGTGAAAAATTTTGAAATAATTGTCCTCGGATCATTTTTTATAAATGTTTTATATTATTATTATTGTTATATTTTGAAAGTAAAGTGGTAGTGTAAGAAATCGTCTTTTTTTCACTATTATTATTATTATTATTATTATTACTTTTGTACAAATGCATAAAACGATGTGTACGTTTGTGGGTGTATTATAGGGTGGATAACGAAATTATTGTATAATCTATATAGCTCCGTTATCTCTATTTTTAAACCCTACATATACACACACGTGCACACACACACACATAAACGCACTATGCACACACTACACACACTCACTCTCACATTCTATCTTTGTCTCTCTCTCTCCCTCAAATACGCATCCACACACGATGTCTCTTACACGTTCACCTGCTCCCCCTTCCCCCCAAACCACCGTCGCCCCGGCGCTAATAGACTTGGATTTCATAACGTATCTGTTTCATATACGTTTCATCCACGATCCGCCGCTGGTTCAACCGTTCCACGCTGTGCTGGAGTCCGTAGAACAGGTAGATCAACATGCCGATGAACAACCAAACGGTGAACCGAATCCAGGTGGACGAGTCCAGCTGTGTCATTAGGTAGATATTGAGGACGACGCTCAGGCATGGTACGAACGGGACGCAAGGCACCTGAAACGAAGACCAAACGCGTTAGCGGTTAAACTTTGAACCAGTGGAAGGTTATGATTATTGGGCTCGGATTTTGTAGCAAAATAAATCCTTAAAAAATAATTTTAAGTAACTAAAAATAGCAACAAAAAAAGCATTTATTAAATTTAATTCTAAAAAACAAATTTAAATTACGCATAAAATTAAATATTAGAAAAGGAATTTACGACCATATATTTGGTCAAGTTACTTTCATTAAAACTCATCCTATTTAGTGCTAATAACGATTATCAAAAAATTATTTAGAACAAATTACGTCACTAATTGATATTTACAGGTCATCTAAAGTACTCGTATTAGAATATGTGCTATAAAAATACGCAGATATAATTCAGATAATTTTAAAACTATACAATTTCGGCACAATGACGATAGTTATTTTATCATTCATTTATTACTGGTTTTTTCACTGGTTTTATAATTTCTGGTAATATAGCATTTTTAGTCTATAACTTATAAATAAGTTAAAATTTCAACAAAAATAAATAAAAATTAAGAAAAAATAGCAAATAGGGGGAAAAGAAATAAAAAGCAGGTTTAGTGGAAAAAAGTAAAAAATAAGTTTACTTCATTGAAATCAGAACGATTGAAAACGTATTTATATATAATAATTATCTTTTTATTACACTCCCCTCAAAAGAAGCATTTGCTACAAAATCCGAGCCCTAGCTTATAATGAATAAGCCGCAACGAGATTTTAGCGGAACACATTTAAACCTGCGTGTTATGTCTACCGACCGATAGAGATATCTCGTTCGAAAATAATTCAACCGAAAATGTCTGGTCGGAATATTAATATATATTCGACCGACGGTATACATATTAGTCAATAAATATTTCAGCCCACAGTATTTTAGCTGATAGATAATATATTAGATTATATTATATATGTATGTATTCAGCTTATATACGTATGAACTCTTTTACCTACAGGGTTGTGGATTTTCGTATATCCTACGTCTTATAAAGATACTTATTATAAATAAAAACTTAAATGCATATTGATATCAAAATTATTGTATTGACAGCCCCGATCATTATCGACATAATACATTTATTTTAAATAACGGTATAACGATATAACGATATAAAATTAAAACTTTTCGTATATTTTATGAAAAAATAACAAGATTTAAATTAAAGTGCTAAATTAAGCAGCTAACATTTCTATTAAAAGTTCAATAATGAAATTATAATAATTTTTTCGTAATATACCATTTTAATAGTACTTGGCCTTATCATATCACAAGTTTCAGAAATTTAATAAAACATTTTTTACTTTAAGTTTTTTTTTATTATTACAGCTTCGACAAGATTATTAGCTTACAGTTATTTTAAGTTTAAGTTAACAATATTTATTTACGTGAAGGGTACTTACATTGGACTAGGTTAAATCAATAATAGTTGTACATTTCAATTCTTTTTAAGAAGGTTAAAATTGCGTTTGCGTTCGCATAGGAGCCTAATATACTTTCTATGGGTTGTATTCATGATTGACTCTCGTGCGACCAATTCTGAGTCTGTTTAGAATTTTTTTTTTATTTATTTATTACTCAAGCAATAATATTCAAAGAATTTAAGGATATTTTTTAAACTATAAATAGAAAAAAATGAATTTGTTAATTGTATTTTAACTCTATAATTATTATTTATTTCAATAGGTACATACTGTGAATTATTATTATAAACTATCATATTGTGCTTATTTACCGATTTCAATAAAAAATTCAAAATATTATTAAATATTTATGGCTTTCCTACTCACTACTTAGCGATTCAATAATAATTTTTATTAAAAAATTTAAAAAAAAAAATTATAACATGCAACATTTTAATAATTATTTGCTTACTCATACAAATTATTTAAATTTACATTGTATATAATATATACCTTGAAGTGTTAATAATGATTTCGATTGATATATACAAACTACAAACAATACTACTTATTAGTACACAATATTATTTAATTACATTTTAATAATTTTAAAATGTTAATAACCACGGTCGTAAAATAACTCTATCTTTGACGTACTTAACGGTTTCATTATTACCATAGCAGAAATAACTTTTAAATAATTAATTTGTAAAACTGCGCTAAATTTTAAGACTTTTGTTTAATTACACTATAAAATTTTTAAATTTAAAAAATACAAAATTTACTACAAATTAGCTTCTCATCAATGTCTATTTGTAATACAGATTTGTTTTTTCATGGGTTCATTAGTTCGTAAAAATAGTTCCACGTGCCGTGTTACATTTCCAAGTAAAATGTAGGTTAAAGATAAATCGTATAACGAACCTTAAAAACAAAATTGAACAAATTTGTTATCTAACTACATCCAGACTCCGGCGCGTGGCACGTGCCTTTTTATTTCGATATTCTCAATATTGTAAAATAGCATTTCGAACCGCAGGACGTCCAAATGAATAAAATAGGTAACTTAAGTATTAAAGTAATTATATAAATATATCATGACTATTATGTACTATTGATATTGTTCGTTAATCGTCATTCATTTGCAACCATTATATTCATGAGATCAATTTTTTACATGTTACTAAATATATTTTTTTTATGATTTCCATGATTTCCATTAATATAATTTACAAGAACAAATACATACAATAAATAAATATAAACTTTCTGTATAAAAAGGGAGAAGAACATATTCTTATATTTATTAGTGTAATAGAATAGAATAAAATAATATCTCTTCATGTTAGTTGATATTATATATATATCACTATGCATAGTTGGTCTCTATACTCACTACGCCCTACAGTATAATATTTCCAGAGAGGAAATTACATTTTTTCAATAATTCAAAATCACAAACACGAGACTGTTTCTTATAGATTAAAACATTCACACATAAATCTATATATATATTTATATATATGATTATGTATAAAGTATCGAATATTTTATATAATTTATGAAACATATAAAATATAAACATTAAAAACTTAAGAATTTGAAATAATAATTATCATTTATAAATTATATGATATCCTCATTTACGAAGAGAGATCGTTCTTAATCTTTAGGCCAATAATATATTTATTAGTAACTAAACCTAAGTGATTTAAATATATTCTCCATTATATCTTTAATTAAAAATATAATAATCAAACTATTCATCATATCCAACAAAATGTATTTAAAAAAAAAAAAACGTAGGTACCGATCCCTCAATCATAACACCCGTGAATTAAAAATTATTATAGCAACTTTATAATTACGTGGAATGTAGGCTGATTTGTAGACTGTGGTTGTCTCGATAATGAATAGCAAAGCACCAACAAACACACTCCAAAAACTATGCATGCCGCAAACGTGACCGTGGTGAACTTTCCTTCATTTTGAGCAATCGAGATGGACGAGCAGAAGCATATGGACACGACAACTGATGAAAAAAAAACAAACAATAGAATCATTTGAGTATAGAATTCTGATGTAAGTATGTGATTGTTACCATATAAACATACTCATAAACATTGAAGAATAATTTTCACCTAATATAACCGTTTTTAAACTATAATAATGATGACATAATATGTAAGTTGTCAATTTGATTATTAAAAAGTATAATATATATTTCGTTTAAAAATTACGATTCTAAATAGATCTCAACACAATATTATTATAGGACAATAGAACATAACAAATAAAATAATTATTTAATAAAAAAAAAAAACTGTAACTTTAAAATTTGTATAAATAGTTGTTTTTGCGATTATTTTGAATTACCCTTCAAAAATTTTGCATTAAAAATATTTGATGATTTTATATTTCCCGATAAAACACAATGAGAATGAATATTGTTGCATCTTAAATAAGGAAGTATTTCTAATTATGATTTGAAAAACATGTCCCGCAAAAAAAAATTTTCACGGGGAAAAATTCATTTAGTCCCTTAACCACCCAGACCCCACTGTAGATTTTATCTGCATCGAGTAAATAAATATGACAGACGCAATTAGTTTTAGTCAAATCGTTTACATGTTTATTTTTGATTATAATACTGAGAATTCACAATTACTTCGTCAGAAGGTCAATCGCCTGTTTTTGACATAAAATACGTCGGTGGACAAACCAATAGATTTTTTTTTAACAAAATTGTTTTAATCAACTCATACATTTGAATTAACATGGTGTCAAGTTATGTGTAGGATTCAATACATTATTAACTATTATTATTTAAATTCCAGGCACGTCAGGTTCACTTAATATTCAAAAGAACCACAAATCAAAAAGAAAAATGATTATTAGCAATAATTATTGATAAGTATTAAATTGTTAAAAGCAAAACTGAACCATTTCACGCAAAACAAATTCGCCTACTATTCAAGATTGAATATTAAAAAAAAAATTAACGCTTAGTACTTCATAAATGTAGAATTAAATATAAAATATAATAAGTAATATGTATAGTTAAAAGTATTTCATAAAATACTCGTATGTAATAAAGCGTGCCTGCGCTCCTAAAAACGGTCACGTTAATAATCAAATAGTATAATTATTTTCGTGACTAAAGTTCAAAATTTGAAGGATCAGTTCGACTGAATAATACTTACGATAAACCATAACTATTATGATCGAGGTACGACCAGTGTTTTTCGTTGTAATCTGTGACTTTGGGAGATTGAAACTGGACGATAATAGTTTCATGAGAGATGAACGAAATCTGCCGTTGTCTCTTGTTTTAGACTCTTCGGAATCATCGTTTGTGTAACGCAAAATTAGAACACATATACACACAAGCGAGTATGCCATCAGCGTACCGATTGACATCATGTTCATTAGCTGTTGCAGATCGAAAAGGCTGGATAAAATCGCTAAACATACAAATTGTTTATCACTCATTTATTTCGTGTTAATTACATTGTATACGCCAAATATGTTAAAATTTCGGGTAGCAAAAATGTATAGAAAAATTTAATATTATACAAACAGTATCAAATGTATTTATTCAACTAATACTAATACCGTTTTTGAGCTACTCAAGAAACACATTTAAAAAAACTTCATATAAAAAAGTTTGAAATCAAAAGCTTTGAAAGATACTTTACAAAAAAATTATTTGAATACTAACATAGTTATATTTTATTTCGATTATTATGTTATAAGATATCTAATGTACAATATCATATTATACGTATGCGTATGTTTAATTTGTATTCTATACTCATATTACTTACCAGCAAAAGCTCCACATATGAATGTACCCCAAAATGGAGTTTTCGTTTTAGAATCAACTTTAGAAAAAATGTGAAATAATAACCCGTCAGAAGCCATGGAGTACAATATTCTAGGTAACGGAAACAGTGTACCGATCATGCTGAAAACAACATTAATTATTTACATTACATACAAAATTGAAATTTTATTTTTTGCCATCTAGCATTATTATACTTATATTAAATTATATTGTATGGAATGATTGTTGTAGGTACATATTCAATGTTCAAATATCAAGTAAAAACACACAAGTCCGCACTGATGAGTGGGCTTATCTTTTTTATTGGAAGTATTCCATATAAATTTCAACCACGCTAAATGTTGACATGTGGATACGAATCGACGACCACCTAAGGTTTTTTGCAATATGTACCTGCACCTTCTCTTTGCCCACGCACATTCTATGTTTAGTTTGAACAGTTTTAAGACCATAAATCGAATATATACGCGTAAACATACCATACACGCATGTTTTTAATATATTGTACAATCGAGTTGTTTTAATGAACATTTAGTTGGTTATGTACCTACCAACATATATTCTATATTGTTATTACATTGCACACTGGTAATACTATTATATTAATGATTACTTGTTAGAAAAAATACATATTAGTTTTGATTAACGTAAATAGCTTTTGTACATACTTTGTGCATAAAGCAAACACTGCTCCGATTGTAACAATCCATTCAAGTACATGCCATCCTATCTGTTGGTATATATGTGGGAAGGGAGCTTCCGGATCCTTGTATAAAAGAAAAGTAAAATCAACATTAAAACCTTAAAATAAATCAAGGACAAAATTTCTACGATAAAAAATCCAATGTTAAAAACCAGCGATTCTTTGATAAATTGTAATCCATATTAAAAAAAATATTAATAATATATTTTGACTTAAATTGATATTTCAGCAAAGTATATTATGTCCTTGGCTATTTTTTATGCAATACTCGTTATAATATATATAGCTTGAGAAGTTCAGTAAATTTGATAGAAAAAAAAGTAAAAGTTCAGTCTCCTTTAGCATAATTATGTACACTTAGACAGTTTTTTATTTATTATATCTCGACAGCAACATTAAAAATGTTCTAAAAATATAACTACAATAATAATATACTGATATATTATATTAATTGAATATTTTATTTGTAAACATAATATTACTACTTCTTAATTTGAAAAAACCCATACAAAACCAATTACTGAAATTTTAATTCGTATATTTACACTTTAACTTACCGTCTGCTAATTTATTTTTAAATTTCTTGAAAAAAAATAACACTATTTATATAAAAGAAAAACACCTAACTAAATTAAAATTGCATCGATTAAATAAAAATGTCATAAACAAATCATATATTTATATATTAATACAAGCAACGCATTTAATTTCAAGTAAATGTCGAATTTTTAGAATATGAAATAACATGAAAATAGTCTAGCTTAATATTCACTAGAAATATTCAACTCACAATCAACAAATACATTTATAAAATAACTTTACTTTCGTAGATCGAAACTTAAAATTCGAGCAATTGTATGTGATTAAAATTTCATTAAACCCTTGCAGCTAATAAATTTAATTAAAGTACATTGAATCATTACTCAAATTATATTTTAAATTGCAAGTTATCTTACAGATTATTTTAACGATTGAATAATAAAACATATTCACTATTTGTTTCAATATTCTAACTTCTTTTCGACATACATTCTGTAACATTTTGACATTTCAAACTAGTTTATGAGAAAATTCATATTACTTCCAAATAAGTGTACGAAATAAAAATAAGTATTATGTCAAATCAGATGAAGCTCACCTCAAAATTGTTTATATAAAAAATTGATATACCTTTGATCGTTTAAATGTCAACTTCAATAACTTAATTTGATTTGTGTATAGATTTAATTTAACACAGTACTGAATTCTAGGAAAAAATCTAAGAGTTAGGTTTTATATTCTAAAATCATTAGTAGAACAAACAAAATGGATATAATAAAAAAGAACATCTGAATAACAAAATAAATTACAAAAACGACAAGATTCCAAAATTAAATATTTCGTAATAAATTCATTCAATCCTTCAATTATTTTATTTGCTTCAAAAACTTAATAATAATTATTATAGTTTTATTTTTATTTGAATAGGTTTTTATAACTAATTTTAAAACAATTAATAGATTGAACTGATTTGTTTACAACATAAATAAAATAATACTCAACTAACCGATAGTTGAAAATAATACAAAAATAAAAAAAATTACGATTAAAATAAATAAATTACAATTATCTGGCTAAAAAATACTTTATTTATTAATTAAAATATTTTAAAATTATGTCACGCTATTATCTAATGATAATATATTTGCTTTAATAATGTAAATAGTCGATTTTATAGTATACAGATATGTAATGTTAAGGGTGAACGTTTAATTATAAATCTTATACTCTCCACTTTTCAAGTTGATCAACATTTATAAAGTAAAGCTTATTCAATCTGTCAAGAGTTGTTGAGATTAGGTATCTCAGCTTTTGATTGTCACTTAATGTAATTCTACACACACATAAAATATAACACTACACAGCAGTAAAATCAAATATGATATATTCTACCATATAAGTGATATATTATAAGTGTTGATTAACTGCAGTAGGAACCTATTCTAATAAGGAGTTGATTATAAAACAACAATGGTAATGACTAATTAGATATTTTATTTAATGTACCTACTTACATACGATAACATAGAAAAATAAATAATATAATATAAATTCATCGTGTTAATCAAAAATTCCAACTGTATATTTGACTTTTTTGTTTTGATTATTAGCTAACAAAACATGTTTTATCGTGCTTAATCAACGGCATTATTTTTTGTATAGTTCAAAAATGGCGATATCGTGAGAAAATGAAAAATTATTGAGTTATGCAAACGTCAATCACTATGTATCAACTATAGGTAAAATTTCTCCATGTCCAAAATAATTCTTCCTTCCAATTTAAGATATATAAACAGCTTTGGTCACCACAAATGCGTATTACAATAACTTGATGATTAGGTATTTTAAATTGTATATTTTATTGAATAAGAAAAAACTTCTGATATTATTATTGTAAATAACTTTACCTACAGTCAAATACTCGTGTTATGGTACGAAAATAAGTTTTTTTTTAAATTTACTAACATTAATTGTTGACATGGAACATTTAATCTAATCTCTAACATTAGAGAAGTAATTTTATAGTATTGAGAAATTGATATTTTACAAGATTAAAAAACACGAGTGTTTGATTAGATGAGTTCCTCCACCACCAATTTTAACAATTATATTCGTTAATAAATTAAACAAGTCTCGCTCACATTTCAAAAAATGGACATTCAGTAAGCTGTACAAAAGTTCAAAAAAAATACACATTGTACAGTACAAGTACGATTATTTGGTTTATATTTTAATGCAGAATACTATAAAACAAAAATAATGAACGTGACCCTAACACTATAATTCACACATACGCACTACCTACTTTCAACATTTAATACAATGAACATGCGCATATTTTTGCAAAAGTAAATTAATGTAACGAAGTATGTAGGTAAGCGAACTGTGCGACTGTGCATAAATGAATCCTAAAGCAAATTTTTGTTCGTGAAAAGTTTTTCGTTGCCATTTTTTCTTAAATATATTTTTACTACATTTAAATTGTGACTGGTCATTTTAACATGATTTAAAGTAAGTATATAAAGTATATAAACAATAAAACAGCCATACCTGGTAATAGTATGGCCACATGAGTGTCAATATGATAGCTACGCTGCAATACGATAACGTGATGATGGATAACGATATAACTATTGCCAAAGGTATGTCTCTTGTAGGACGTTTGGCTTCTTCACCTTGAATAAAATTCCAAAAAACAAAACGGTATTAGTCATCTGACAAATGTAAAAAATCTCTTAAACTATTCTAATCATAATTAAATTTGCATGACCTAAAATTTAAAGTATATAGCTGTAAAACTACATTTACCCTTAGTCTAACACTAGTTTAAAATGTTTACCAGTAGTAGCTATGGCATCGAATCCGACAAATCCGTAAAAACACGTCGCTGCTCCCATAAATACTCCAGACCATCCAAATGGTAAAAATCCACCTTCTCCGCCTTTCACATTCGGTGGTATACTTTCTTTTGGTATGCTCCAGTTGTAAAAATCAACTGCAATGATTTTTACAATTAATATAATACTATAACAACGAATTCGATATGAATCCAAATCAATGTATACGCATTATATTTATTGCAGTTCATTTAAGCATTTAGCATTATTTTATTTGTTCAATAGTTTCAAAATTATTTTGTTTAGATAATAATAGTAAATATATTTATTGTAAATAAATACTAACTAGAATTTTTTTAAGTTTAAGAGGTTTCTTAAAAAAATAAATTCACGTACTTTTGAATAGACCAGTTATGACGACTGTAGAAACTGTAAGCAGATTGACAATGGTAAATATCTTGTTAAGTAAAGATGATTCTCGCATTCCCCATGCAATCAGCACTAAACAAAATTAAATAATCACTCCAATAGTATATTATTATAAAATTAATATCTATTATTTACCTAATATATTATAATATCTATAAAATATTATTACATAGCGACAATTACAAACTACTCTCGTATATACTCAATCGACTATTTCATAGTGTGAGGTGGATAAACAAATTAAAATAGGTTTATCGTTTAATTTAACGTAGCTAATATAAAGTAATAAAGTAGATTAAAAATAAAGTACCTACTGAAAAACAGAATATGTAATTGAAAAAGAATTACAAAATATCAATATTATAATACTATACAAAAATATTAAGTTGACCATTAAAATGTCAGAAAATTATACTAATCCCATTAAGAATAAATAAAAATTATGTGAAAAAATTAATATGTTACAATTCACAATCTATATTTTTTATATTTAAAACAAGTAATTTAAATGTCTAACAAGTTATTGTACATCGATCGTTTTTAAGTAATTTTTTTAACAAAATATACATTTTTAATTTAAAAATAATAACTTAAATTAAATCCAATTTTTACCTCAATAATTGAAATTCTAAAAATTTGAAACCATTTAACTATAATTTTTATTTTTCAAATCGAAAATTTTTAAACAAATAACTCAACATAATTAGTTTTTACAGAAGCAGTAATAATGTTGCTGTTACAGAGAAAATTAAGCTGTCTAATCCATGTTCTGACGATGGTATTGAACATATTTGATAAAATAATAAACTTAATAAAGAAAAAAAATGTCATCGTGACAAAATATAACACAACTTTAAAACGTGCAAAATATATTTTACTGGAAATAAAATAAAAAATATTGGAAAATCATCCAACCTTAATAATTGTTTCTACATCATTCGTTTTTAATGCAATACTAGCAATACCTTTATATTTACTATTACGTGTCAAAAAATTACAGGAAATTAAATCTAATGATATTATTTCATAATTGAAAATCCTATTAATTCTTGATAACTATTTAACTATTTTCACGTACCAATTTCTATACTATATTACTATATCATCCGAATTCAATAATTCAATATATTAATGTTAATAAACGAAAGTAATACTTATTTTTCGTTCTTATTTCATAAAAAAAAAAAAAAAAATACGTGAATTTTAATACTTACAAGTTAACATTAGAATAGACGTAAATGAAAAAAGATCTGGATATGGAGCCAAAAAATCGACATTCATTGGAAACGTTTGTTGAAAATAATTTCTCATTGGATAACCAAGTGGTTTATCAATATGCCCACTTAAAGCTCTTGCAATGCTGGCACATCCTAAAATATTTATCACATAATATCATGCTTAAAATATTAATAAAATGCCCTTAACATTTAATGATACCAAAACTATTTTATGTCAATGCTTTTACGACAAAATAAATTATTATGAATTAAAGTTTAATTAATCAATAGAATCATACTTAGGTATCATAAACATAAATGTAGGTTCTCTAATAATTTTAAATCAATATTACTTAAATTAAATGTATTTTAATTAACTACATTATCATTATTAAAACAAAAAATATATCTATTAATTTCAACAAATATATGATATGCTAATTTTCACTTTATACTCACCGATACTGTATTCTAATATTAAATCCCATCCAATGAGAAATGCCACTATTTCACCTATACCAACATAGCTGAACGCATATGCTGACCCAGCTTTTGGTACACGACTAGCAAACTCGGCATAGCATAATCCTGAATAAAACAACATCTTTCTTGGTCAATGTTTTCTTATAAATATTATTTATAAAAAGTTTATTATCTATTTTTAGAAATTATGCAATTATGTACACAATATTAAATATTTAATATTATCAATGATTATGTCTTTAAACTCTAACACCTAATAATACCTATTTATATAGGTACACTTCACAACTTACATTTTAGTGTGAGAAATGCTATCATATAATTTAAAAGACAGATGCAACATGTTAACATCATACAATTTTATGATAACCATAATTATTTAATAGCTAAATTATTATAGTAAAAACCAAAATTAAGCCAATTTTTTTCAAAATAAATAGATCTAACATAATATACCAACTGTGTTTAATATAAACAACATCACACATTTTTCTTTATAAATTTATGTTTGTAAATAAATAAAAATAATGAATATAAAAAAATTTAATTTAGAATTTATATGAATAAATATCTATAAAGCATTTTATTTATTTATTTTTTTAGTGTTAATATTTGACAATTACTTTCATATTTCATACTATTATTATTTTCATACTAATAATAATAAATAATAATAAAGCAGAAAAATAAAAACAAATTGGATTGATAAATATAAAAATGTTATTAAATTAAGAAGCCAGTGTTGTGAAAAAATTTAATCATAAAGGTAATTACAAAAAAATAATGATAAACAGAAATCTTACACCAGTAGCCAATATGTGAAAAATGAAGAAGAAGTAGAAAATGAGAAAAATTAAATTAAATAAGTTTAAAAAAGAAGAAAAAAAGTATGAATCTTTCAGGTGTAAGGGAAGGTCAATGGAAAACTAGATATCAACTATTGAAAACTGTAATAATTGGCAGGTACCTAACATAATGTGCAGGCAGAAATAATGAATTAGATATAATTATAGTTAACTTTTAATATTAGTACACTGTGGTGTAAATAACATACGTCCTTTAAATGTGAAAATCAGGGACTTACGTGGGCCATGCCCCTCGCATATTTAAAATACTCCTTAGCCAAATCACCTCAAAATAACGTTTACATTTCTTATGTACTTAAGTTAAAAATAATAATACTTGTTTAAATAATTCATATTTTTAACTAAAACCTGTTAATTAAATGCTATCTTGAAATTATAATGGTTTAATTTAATTAAATAGTTGTCAAATATTTTAGAGTAAATATTTTTTCCCGTCCTACTTATAAGATTCACAATAAGCCTAATTAACAGTCATTAATATTCATTGTATACAAATGTATGTTTTATTCATAAACCTATTTGAGACAATTAATATGCATCATATATACATTTAAATAAGATATTAATTAAATATCATGTTCCAAAACTAATTACATTTATCTATAATTACCTGACAGAGCCGACGCTATAGCTGCAAAAGCAAATGACAAAACTACTGCGGGCCCCGTAAATTTAACTGCAACTTCTCCAGCTAGTACATAAGCGCCAAGTCCAAGAGTTGAACCGACGCCAAGAGAAATCAAGTCCACTAGTCCAAGTACACGGCTTAGTTGATTTTTTGTTGGCTCAGCGCTCAAATCGGATTCCTTTTTCCTTCTTAACATAGTCTTTAAAAACGATTGATCGTTCTAAAGGAAAAATTATTATTATTAATAAATTTACATACCATTTATTTATACCTATATTATGTTAAGTATTACAGAATTTTTTTAAAAAAGAGTATGTTGATACATAAATAAAATCTGATTCTTTTATATTTTCATTAACTATTATTTATAATACGTCCTTAATGTTATGAAGATACATAATATATTATAAATAGAATAAAACAGAAAGATTTTATAAAAAATAATTAAATAAAGATAACAGAAATAAAATTATTAAATATTTTTTATTTGTAAAATTTATAAATTATTTTAGATTATTAATAATTATACTTAAATAACATCACTTAAAACAAATTAGACAATTATTATTTATGTAATACTTGATATAGATTTTAAAATATTCATGACATGTATAATGTCAAATACTCGTATATCTGTGCATTTACTATGTATTATAGTATACTGATATAAATACTATAAACGTATTGTTTTATAACTATAGTTAATTACTTGATAAGTCGAAAATTTCTTATGTGTTTTGAATTCCAATCTATAAAAAGAGGCTATTGATTTTTATTTATATTATTTTCCTGGATCTCAAATAGTACATGTATCGTAATGGCTTCAAAACTACATAAAAAATACCTTTGTTAAATAAAAAGCCCCACAAAACATTAAATATTTTCAAAAATTATTATAAAAATAAACTAAAACGGAATAATATTGTGTGGGTAAATAAGACAAAAATAGTAACAAATATTTCATGATCTTACATAATTATATATTATCTGTTTAAATATTTAATTGTTCATTATTCTCTCCGTAATAAAAATTGCAAATTATATATTAAGCGCCAAAATAACTTTACTATTATTTAGATAGTATTCGGAATTCCTCAAGATTACGATCATAATTAAAATACTTTATTTTTAGATTATACAATGAGATGTGTTTTTTTGCCGTTTGTCATCACCTTTTTGAGAAATAAATTTTTTTCAATTTTAAAATTTGAAGGCAGTTTTAGTAGAAAATTCTAAAATCTAGCTGATACTAGCTGAGATCAAAAAAAAACTCTCAATGATATTCAAAATAATCAAAAAAAAAAAAATAAAAAAAAATAAAGGAAAAACGGGAATTTTCGTGTAAATTTTGTTTTATGGTGTAATTCAAAAACCGTTAATACTTAAAATTTTCACTAAATATATTTTATACTTGCATTTTCTACAAAAAAGTATAATTTTTAAATATTTTAATTCTTTTTAAGATACTTTTAGATATTTTCAATTATTTTTAATTTTGTTCTTTTCATAAATTGTTATAAATTATTCATCAAGTTAAAATTCTTAAAATTTTAATACGAGACCCCACATAATTAATTTTTTTATCTGGATAAAAATCATAAAAATCTAAAGATACAATTTATATATATATATATGAAGTTTAAATTTTTACAAATTTTATCATAATTACTAAAATGTATAAACTTTAAGTATTTTGCAGTAAAAAATGTATAAAATTTTCAAGTTTTATAGCTAAGATACTAATTTAAAAATATATAATAAGTATTTCATCGCTTAAAAATTGAATTAATTATATCTTTATAGTATCGTGTTTATTTAAGAAATATAATAATCTTTTAGTTATGGCTTCATATTTTTATGTTGAAGTTAAATTTGTTTGATCAGTAATTTTATCTTTATGATTTCATGAAGTTAACTTAATAAACTAATAACATGTTTAAGCTATTAGAATAATTTTTAATTTATTTTTATCAGTAAAGTTGTAGCTAATCCATAATTGTTATCTTTTTTTTTCAATTGAACACAATAATTCGTATGAGATAGTAATTATAATATATAAATTAGATTATATACATGCAACTAAATTTAAAAAAAAATTATTTAAATTAATACAAATTTAATTGAAATCAAACAATACAAAATTCAAAAAAATAACAATATATTATTAATAATTCAAATATAAATTAATTTTTGTTTTTTTAGTTTTTTAATATATATATATATACTACTTGTCAGACAACAAATCAAACATCACGTCATATAACACTGCAGCGACAGTGTTTAGAATGCAATGTTTTAATTATATGACTTACAAGCAATTAAATTTATATCGTTTAAACACTATACACTTATACTACACGCTCAGATAATAAAATTATTCTTTATTCCTAATATCAATGATCAAAAAAATTAATTCGTCAAACCATCTTCCTTTCTTTTTTTTCTTTTTTTTTTATAAACTAAGTATGATAAAAAAAAATATAGTTTGTGTCAGCCAGTGATATTTTATACATATATTTATTATTTTAATTATAATTTTTTTTAAATATTTCCATTTCTTTATCTAACATTTTCATTATTAATTATATTTTAAGTTTTAAGATAATAATTTTAAGTTTCTAAGTATATTTACATAAACAACGTATTTAAATAACGTATTAGTACCTATACATTATGTAAATTACTGTTTTAAATAATAATATAATCGTGCAAATTGTTAGAAATGGATTCAGAGATAATATAATTTTTATTACATGTTTGTACCTGTTGCCTAATGGTCTATAGGTGACATCGATAGGGTAACACAAAAATATAATTTAGAAAACTATTTTTGTAAATAAATTATTTATTTTAACTTGCAATTTATTTTTTACTATAGTATATACATTTTTATAATTATAATTATTTTTGTCTGGATCAACTTCTGGGAATATAGTGCAAGTTTAATAACTTCGTAGGGTAGAAAAATACTATGTTCACAAGAACATATTATTTTTCTTTATAACAATCCACAATTGTGGCAATTAACCTTCAATTATATACTAAAAAAATACCCTTCTAAGAAAACCCACGAAACAGTCAACTACTATTTTTAATTAATTATTCATTTTTATTAACGTTTTGCGTTTATCAATGAATAACATGTATAATTGTCATCATTATTAGCTGAAGTTCAATGTTGTTTGCGTACGTTCAATTTATTGATATGAATCGTGATAATCGTTATTGTATATAATGCAATACTTTTAATATTTTACGATAATTTCGGTAATTATTACTCAAAACGAATTGTTTAAAAATAAGTTATGAAAAACTGTAAGATTTGATAAATATTCTCAGCATTAAACATATAATTATGGTTTAAAATGTTATGTTTCAAATAAGAATTATTAAAGAAAAATATCACGGGTACGTTCCAAAAATTAAACTGACAATATTCTATAATTCGATACAAAAGATGAATTTCATAACATTTTATATCATTATCACTGAAGTATATAAATTAAAATTAAAATTGTATTTTATGAGTGTCTGGTAAAAATAATTGTAAATAATTTCAAAATAGCTAATAAGTTTCAATACAGTCTTTAATCACAACAATTTCGTTAAAAATCAAGTAAAAAAATTTTCAAATTCATTGAGTTTGACTAAAATTTAATGTCCTTGTAATAAATTAAACAATGCCATTACAAGAAATTGGTTGAGTCAAATTTTTAGTTTTAGTTTATTGTGTCTTAAATTCTTAATTAGGTGCCTATTCATGGTATAAAATTGTGTGTATTTTACAAAATTTGGTTGTTGATTTTTAAACTTATATTGATACTTTAATTGACAGAGCTACAAATGGAAATGCAAGGCCGATCAAAATGGTTTAGTTGATGTTTAAATAATTAAGTATGTGGCAATATAATATTTTATTAGTTAGTATGTATGATATTTTATATTCTAGTATTGGACATTGTGATAGAAAAGAATAATTTTTCAACTACCTATACCTGTTTTATTTAGAACTCTTATAATCGGTATTTAAAAAACGTTTTTTATATAGGTACACATTTTATGTTTGTTTTAAGTTAATCTTTTTTTGATAAATGGGTACTTCATTAAAATGAAAAAATAACTTAAGTGAAAAAATGCATGTTATAATATTATAGATAGATGAATTTTACTATTGCGAAGTGTATACTCTACTGTTTTAGTTGTTCTTTAATTCATTATCATGTATTGAAAATATGTATTATTTTTTTTATTATTATTATTATTTTATATTTATATTGTATTAATTGAATTTATCTTATCAAATTATAATTGCATACTATAATACAGTCATTGCACAAAGTGGATAAAATGACTACCTCTCACAAGATTAACAGCAAACATCAATAATTGATAATCATATGACAACTCAGCCTATAAAAACCAGTTTCAATTGCTTTATTAAGTTTTACCCATTTTACAAATATTGTAAAATACAATACGCAATTTTTAGTAAAATCATATGCAATATAATATATAGTTTTTAAAGTTTTATGTTAATTATTAGTCAACAATATGTTCTAAAACTATCAATTTCACAGTTTTTAAGTCAAGCTACACTTATCCGTAATACTTATTTACCTCATTCATGATCACTAATTTGTTCTGTGTAATATAGTAAACAAAAGAGTCAACATTTTATGCATTAGATAATTTCTCATCTAAGATTATAAAGTTTATATTATAACATAGGTATAACGAATAAATAATCAATAACAAATGTATAATGTTGCGGTTTATTATATCTCAGCACAGACAGAGCTCATATTTCATTTTGATCTTATATGTGATAGATTAATAAACAGATTGAATATCTCACAGTAAAATATGATAATAATATAGATCGTATATTCGTATCATTACATATATCTATGTATATACTTTCAACAATAAGTTAATTTATTTTGTAAATACAAAACATTTATCTATTATATAATATAATCATAAAAACATAATATTATAGAAAATAATAAAATAATAAAATATTGGGTTAACAGGTATACAAAATTCTATTATTTGCAACTAATTTTAAGAGATACGAGGAAGTATTTTGAGTTTAGTTGACCAAATTTAACTATTACAAATAAAACTTTGCGAGAAATGGTATAGAACAGAGCCTCTAATCTAAAGGTATATTTAAGAATTGCGAGGTCATTGTTTACTAGTATTTCCTATTATTGATTTACAGAGATTTTTAACACTATTAACATTTTATAAAAGTAGTATGTATATATAAAGTTTTGTCATAGGACTATTATAATATATATTATTACGAATATAAGTATATTTTGTATTAATATATTTGTTAAAGTAAGTAAATGAATTTGTGGAATTCGAATTTTTATTTTATTTTAGTAATATTAATATCGTAGTCAGTATTTGTGTATCCATTAGGTTAGATTATGTATTTTAAACCTACGTCTTGTTGCATATTTAATATTTATAGATATAAATGATTCAAAAATGTTTTATGATCAAGTATGAATTTTTATAATAAGCCGCCTCTAGTTGTTTTAATAAAAAACCTACCTCACCATCCAACCTACATAAAATATTTCTAAATACACCTCTATAATCTGAACCATTGCTATGATGAAAACATTATTCATACTTGGAAATATATTTTATAATACTAAATAAAACTATATGCAAAAAAATTTAGTTTATATAAATATATACAAAAAGTATAATATGAGAATGTCAATATGAGAAATTAATTAATTTTATTACACGTTTTGAAAAAATATTCTATACTTTTTAACAATTATCACCTTTTTTAATATTTAGTTATAAAATGAATAATATTATACATTTTAATTTAAAAACAATAATTATAACTAAAAATGTTTCTAAATGAAACCAAATTGAACCAAAGATAATTATTAATAGTTATAGAAAACAGTAATTAATGCATAATAATTTACGGTAACTAAAATAAAACGTCAAACGTTTATACATCTAATCATAACAACTAAAGGTAGATATCTAAAAAATTATTTAAATATTAAGTTAAATTTCACAATATAAAAATATCAAACATTTAAAGTGTTTAGGAAAATATTGTGTTGTAATTAATTTTATATTAATAATTCAAATTGGTAAACCTAAATAATTAGGTAACGCAATTAAATATGAAAATTATAACATCGTTATTTGTGAAGTATGAATAAATGGTTTATGAATTACGATAGAAGTATAAAATACTAATTAGTTTATTCTCAAATTTTAAGACTACAAATCAAAATTGTAATTTTTATAACATTAGAAGCCGAAAAATATAATAATATCGATTGCTGTTTGCGAATATTCATTTTTTTCAGGAAATAAATATTTCTATGTTATAATGTAAAAATAATTTTAAAAAAAAATAAAAGTAGTATCTATAAGATTATAAGTTTCTTAATTGCAATAAAATAAAAAATAATATTTAAAACTAGATACATACTAACTACTTGAGTAAAAAACTTGAATACTAGCCCATCATCGGATACAAAAGTACTTCATATCGATTAAAGATATATAAAAATATATCATAAAACGGTACTGATATCACTACCAGTAAAATTAGGTAATTTCCTATATGTTACATAAAATATATACGCAAAAAAAAAATACTTCATAGTAAAACTAATAGATTTATAATTACAACTTTGCTCACCATCTGAAATGTCATACATACAAAATCATCTTGTATACAGGCATACAGTTATAGTTAAAACGTGCCATGTATTTTACACTAGAAAACGATATTTAAAAATTATTACAGTACCTATAACATATTAGCTTATCTGTTTACATATTTCCTTGAAAATTTTATTATTTATACTGTGAAATTCGGCCAAATATAATATAATATAAAAATTGAAATAATATTTTGTTTTAAGTTTAATCGATAATTTATTCTTCAGTTACCCACTAAAAATAATAACTTACTTAACATGCAGAAAATTATCGAATTTTACTAAAAAATAAAATAAAATCGCAAAACATTATAAGGAATAAATATTGAACATTTAATATTTTAAAACAATGCCAGCCAAGCCAAAAGTATAGATCTATATAAGCACGTATAAATATTTTTATTAATATCCATTTTTAATAATGTTATACAATTTATAAAAATATATAAATGGTTTGGATTACATTTACGGCCCAATTCCTACTGCATTTAATCCAATAGGTATGAATACACACGGTACACGACACTCCGTAGCACATTGCATCATGCAGTAATATGTACAATGTACAATTTTTCAATTCTATCTCCTATACTATTAAATTGACGAAAATGTACAAGTTATAAACGTATAGCTTATTAAATCCATTAAGTATTTTTAATTTTTAGCAAAGCTAAATGGATATATAATTGGTAATTTTCTGTATGACGTATAATTAGGAACTAAAATCATAATATTGTAATACATCGAAGATAGTAAGTACCTATAACAAGTAGAATATAATCAATACATATTATTCATTTTTTTAAGTGACTTAAACATTAATAAAAACGTATAAGAATTATTCTGTAGAAGATTATGACAGTTAACAGGTATTATAATAATATATAATGTATGTTAAATTGTTACTTATTATTATTTAAATAGATGCTTAAAGTTAAATATTAATTTAAATTAAAATAATAACTCCAATCGTTATTAATGTCAAAATTACAACACATTATAAAAGATTTAAAATAAATTTAATGATACTAAAAAATCATTTGAAAATACTTTCTATAATTTTAGGTAATTTTTATGTTATTTAAAAAAAAATAATAATCTACACTTATTGATAAATCTATAAAAAAGAAAATCGGCTATATTAATTATATACATTTATTTAATGTTTATTAATTAAATAGTAATAACATTTTCAATAATCATTAGCTGATAAACGGCTCCAAGCGCAAAAAAAACAAGATTTTAAATCTTATGAGACATACTACCTCAGTGTTTATCTAATATGATAGATAAATAGATAAACGGGATTAGCATCATTAATTGTATACCCAATAAATCGTATTCCTAGTCTAAAAAGTCTTCAAACGATAACAGTTCAAGTATATTTTTTATATGATTATGTATCATTATTTTTCATACAACTTAGAAAAAATACTAATCATTTTCTCTAATGAAACGATGTGTTTTTAAAATATATTTCCTGAAGAGTATTCTCAGAAGATTTATTCCATTAAATCTAGTTTTTTTTTTTTGCTTCGCTCGTAGTTCAATAATGATTCTCTTATGATCAAATCTCTCGCGAAAACAAAAAATTATAATTCACCAATACACGCTTTATTTTGAAATACACTTTAATTAAAACATACTTGTTTTTGTGGCCTAAATGATAGCTACAATGAAGATGCTACTGGATTTAAGCTGATTTTTAATTACACATTTTTAACCATTATTATTTCAGAAAAAAATTAAATTAATAAAAGAAGGTATAAGTTAACACCTAATATAACAAAATTTTCACCAATATCGAGTGTTAGATAAACTGACAGCCACTAAAAATTTAAAAATTACCTACTTCTTCTTTTTAATTAATTTTGTACAATAAATTATTTTAACTTTTACTTTGTACTTACTAAGTACTTTTAAAATTAATAGTAATAGAATATTACTTTTTTTTTATATTTTAAATATAAATTAAATATCGGTGTAGTAGAAATTAGATATTAATTCATTAGAAGTAGCATAGAAGTGGTAACAATTCTAAACAAAATCAGGGAGAAAAAATTAAGATGAGTTTGGTCATGTTATAAGAATTGAGGATAGGAGACTCGGAGACACTAAGAGTAAGTATGGTAATAAATGTAAAAAGAAAGATGAATAATAATAGAAGAAACGAAAGTAGTTGGTTTAAGTAAAGGAGAGATGACAAGTAGAACCTAAAAATTAATAAAACAGGCGTAGCTAACCCCATAAAATTGGAAGCGAAAGCGAAGAAATATTAACTAATATATGATACTAAATAAATATTGAATAATACTCTTGATTCCAATTATATGTATATACTAACTTTTCCAAATCATACATACATAACTGTTTCAAATAATATACATATCAAATTAGCACAATTAAAAATTTAAAAAAAATTAACTAAGGATACAAAAAATTAAACTGTCAAAATAATTGTTTTCAAATTAATAAAAACGAATTAAAATATATGTGTTGAGATTCTTACCTTATAGTTTCGAAATTCAGCCATCTTAAAACTGTAGTGCCAAATAAATAAAATAATTTGAATCGTATAGAATCAAATTAAAAATAAATGATTCCTTGTTCAACCTAAAATAAATATAAATAATAAATTATTAATTAAAAGTAAGTTAGTTGTACGTATTAGTTAAAATAAAATATTCTTAGAAAATGTAATTGATAACTAACCACAGTGGAGCGTCGATTATCCGCACTACGAAATTGTTGAAAAAAAAATGGTATTTTTATTTCATAATTTTAAATTTTAAATTTAAATTAATTATATTATGTACTTTTAACAATACATATATATTTATTTTATTATAATATATTTATATATTATACATACAGTACATATGTTTTATTTTTAATTGCATAAAACATTTAATTTTATATTAATTGTTTATTTTTAATCATTGATTGATTATCCACACCCCTCTTAATCTAAATTTGTACAAATAATCGACGCTCCACTGTGAATAGCATATAAGAAAAATTAAATAGGTTTAAATTAAAAAAAATATAATTTTAATTAATCATTCGAGTCCATCTAAAATGTATTGTTTAATTTTCTACTAAAAAATATGTGTAAATATTTTCAATCATATTTTTTACCAACGTTATCTAAAAATGTAAAATGATAATAAAAAATAACCATACGTTAGTAGACTGCAATTTCTATAAATAAATGTTAATAGAATTTGCTATTCCTAAGTACTATAGTATTCATAAAAAGACATCGGAGGAAAAAGCTTTAGAGGTCTCACCCATCCTGCTCCCACCTGACTAGTAATCGGGATACTAGACACTTAATTTTGGGTAATACTAGTCCTCTCACCGCCACCAAAACAAAAAAAAAACACAATCAAATATCCACCTATATGATTGTATGTATAAGAAATATTAAAATGTATTACTTATTTGTATGTATTACAAATAACAAAAAACAAAAAAAAAAACAAAATTTAAATTAATCTTCAAAAATATTTTTAAAAAAAAAATTGATAATATATCGGTATATTTTTTTAAATAATAAATTTCACTATTTATATCAACAAAACGAAATACTTAATGTTTCACTATGGTTATATATTTATGTTACTGAATTTAATTTTATGTTTGAAAATAATGATTATGCAAAAAAGTTTTCGAAGGACCTAAATCATAATGACTTACAATGATTCTATGTTCTTACCGCCGTGGTTAACGTGGTCAAATGATTTCATTAACACTGAAAATTGGGATGAATACAACGATGTATGTATTAACAAAAATTAATTGGATGTTAAAAAATAATATTCATAATCAATTAAAAATATACAGCAACTTGTCTTTAAACACCCCGGTGGTCATGTATGCTTACCAACAGAAATTGCTCAAAGTGTCAAACTATGGAAAAGACCTGGCGAAATATTTAGCAGTGATGGACTTGTCGTTCAAACTAAAGGAAATGCAAACGATATTGATAACTTATTGACCGTCAATGAATCGCTAATGAATGTTAAAGTAATTACAATTATTTTTATTTTAGTTAAACTTTAAGCCTAACACTTTATTTTCCTTCGTGATAATATTTTGTATACATTGTTAATTAGGTAGTTAGTAGGTAAAATTAAAAAAAAAAAAAAAACGGTTCCTAAAAGTAATAATTATTAATTATTGTAATATAGGTTTTAGTTGTTTATGTTTAACGGCGATTGTATAATAATATAACTTGCCGGTGACCTTTAAATAACAATGAAAAAATTACTTTCATGTAAAATGCAAGGCTTTTCAAAAATATTTTAAATTTTTAAAGAAATATTCTTGTTTTAAAAATATTATTAGTTTTGATTATTTTGAATATTATTTGATTTTTAATTCGAAACAAAGCTCGCTTCAAGCTTCAAATTTATACCTACTTCATTAAAATGCTGTATCTATAAGATTTCTCAAAACGACAGACTCAGACTTGTTAGGTTACCTGTACTTTTAATAATAAATCGATAATACAATTTCATTTCTGGTTTGCCCAATTTTTAAAATAATATTGCCTACCGTTACACATAGCCATATAAATACTGAACAGTTCGGATTGGTGTAACAATTAAAGTGTTGTACTCCCAATGTATCTATATAGCCAACAACCTGACTTTAAACGTAGTTAATACATTCTATAGAATTTGAACATCGACGTATCAATATTTTTAATAATTATATAGGTGCCTATATTTAAATAATAGTCAATTTCAATTACATTATTAACAAAAATTAAATATAAACACAATTAAATTAATAAATTCTAGGTTTCTACTTTATTATATTACTTAATAAAGATATAATCTAGATTGTTGTATTGTAGTTAAGCTAAATATTTTCATATCTTTTAGTAGGTACATTTAAGAATTTTTTGAAATGCTAACCCTAAGTTCTATTGAAAAATCAACTATCTAAATTGTTATCAGTTGTTTGGGAAACCAAATGTAATCTAATTTAACTCATAAGAACTATAAAAAATAAATCAGTATGCAACTATCAAGAAAAAAATCTTCCAATATCTTGAGCTCAATATGTTCATTATATTTTTCAACATGGGTTATAGCATTAGATACGTCGGAAACGAAATAAATACGACGATATAATATGTAACTGCAATCGTATATAAAAAAAAAAAGGCTAAAACGAACAATAGTGACGCGCAAACGACTTATGGCTTTACCAATCTACGGCGGCTTACCTACCTACCTGGCCATCTGTTGCTACCGACATTTATATACATATATTTCTGTCGTGCTCGACAAACGAAAACCGTACGATTTTGAGTAGGTACCTGCCTTGCCGTCTACGGCCAATTTTAAAAACCGCACCCTTTTTATTTCCATTCCAAAACGGTTGTTTGTCAAAAACCACACACATTTTATTAGAATCATTGTGTAAATATAAATGAACTATAGATACTCTATGTCGGTATTTTAATCTACAGACAATAGTCACATAGCACATCGAAACAAATATTAATTATGTATATAAATATAACATCAGTAAGAGGTATCTACTTTTATTAGTAGATTAGTTAAACCAGTTGAATATAGTATTATAAATACTAATACCTTATTTGCGTCCATGGGTTTATATTTAGATGCAATTCAAGTGTTTAAATGGTATATCGAGATACTGTAATTAAAACACAAATTTTACATGGTATTTTACTGGGATCATGTCGATAAAACAAAAAAAAAAAAAAAAAACCCGGCATCGAATACCAAATAAAGCCAAGATCTAAAATTGCCGGGAATGCGTTTAAAAAAATATATATACGTAGATTGTAGATAATAAATATTAAATTTTAAAAACGCACAAGTTGATTAAAAACGATAGCCTAAAACATGCAGTTTTGGGATAGGCGTCTACAACACCGGCTAACGGCCTCCCAAAAGAAGAACACAGTCGCCTGGTTTTTCAGGATTGAACGCGTTTGTTTTTATCGGATGGGCGCGATGTAATAATAATACGACGCGATGTCATGATAATTAAAAACTGGGTACTTACCGAATTGCCGTCGAGTTGGTCTTGTCCGCGTCCGCTTGTGCCTTCTTGCGATCCCGTCGGGACGTGCTCACACGTGCTCGGCCGAATGGAATGAGCGAGTGCGTGCGTACGCGTGTGTGCGGCGACTGGCGCGTGTCTGTGAATACGACGTACCGCGATCGCTGCAGATCGTGATGGACGGCGACGACAGCGACGGCGACGGCGGCGACGACGACGACGATGACGACGGTGCGACGACGACTGAAACTGCGGCTGTGGCGGCGGTGGCGGTGGCAGTGGCGGTGACGATGACGGTGACGGTGACGGCGGCGGCGGTGTTCGACTGCGAAACGATAAAACATAAAAATTCGGTTCGTCTCGCACCCGATAGGTCACTGGCCCTGGCTGCGGTTCTCGTGACGCCTCCCACCCCGGTATCGGTCATCGGGCGGCGTGATCGTCGGCTCGTTCCGATCGTCTCGCTCCCGTCGCGGGTTGTTCGGGGACGGTTAAACCCGCCACCCGGATCCCGGTGTGTGTGTGTGTGCGCGCGCGCGCGCGCTAACTCGGAGACCTTGAACTTGGCGACCGGAGCCAACGCGCCACGGCTTACTCGCCGACCACCTCCTATTCCTATTCGTACACCGCCTCTCCCCGTGATCGATCTTTGTGACAGCAAAAATATTATAGAACACTATATAAAGCTAACACACACACACACATAATATATATATATTATATATATACTAATATCGATGCTAATACGTTATTTGGCAGAGCTATGTCGAATGAAGTAGTAGGTAAACAAATCTCGATAACGCAGTAACGGTACAAAATCAAAAGAATATTATTACGAAAAAAAAAAAAAAACCGCTCTACCTACGTTATATTATCTGTCAGAGCTGAATTGATCGGTTTTCGATGCGTTTTTATACTGTACTGAAATGTGTGCATTCTGATAATAAGTGTTTGTGAACTCGAGATGCGCAATATTTTTTATATAAAATGACATATACCATAACCTTTTGGGTTGCGGGTGGATTGCGTTACATTTTTTACCGCTTTGCCAGTTCAACCAATGTCGTTGGAGATTATTTCATATTATTAACTATATGTCCGAATGAGAAATTTCTTACGTCCGACATGAACCGGAATTTTTTTAGTTTACTCGTCGTTCACGATCTCGTCAAATATTGTTCCTCGTGAATGGGTTGAATATAAATTTTTCTTAGCATTATACTTTCGACAGGATTCGATCCACTGATAAACTTTTATCAATTTTTTATTTTTTAATCAAAAAATTCAGAAATTCTTGAAATTAAGCATTAATAAAAGCTTAGTAAATTCGTTATTATAATTATTGAAAATATATTAATAACATGAAAATAATATAGATGAAAAAAATCTTTCAAAAATCTTCCCGCTCTTTATTTTAGTTTTGGTTTTGGTTATTAGTCAGTAATTGTAATTTCAATAGCAATCATACTCAATTACTATAGAATTTTCACAAATAGAACCATATACAGTTTTAGTCTATTCAACACAAGTTACCACTCAATAATACAATTTAGTACAAAAATATTACAAAAATCATATGATATAAAATGAATGTCATAAAAGATTATAATATTATGTCAAGTAATAGTAATAGTTTTGAAAATTGATTTACATTATTATTATTTATTTGATAAAACAATCAAAAAATTAATTTAAATGTAGCGCAGATGACAATTGATAATTAAAAAAAAATGTTCAATAGAACAAAAATTAATGCGATTGTCATGATTCACCGTAAAATACCCTGTATTCCTTTGACATTGTTGTAAAAATGTCTAAATAATTAAAATAAAAACAGTTAAATACCCAAAATGACAAGAAATTAAAAAATATGCTTTTAAAAATTAGGTCATAACAATATGCAAATACATGCAACATAAATTTTTACATACATTCTTCAATCTTTCTAAAATAAATTATCTAGCCTAGCATGCAGTACTAAAAATGAAAAAAAATACAATTGAATAAACATCCTCCCTTAATTTATAATAATATTTTAGTTTAATAGTACCATTTTATAGGCTATAAATTTTCAAGCGACCAGTGTTAGATATTAAAATGTTTTATTAGTATCTACTATTTACTATAAAATTAAAAAAAATAATAATTTAGTAATATCATATTACAAATATAAATATTTGTCAAATTCGTCTTTATCGTTTTTCCAAAATTGCCTTTAAGTTATAGTTATTGATCAACTGTTGATTAAAACAAAATTATGGTTAATATTAAAAATATAATATTTTTCTCCAGTGTCAATTATTCCGCATTTAGAAGTAGATTCACTCACAATAATTAATACATAATTTTTTAACTAAACAACTTTACGTATATACAATTTTATATTAAAAGCTTTAATTTGTATTACTGCCCATGCTAAAGAAAACTATTTCAAAAATTAAATTAGCACACACTAAAGAAAACGTCACAAGAATTTAACATTTTTAAATTTATTTTATTCCCTTGTAAAATAAACTATTAACAGTATTAACTATATAGTATAACATATTTATTTTAATTTTTTTTTCTGGTTTTAATTAATAATTGTATTCAAAAATAAAATACTAACAATAGTGATATAGGTAAAAAAAATATTGTTATTAACAAATTCCACTTGGGAAGTCGCTCTGCTATATATAGTATGTCTTGAATGTACCTCATATAAATTATGAGGTGTTATTGAATTAATGGATAATATGTTATATTTTATTTTGATGAAAAATCTTTGAATACGAAAAACGTTATTGAACTATTCTGAGTTAACCTATAGGTATTTTTAAAGATACTATGTTATTATTTATTAATATTATTGTTAAAAAGTTCCTATCAGTAATAGTAAATGGTGCCAAAAACAAATACATATCTTTACCCAATATTATAATTTATATCATTAAATACTAATTATCATAATATTATTATTATTTATTTATATGGCATTACTGCACACTGTAGAACAGTATGAATAAGTTCAGTGATTCGTGATATAAATATTTTTGAATTAGTCTAAAATTACATAATGTATAGAAAATTAGAAAATCATAATATAATAATTAACAGTGGAAGGTTTCAAGATTATACGATTAATATTTATTAATAATATGAAAATAAAAAATGTTTTAAGGATAAATTGTTATTATAACTTTGAACATACAATGTTGACAAAATTTTAAACACTTAAAAAAATGTAGGTATGTGGCACTTTTTTCAAAATTCCAATAAGAAAAAATTATGAGGAACCTTGTATTAAATTTTTAAGCTATTTTAAACATAAACAATAATTTTAACATATTTAAATCGAAAACAATTTTAAAAAAAGTCAAGTATTACAAATCTATAAATACCACAAAATATTTTAAACATTTAATTATATTTATAAAATGCTAGTATAAATATGTTCGGTAAAAATATCAAATCTCTATGATTGTTCATTTTTCAATAAAAAAAAAAAAACTAAATTAATTTCTTTAAGCAAAAGTGGTTTTGTTTAAACATTTTAATTGTTCCGTATTCATTTCGTGATCACTGCTCTTAAAAATGATATCAAAAACAGAAAAACCATGCATAACTGTAAAACCATTACATTTATCATTCAACAAAGATGAAAAAAAATAGTATATTTTATAGTTTATTTTCAGTTCTCACACCATATTTATTATTATAAAAGCAAATTAATCAAATGATAATAAAATAAATTTATAATTCTTAAAAGTGCTATTTTAATTGAATGGATTTTTAATTAAATATAATGCTTAATAAGTTTCAAATCAGAACACTTATATGTATTATTAATTCAATGGATAAGTAAGTAGTTAAAAGCACTTGTAAATTAGTTAATTATCTTAACTACTACAATTATTTATCAATGAAATGTGATTTACTCACGACTCATCAATTTAATATGAACATTATTTTAATTTTTCTAACCCAAGGTCAATTATATACATACTTTTTCATTGTTTTATCTAATTTTTTCAAAATATTTATTATATACGAATATAATACATCATCAGTACCTACAAACCAAACGTTCTCAAAACCACTATAAAAATAAATAACGGGTGATGGTTGTAGACAATGTTATTCATTGCGTGTTTCGTGTTTATACGATTTAATAATTCATAATTTTAATAACTTTATAGTTATTCTATATTAAACAATCTTTTATGTGCAATAAGCGCTGTCATGAAAATGAACATATGAAAATATATACTGTGTATATTACAATTTAAAATAAAATGTATAGGTTTACAAAAAACTAATCGGTTACCTATTAAAACGGTTAACAAATTAACATAAAAATGAGTTAATCTTTAATCAAAGGCAGAGTATAAAAATGCTTTCAAAATTTTTAAAATTGATTTATAATAGTGTTATTTACTAAATGCACTTAAATGTTAATTACATAACTTATTAAATATATAGGTATAAATAAATTAATCATTAATACAATACAAATTTCTAAAAAGTGTACAATATTATTTCAACAAAGGTGATTAAGACAAAGATTTAAATAAGATTTATGAAGTTTAAGTTCTTAACAATTTAAAGTGTTAGGTAATTTTTAAGTGGTATACAAATTTCATATATAAACTTAAGAGATCGGACTTAAAGATAAAAACTTATACTTAAAGACTTATTAAAGCTTTTTCACAATTTACTCGAAGAATTATGATCATTATACGTAAACTTCAAACAAGAATTTAAATTTTTCATGTTTCACGTGATTCAGGTTTATCGGTGGATACTTTATCACATTGTGTTATATACGTCACGATTTAAAAATAAGTGGCCACAACCATGGCATCCATCTAATCTAGTATTTTCCTGTTGCAAAACTGAAGTGGCCTGGAATAAAAAATCAAAACCCGAGTATAATCCGTTTGGAAAATATTGGCTAAAATTATTTTACATGGTTAGTATGATGGTAATTTTAGCATTTAGGCAACAGTAATTAAATAATTTCAATGAAAATATATACTTTCAATATTCACAACATTAATGTGTTATTCAAGGGAAAGTTCCGTATGATATGCGTTAGCGATCATTTACCAATCAGTGCCGACGGCCGCATTTTATTACCTCTGTGCGAAGACAAAAAAGTTCTATGGCTACCATTACTTGTCAAAGGACTGTTACGTATTTACTCGCTGACCGATGAGTTTGATCAATTCAATACAATAACATGTCTAACTGGATGGTCTTGTATTCAAAAAAATTGCCAGTAAATTTAAATTTTAAATAACCTATTTTTTTGGCCGTGTGTTGATTAATTTAAAATAATGGGTTTTGTAACGCAAATAAAAAAATCAATACTTTATTTTATATTTTTTGTAACTACACAAATATAACTTATATTTCTAATTAATAAATTATTAAACTTTTCAGACTCATTTCAAAAGAAAATGTATGGTCATCGATTTTATCGCATTCATCATATTCGGTTTTGGATACTGAAAATTTAGATTCAGACAGCAAACAAAAAAATAAAAATATCTCTAAACATGAAGATTGTTTCCAGTTAAGGACTATCACAGGCACACAATTATGTCACTACGATGAACTTAAGTCAATTTATGGAGCCAATCCTCCGAACTCAATAGTTGTTGGACTTACATTGACACCAACTATCTGTAAAGTAAATTACAATAACTATAAATATTAAAACTACTACTAATAGTATCGATATTACTAGACGTGTAAATATAATATCTTTTGGCCAATAAAATCATACGAAAATTACCCATGATTATTTCAGAAAATCCAATTTTAAGAACATCTACTAAATTAACTACCTATCTAAAATTAATCTACTATGGAAGTTTAAAGCTCATACTTAACTACTAAAATAACTATTACAATTTTACCATAGCTTTTAATCGCTTCATATTAATAGATATGTTTATTATTATATATAATACATCTATATACATGATATTGTGATGTATATGTATAAGTTATAAGTAAGTGTAGATAAGTTATAAAAATATCTTGGAATTCTCTCATTTATGATTTCAAAATATTCATTAAAATTAAATAGATATGTTTTTATTTTTCACAACAAAATACTTGACTATTCAAAAAGTCAGAAACTCAATTAATTATTTTTTAATTCACGGTTCTTTTTATTACCACCTATCTTGTAAAGAATTATTTTATTAGGTATTTAGAATGCATGTTCGTAATAGGTAAAATGGTATACAAAATATGAATTGGGATTCTATAAAAATATATACTAGGAATACGTATTTTAATACTCGATAAAGTATTCAAAACTCTTAAAATGTATATATTTTCCCCACTAATAATTAGAATAATAATCAAATATTTTTATTTTTACGCATTTATTCGAATAGTGCAGTCATACTACAGGATTTTGGACTTAGGCTTTAGGTTATAACCAACTTAATATATCAGCAGAACATTTTTTTTTTTTAATAATATATCCTATCTACAAGACTGTATATAAAAAAAACTATTTAGTAATCAAGACTATTGTTGAATATTATTTTGATTTCTTGGTTGTCTTAAATAACATTTGTCTGTGTAAACTAATTGTTTGCTATGGTCACGATTTAACCAAATCTCATTCAAACATTTATTAACAAGAAGAAAATTATAAATACCTATTGACCATTACACTATTACATTTATTAGCAACTAAAATAAGAAAACGAGTAACATGAATATTATTAATTGATAATAATTAGTACTATTGTGCATATTCTGCACCATTTATCATAAAAACTAATTTTTTCAAGATGAGGGAGTGGATGCCGTGTTGTGCAGTATTAAGTGTCGAGTCGGTCACTGTAGAATGTATTAAATATTTTGAATTCATTGGTATATTATTGTAAATAAAAAACTATTCTGAGCGAAGATATCTGTTAGCTTTAAGGTATCACAAAGTATATTTCATTATATGTTTTTTAATACAGCAAGTATTGATATTATTTATTTTATTATTAGTATAACAGATTGATTTAATTTTTATTAAAAACGTTGCGTTTATTATTTTATAAATATTTATTTATTATAAAATTATATATTTATACCGTAAAATATTATTGTAATAATTAACTTTTGAATGAATACTACCTTACTACTTAAGTGTATATTCAATTGATTCATGGTATAAATAGGTAAGTAAGGGCTTAAAATTAATCTATGTATTTTAAAATTGTATTGTGTTTCAAACGTTTCAAAGTAACAAAAATAATTATTTTTAATTACATAAAAATAATTAATAACATTATTCTATTTTAAATTTGTAATTTTGTCTAAATTTGGATTCAAAATATCAATAAAAAAAAATTATGATTAAATCTTTTTAGAATGTTTAATATTTAATTTTCAAATAATTTTTTAGTTAAAAATTTATAAAATGATTAATTTTTATAACTATAAAGTTTAAATGTAATTCAATATTTTGAAAAATTAATTCATAAATTTTGACCAAAAAACACAGATTTTCCTTAGTATACTATTTAGTTTTAAATCTAAACGAAATTTATTATTTAAACGAAGAAAAATGATTTTAGTTATTTTGTTATAATTAAAAACCAATATTTATAGAAACTTGATAGTTTAACGTATATTATTATTACAATTTTCAAATGCAATGTTTTCGACAATAATTAATTCTAAATTATAAATAATTATAAATAATTAACTGTAACACTATTAGCAGATAAATAAAATAAATTACTTTTACAAAAATATAAATATATTAATCATAAAATATATACTTAGTTATATATGAAAATTGACAGATCGTCTTCTCTCTTAATCATTTTTTCGTATATAATTTATCACAAAATTCAAATTTAACACATACAATAAATTACTTCTCAAAGACGAGGTTCATTCGACACCTACTGTATTGCAGAGCGGTTACATAACTACTATACATTTTTATAAAAGCAAAAAATATGGTGACAAATCATTGCTCCTTTCAAATAAATTAGGGGGTCTAACTCTTATTTCACTATGTTTTAAGGAGTAAGGACGTTTGTTCTTTATTAAACTTGTGTAGCTTATAAAAAAAATGAACCTATCTATTAGTATTTACTAACAATATATTGTTCTTAATTTACCTTTCTTATGCCTACTATTGCATTTTAAACAATTAAATATTCAAATAATTATTACTTTATAACCATAATTAGTTTTTTCTTTAATAATAATTTATTATCAGATTTGATAAACATTTAAAAAATTTTAAAATTCCCTTATAAGTTATAACATTTAGGCACAAAAGACCCTCAGTTATATAGTTATTTCAAACATAAAAATAATATTATGTTGATTATTTGTTTCATCAATATTTTTCAATTATTTACTTTTTGTTCTGTTTGAACTTAGGATTTAAATATACAGATATATAGATTTATATATAGGATTGTTTATATACCAGTTATTAATATTAAGTTATTTATTTAGGAAAATAACTCTAAACCATTGAGCGGATATTCACAACCACTGTTTTTGAATTACGCCAAAATGATAAAAAATAAATCATTACCAACTTGGAAAAAATATCGATGGACAAAATGGGCAACTGACAATAATTTAATCAAAAAGCATGGTATACCTATGCAATTAAATATGTTAATTACTAGTAACTTATATTTTGTATTAACTAAAAATTAGTATTGATAACAACACTGCTAGGTACTTAATGTTGCAAGATATATTATAATGGTTAATTTATAAGTTCATAATAATCTATAGCATACGAAACATTTTAGTTGTATAAAATATTTAGTAAAAACCATTTGTTGACTTTAAAAATAATTTATACTCGTACAAATAACACTGTGGATTAAAATAAAAGTACTTTAGTATCTAGATAGTCTATACATATATTACATAAGTTTACTATGAATATACGTGACAAATACGTATAGAATATAAAATAATTTTTTTAATTCTAGTTTTTATTTAATATAATTTGTAAACAAGCTATAAATATGTGAATGCCATGCTTTTTTCTTGTTAAACATTCATATATATCATTAAAGTTTTAACTAAATGGCGTGTATAAATAATTATATTCATGTATATAATTGTGCAGTACTGAAAATATTAATTACTGGAGATATTATAGCCAAATGTATGTTTTACTAAATTAGTACATTTAAAATATTTTAAAATTTAGTACTAATCAAATTGAATTCAACCTATAATTAAATAAATGAAGAAAATATTATTTTAAAAATTTATAAATAAAACATAGAATTATGTAAATTTTAGATAAAAAGTAAAAATAAATATTATATTTGCCATAAATATATCGAAATTGGTACCTATTATCTAACCAAAGCTAATGTATTAAGTATACATTTTAGATGCAATCTCTTTGTTAAATCCGTAAAAATAAGCGATTTTATAACAATTATAATCGGTTTAACTTTTATAACTAATTTCACGTGGTTTTTAAAAGAATAATTAAATATTATTTTTATACTTGGTATAAATATTTATTGTAATAATAATAATAATAATAATAATAACAATAAAAATAAATGGATGTAGTTTTGATTATTTTATAATATTGTCTGATGACATGATGACAATTAGTAACCTGGTAACACATTTTAGTAGCCTATAGTGAATAGGATTGGCTTAACCCTTATGTGTTACTTATTTGTTAAGATTATAGGATATATATTTATATTAATATACTAGAATAATGTTAATGTCCCGATAACAACGTGATTGTAATTTTAATAAAAATATTTCAAAAATGTTAAGGTCGTTGACCGATTATTCTCGTTAATATTGAATATAATTAATTATTGATGCTAAATATAATTAGTACTTATTATAATACGTACCTATATGTCTTATTGTTATTATATTTCTAGCATTATTAGTTTAATTATATGATGTATATACATTTAAATGAAGGCATGACCGTTTAATCATATTTATTGCACACTTCGTTTGTAAGAATCGAAAATAATAACAAAAAAAAAAATTATATTTAGTAATAAAGTTAGTTAATTTTATATTACATATTTAAGAATAGTTAAATTAATTTTTATATTGACTATTACTTTTTATAATAAAAGTGAAAAATAAAATTGTCAAACCAACACAACCCTAAATAATATTAAGATTCAGTTGATATCTCTAAAGTACCAAGTTTATGATTTTTCAAAGCCAATTAAAAACATTAATGTTAGGCATAGCAAAAAAAATAACCATAATTTAAACTATAACCAAATGTTCGTCTAATTTTACGTTTCTTGCTCAATATCAAAATATTTACTTATGTGTATATTTAAATATAAAAAATAAAATAAAATAATAAAAAAAAAAAATTAAAATAAATCTCATTACTTCAATCTAACATATAATTGAAAGTAAAAAGTATCGTTTCACACACACAAAAAAAAAAAAAAATGCATCAATGCTAAATATGCTTACCAAACAGTCAATGTCATAATCACAATAATAATGACACTCGTTGTGAGTATGTCATGAGTAATATCACAATATAAAATAAATAATCAGCACTATGATATTTACGCTAGCTTCTACTATGCGTGATAAATAACAATAATAAGTAGATTATTAACTTTTAATTATTTTCTTATAATTTTATAATCACAAATAAAATGTGTAGGTTAATTTAATTTAATTATTTCGACTAGTTTCATAAATAACAAAAATAATTTATTATTATGTAATATTTTTATTATACTTGCTTTCTTATTCTGTACCTGTTATACAACGCAATAAAATTAAACAAATTTAACAGCATTAAAAAGTAAAAACTTAATATTAATATTATTAGTCCTCAAATAACGACAATTCTCAATTGATTTTTTACCGATGTTATTGCTTTTTACTAGGAAACAACCTTTTTTTAATAACGTCTTCAATGCCTTATGTTTATACATAGTAAAAATAAATTGTAACTCCTTTTTTTGATTTAATATATCACGGAAAATTGTATTTTTATAATAACAATTTCTGAACTTTGGTTGTTTATTTGTTTAGAACTGAATGATTTTATGAGATTGGTGAATGTCTATGCACCGTGTACCACCGTATTGAATCAAACGTCTCCTTTGATGAAACTCCTGAATAAATATAAATCGAATCGAGACGAAAATCAATACGAGCTTGATTTTTCATACTTAAAACCGTTTACTTCGTATATAACTTAAATCACATTAAGAAATACATTGTTTTATATAATATCGAATTATGTGTTATTTCAGATCTATACAATTTTACATCAAAAAAATATCAATCGTTTCGGTTTTTTAAGCCAGTCATTTTTCAACAAGAAGAAAGTCCGGTGTACGACATCGACCCGTCCACACAAAATAATTGCTGCGCCTATTTACGTATCCTTTTTGTGTGCAATGGAAAGTGATTTTAAACTATTGTTAGAACACTACACATACCTAACTAGTTGGATTTATTTATCATTATAATATTCCTTATGGAAAAAAAATAAATAGACTTCGAGTCACCTTATTGCCAGTCAATGCTGTTCACATTATCAGTTTGCAAAAACTATACTATCCATAACGGTAATATTGAACTAGACGCGCCTTCAAACCGCTATGCAATTGAGTTTCCATATATTAACGTGGAACAATTTCTCTGGTATGAAACGAAACTTCCGACACCGCTGTCTACCATTCGCTCCAGAGGAGTGTCAAACGTCGTGATAAATTTTAAACCTGGGTGAGTATACATACCGTCTGCAGTGTACATACAACATTCGCAATATTTGCATAATATACGATATACGTGTAGGGCCTAATAATACTCGTGTGCCGTGTGGTATATTATTATTATTATTATTACCATTGCATTTATGCGTTCGTATAAAAACAAACAGAGTAAACGTGTTGAAAATATGGGGCGAACTGCCGGCCAAGTATTCGCTGACAATCGAATCGACAGCAGACTTTTCCCTCTTACATACGGTGCAAACCGTTTACGAAAAACTCATCGATAAACCCAAATCGTTGACGTCCTTACTCGGTAAGTTAATTTTGTTGAGTGTTCAATTATGATAGAAATCTTAGTTAAACACTTATTGAAATATTCCTGTACTCGTACTAATAAAATACAAAATAAATTAACGACACGTGGTATTTCACAATTGCCGATGTGTGGTTTTGTGTCGAGATTACTATTTTAACAACGTCAAGTTACTTAATATTCTATATGTAAACGTTTAACATCTGACAGTGTTGTACGTTCTTCGAGTAATTTTCTCACTGTGTATTGGTAATTGAATAGAGCCAAATAAATATGTTGAATATTCATTATTCATATACATGATATTACATATTTTTAGAGACTATAAAGCAAACGTTTTCACGCCTATGTTCCACGGAGCCAAATACAGGTGATCGTGGAAAAAACTTACTCAGATTTTACTCTTCGTTTATGCCCTATTCTGTTAATAACGAAACCGAATTGAAGAAGATTGAAAGATTATCGAATATTTCGAAAGTATATAAAAGAAATAATTAAAGCGTAATGTAATTAGAATTAACCACCTGTTATAAATTTATAGCAAGTTCAAACAGCCATGGTAAAATGTTTAGGGAATAAATTCTCTAATGATGTACAATTAACAACAGAATTGTACACGGAACTACAAGAATTATTACAAAACAAGTCATTAGGGTTAAAAGAAATTTCTGCATTAGGTTTAAAACAAAAACCAACAACGCAAAAATCAAAACCTGCTCAAAATCATCATAAAAAAATAAAAAATGAGAAGTCTATAGTGATTAAAAAATCGGTTATCAAATCAAAAATAAACCATGGTAAAAGCTCTCCTGTGTAAGATTTAAATCAATTCAATAGAACCATCAAATACGATTTTATAAATGATTATTTTTATTAGGTCAGCTGTATCCAAAGTGCATTCTAAACCAACAACATCAAAAATTATTTATGCACATATGTTTGAAGTATTATGGTTAGTTTGTTATCATTATTTTTTTTCTTTATTTACATTTCATAATATTATGTGATATGTAGCTATGTTTTCCATTCTGATGAGATTGATTTAAATGAATATCATTTTAAAAATGATTTATTTAATTATTTGGTTAATATTATTTTCGATGAAAATACAACAAAACCTATCGATACATTGTTGTTGTTTCGTCTAGAACTCAATACACATTCTACATCAGTAAGTTTAATTAATTTATCAAAAATCACAATATCGTAAAAATTTAAATAACTAACAGAGTCACACAACTTCATTCTAGTGATAAATATTTGATTTAACTATTTATATTAACAAATATCTTTACAAACATTTTTTTTTTGAAATCTAACTTATATCATTAGAATTTGTCTACTGCCAATACCAAATTGATACCCAGAATTTTACTGAATACTAAATGGTTAAAAAAGACAATTTGATAACTCTCAAGGATTTGGAAAGTAATAGAAATGTCTCAACAAAAAAATTAATCTCCACACCAGTTAAGTGGAACATTAAAATGCAATTTGGGCATCTTCTATAACTCTACCAATTAATAATGATCGTGGTGATACACTATGGGAGAGGGGAGGGTTGGTAGTTACAATATATTTTTTTATATTTTCAATCATATTATTTAAAAATTTATATGTTATATTATATTATACAATATTTACATTGAAATAATAATTGCATCAATACAGAAATTCATTCTAATAATTTCATTAATTTTGCTATTATTTATAAAATCCATGACTAAACTGTTTATACATAGCTGAAACTATGCTTAAAATTTGCACCAAATTGTATTAATTTAACTCCGATTTAAGTTAATTTTAATAATAATATAATTCGAGAAACTATAATTTCTATTATTAAAATCGATTTGAAGCAATACAGAAAAACAATAAAAATATGTATTATATACCTATGTTAATTAATATTATCTTTAGAATAATACAACGAATTAATGAAAGCTACCTTAACCTATACTCATTGAACCGGAAAAAATTATATCAAACTTATTATGTTATTAATTTAGGAATTGGTGCCAACAATTATCAAATTTTCAAATAAAAATAACAGCAATTTTACTACTAGTATAACGCTGATAGATAACGATACTCAAATGGAAGTAACAACAATGAACATTGATATGAACATGTATATGGTTCGTAATACCATTAAGGGATACACGCTAATAGGGTGGTCTTCGGAAAAAATCGTAGATTACAAAAATTTTAACTATAAACTTGAATTATTCGGACGACCGTACGAAATATTACACTCGTGTGGAACGCAAAAAGATTATAGTCTACAGAAATATAACACAACGATTTGTGATAATACTTACACACCCGAATACGTTATTAAACATGTAAAAAAGAGGTTTTACATGCCTAATGCTGAGAACCTATTAGCTAGGTAAGTAATAAGTACCATGTTCCAAAAACTTAAAACTCATTGTTTTAATTTTGTTTTTTTCAACACTACCCAGAGCACTTCTGAACATCGAAAAAGCAGCTTTATTCACAATATACTGTCATCTAGAACACTTAGATGATGTAATGATGGAAATTCGAGTAGTAGACTTAAATCTTACTGACGGTAGTTCTACAGTATATGCGTCATCTCGTGCACGTGGAAAAACAGCATTGATTTCAGCTATATTTTTAGATCCGAATCTCAACAATAATAATTCACGTTTGTAAAATTATTTATAAATTTATTTATTTATATTATACCATCATTATATTTAAACATTAATATATTTTACACACAATAGCAGAATTTGTGCAATTCATGAAATGGCCAATCAAATTTCCCAATTCATAAAATGGACAAAATAAGATTATTAAATAATTATTTATTTCATAAATTAAACAATACTAAATTATAACTATGTAGTAGTATGCAAATATTTTTATTTATTGATAAAATAATATGATCATTTTCAATAAATTATTAATTATTATACATTTATCATTATTATTTATTATTTACACATTATTCTTTAAAGTAAATTGAGTATAAAAATAAAATGTATTTATAATTATAAAAGTGTGTAGTATTAAAATATTTATAATAAAAAATAAATAAAAATGAAGACATATTATTAATATTTACCAGATACCTGTCTACCTGTAATGTTTTCATTTTTATTTATTAGTTATTAATTGTTATTTGTTATTAACTAATAACTAATAGCAGCAGTTTCAAAATGTAATAACATTTTGTTATTAATAATTTACCTACTGATAAAATATGTCACTTGGTCTTCTACAACTTTTAAATGCTCATGTTGTTTATTATTAATAAAATCTCTTTAGTCATATTTAGTCATAATTCAAATATGACCAGTTGTCAGTTCGTGAAATGAGCAATTTTGCCTATTGTGTGTAACATATTTTATACATATTTAATATTTAAAATACATTATAAACTTGTATTTATTAATAATATTTCATTTTATTGAGTAATTTTATAATATTTACTTATTATAATATTACTACATTAAATTGTATAATACATCTGAAAACACCAAAGACCTAAAGACAGGTAACCAAATGGATTCATCAAGCCTGTATTACTATTGTCATAATACCTACATATTTATCCACCAACCTAAAATACTTAATCTAACTAATAGGTACCTAGTGAATTTTATGTTTCATCTTTAAAAATAAGTTAAAATAAGGTTTATAATATATAAATTATAAAATATAATAAATCTTAATATAATTTTGTCTACGATCTTGATTTATTTATATTTCATAAGTAACACAATTGTTTAATTTTATTTTATTTCTATATAAATAAGCATTTTACTATGAATTATTTTTATCAATTTACTTAATATGTTGCTAACAAATACATCGTGTATCTTTTCAGATTCAAAAGAATCTGAAACAAAAGAATCTGAAGCTGAAAACTTGACGAGTATTGTATTTGTTATCGAGGTTATTTTAATCAAGAACATTGACATCGATTACATTAATATACGAAATGATATAAACCAGTATGATTGGACAATTTCGTGTACTTACGATAAGAAAGTAATAAATTTTAAATACTGAAAATCTAAAATTTAAATCACCCACATAAAATATATCATTAATGTACCTATACTGACCTATTTTGGGACCAGACTTGGTTTCAAAAATTAGTTAAATTATGATTTTTTAAATAGGCCACAGGTATCACACTCGAAGCAACTGATGTAGATTATAATTTCCATTTTATCAGTTCAATACCACATCAAATTCAACCACCTATCATTTTACAGAAATCGCAAAATAAAATAATACCTACTATATCAAGTAAATAAATATTTTATTTTTTTTTCTTAATATTCATATTTGTATTTATTTATTAGATTCAAATTTTACTAATAAAATTGATAAAAATGATAGTTTAACACCAAGTTTGAGTTTCCACGAAATGTTTGAACTTATGACAGCTAATCAAGTACCCACTTATTAATATCTAATCAAATAAAATAGTATTTATTACTAATACAGAGACTAAAATACTAAATACTTACTTATTTTGCGTAGGATTTAATCAAAGAACAAGTTATGGATAATGATTCAAATGAGTTATTTATTGAAAAAATAACTGTGCTTATAAATAAAATAAAAGAAATAACTAACCAGCAAGATATTACTATGAACCTTTTAAGTTCGGCCATGGAGAATAAAGCTGAAAGCCGTCTTGTATTATCAGAACAAATTTATTTTGTGTTTCATTGCAATTCTAACACCGTACATTTATTTACAGAATTCGGTTGATGAATTAAACAAACAAGTCTTAAATTTACTTCAACTTCAGCGTAAATCGAATATGAACGTAAAGCAATCACGGATGATGAAAAAGAAGTCACGTATTAATTAGATATAGTAAAACAAATTAAAATTGTATTAATAATTTTATAATTTAGTAATACATTTGTCTATTACAAGTAACCAAGTGCTGAAGTCGTACTGACAATTACAAATTTATTTTGATATTTTTCTTGTTTTTTGTACCTAAATATAATGCAAATAGCATAATATACGAATCATTAATGTATAATAACCTAATTGAAAAATAAAATAAAATTCTTATAAGGCCATTGATTAAAATGTAAAATATGTATTTTAATTTTTAGCTAAAGGAGAAGTCCTAATATTTTGTTATATAGGAGAGGCTTAACTTTGATTTTTCATAAATTTGGTATGTTGATTCCATGAATATATAACATTTTAGACTTTAGCAACAACCTTCATATATATTACAATTTTAATAGATCCATGACCCTACGTAATACGTTCACAGAACACTTAAAACATTTTTAAATTTTCCTGATATTTAGGGGGGGGGGGGCTGCGAACTCATCATTACTCCCGACTACAATGATGATATTTATTCATTAGAAGATACTCATCATTTAATCAGTATAGATGAGTACAATCGAAAAACTATTCTGAGTACAGTTTATTTATAGAGATAATTTATATTAAAGTCAATATCCTATTAAAAATATTGAGTAATAAATAACGTTGTACATAACGTTATTATATTAAAATATAAAATTTATTTTATTTTCATTATTATTTGTAAAAGGTAATTATATAAATATTAAGACTTATACATGATATATATAGACATCAAATGGTTTAAATATTAGCCATAATATACACAATAATAATGTTAATTATCATTAACAATAAATTGTATAAAACCAAATTTAACCTTTTGATTAATTATTTGGGTTAATTGATTATATTTAGCCATTTAGGACTTGACTACTTGAGTATAAGTGCTAAAAATTACATAATATTATAATACATAGGTATTTAATTTTAGATTAATTAAACAATAATAAAAATGTGTTGATTACTAAGAAACACAATATTTAAAATAGCAATTTAGAGTATAATATTACATTGTTGACATTTAATATTTTAATATAACACCTATAGTTAAACCTAACATGTAATATTCTCTAGTTTAAAATATATTCGATCGTTAAACTTATTTCATATACTATTTATATTTTTACAAAACTTTATTTCATATTTTAATTAGATGTAACATGTTTACATTTATATAAATTAAAGATATTTATATATAAAATACACTAAAATATTATTCAATATAATATTGAAAATATTAACCTAATAGATTATCAGGTGTTAGCTATCAATAATCTGTTAATCATATTCTAATTAAATTATTGAAATTAATTTTTTTAATCATCTCTAATTACTGTAATAAATAGTACATAATAACCATTATTTTTATTTTACTTGCACTTCAAATTAAAAAGTTTTAAATTTTTATTTTCATATTATATAAATAACACTTATTATCTTTACTATTGATATTATTTATATTCAAATGGACATCAAACAAGTGCCTGAGTTAACGGAAAAATTTGAGCTCTAATTTCCGCTATACTAACATTATTTAAAATTTAATTATTACTTTTTAATGGTACCATTTTGAAAATTAATATTATCTCTCATAAAAATGTATGTGAGACTTGCCTTTTTCCGCTAATTTTATGCAGTGAATGTACCTATCATCAGTACCAAAATCTAATATAACACAAAATTCTAGTGCTCAATTAGTGATATATAACAGTACAATTTTCAAAACTAGTGTTAAAAATAAAATAAATTTTCGAAAATAATTTTTTGTTACATTTTTTATTTTAGTTTAATTATTTAAAGAATAACTTATATCTAAGATTCTTTACAATCTGGAAAGTGATTAAAATAATATCGTTTTATTTTATAAAAATTATGCGTACATTTTATATTTACATATATTCTACTAACACAGATTTTTTAATATTTTAATTATTCAAGATAAAAAAACAATTCATAGCATTAATTTTTTTTTTTTTTTTGATTATTTGACTAGGTACAATATATAATTTTACGTTATTACAGAATGAAACAAACTAAGTGAATTGTAAGAATATTTAAAAAATAAATATTAAAATAATAATTAATTTTTATATGTTTATAATAATCATTCTTACTCTTTAAATCTTAACTTTATATTGAAAATTTAAAAATAAAATAGACTGACTTCTTTTGTTCACAATGTGTTAGCCTTTTTTTAAAACAACTAAAAATATACTATTAGGTTTAAATATAATACAATAATTTTATATTTTGGAATCTTTATACGGAAATAATTTTTTAATAGATAGGTATTTAAATTAATCATAGCTAAAGTAAAAATGGTATCTAATAATCAAATATATTTTCAGTCAATATATTAATAAATTATTAATATACAAGTTATGTGATAATATAATCGTGCTTGTCACTAAAAGTTCATCATTTAATGTTTCAAACGAAAAATTTAATTTTTACAATTTTTCTAAAAGTGTTGCACAAAATTTAAATATTTACTAGTATTAAGTTTAAACGACCATTAAATATGGCTTAATTACATTTTTAGGAATGATTTAAGGGAGGCAAACTTCCAAATTTTGAATAATTGCTAACAAATACTATACAAATACTTATACATAAATTTAAAGATGCACACAACATTTAACATGATCAAATCTTAAAAATGTCAATTGATTCAAAAAACAGATTTTGGAAAACGAGCGATGATATAAACTTCTGTGGATAAATTAAATCGACTAAACAAACAAAACTCTAATAAACAAAAAGTTTTTCCAATATTTAATAATAATAAGAACTAATAATTATAGATAAAATTAAAATTTGGGATTCATAAAAATCATGGATATTAGTACATAAGTAAATACTTAATTTTTTTACTAGCAGTGAACAAACTGAAATAATATATGAAAAATTCAATGGTACGGAGAGAAATTCTGTACCAATTTTGAAAATGTTATCATTGAATACTAAACCTCTGTGATATTTTTAACAATATTTCAACTTTTAAACGAATTATTATGTTTTTTTTTAATTTGTACATTTTAAAATTAAAATACTGTAAAAACACATATAATAATATTATCCTTAGAGTTTAGACTTAAAGTTTAATAATAGCTTAATTCACACTAATTTTAAAAACTACAACACAAAATTGAACAGGCTGAACATCAGTTGCTACGTAAACAGAGCTAACACATGTGACTATGCAAATGAGACAACCTCTAAAAAATCTAGGAACTCTTATCATACAATAAATGTTAATAAATATCTTAAATTTGAATTAAATTTTATCGTTTTACGTGAAAGATTATTCTCAACTTTAAAGATTAGTCAATAAGCCTTTATATTTATAAATTATAAAGATATAATTATCTTATTATTAATTTCTTGATTAAGTAGGTTTAAAACTTAATGATCGGTAAAAAAAATCACATACGAGTCAGGACCGCAACCATAAAATAGTTTTTAATTTTTAAAGTCTTATGAGTACTAGAATTTTTTTAACATATCTGTACAACAGTGAAATCGAGTAACCAGTAACTTTAGTATAAAATATTAAATCACTTTAATTTCCCATTCAATAGAAAAAGTAACAAAAACTAAAAAAATCGATATTGATTCGGTAGTCAGTACCCATCATCCGTCAGTATATTATTAGCATTCACTTTATCCCTCATCCATCAAACGCGTATGATTACATATTTTATATTATTTTTTCGTTCAAAACTCACTTGAAATTTTTAAAAAAATAAATGTATTTTATAGAAGTATTATTTAAAAATGTTGAGCATAAAGAAATTTTTTAGACACTTTCAATAGTTCTTCTATTAGAGCATGATATACCTGATAAATGCTTATAAGTTATAATATAGCATTATCATTTGTTGTATTAATGAATTATAGTATTATAAAGGACAGAGATGGGCAACTAGCGACTTGCGTACTTTTTTTATCTAGCACCTGCTACATTTTCAAATAACTTTTTACAATTTTAACGTTTATCTATATATTATTACCTTTGTTTTTCAAAAAACGTAGATATTAAATTTTATCTAATATTTAACTATACGACTAAACTTTTTAATGTCTAATTATATATTTAAAGAAGCATAGCTAACAAAGCTAATATAAGTACCTACTTATTTTATTTTCTTAGTTTAATCGTACCTGTCGTCGTTGTGTAACACTGGCTGTTAGTTTTATTAATTTTTTTTTTTTTCAAAAATGTCACTAAAAAGTGTAAAATCGACAACAAAAATAAAACTTTACCACATTCTCAAATCTCAAAATCAAAGGTGTTATAAATGTTACCGAATTATTAAAATTATAATGATCCTTTTTTTGCTCACTATGCTCTCAGTCCCGCTATATTTAAAGTTAAAAAAATTGCCCCTCTAATAACATTGAGTTGCCCATCCCTATATGATAGATAATAGGTAGGTACTATACCAAAATTTACAGTTTTTTAACAATTTTTACATCATTGGCATGCCATATTTTAAAGAAAAAACAATTAAAACCTAAATTAACACTAAAAATATGTTAATATAACTGACTTTGAAACATAAGCATAAGTTATGTAAAAATTCTATTTTTTACGTCCATATTACTTATATTTGGTGGAATATTATTTGAATATTTCACTAATGTCTAAAATTAGAAATATTTTTGGAGTAATAAATTATATGTAAAATTATAAATTATCATACATGACGCATAAATTATACACAGTTATATTATTATCCAATGAGTGTAGTAGAAGGATATTAAAAGAAGATTTCTTCTTTGTAATATTTCTAATGTACACCAACCAAATTTTACAATGAAATATGAATATTATATCTTCAAAATTAATTAACCTTCGATATAATATCTGTAAACAACATTATCATAATGAAATTAAACTATAGCATGTAAAGCGTGTGAAACAAATTTTTTACATTTGTATTACAAATCTAAACAATAACGTAAGTATTAACA